GCTTACATAATTTGAGAAATTAATGGCATACGTAAAACCTATTTAAAACAGCATTTATCATATTCAAAAGCGTTGAGCATCAATGATTCCCAGCCCTCTGAAGTTTGAAAAATAAAAATACCTGGGTGTTAATCCATGGATTATCTTTGAAAACGAGAAATATATTTTTGGATTACATGGTGTAATCTTAAAGTAAACAAATTTTTTTAAAGTGTATTGATGTTTTTTGGATGAAAAACATAAGCGAAATTCATGAAAAAAATCCCCCGATTCATTCTACAAACAACTCGCCCTCCTTTGAAAAAATTACAGGTCATTAAGGTCAACTCTCAAATCAAAACTCAGATTTGAACTTCTTAAAACTTGAAGATGATTGTGAGAGTTTCTCAATTTGAGCAACATCAAGTTGAAGAAATACGTTTTTGACCTTCAATGTTCACTTATTTTTGCCATGTTAACATATATTGGCAAAAAATGTTTTGACATTAAAATATTGAAGTCCGTCTACATAGTTTATTATTGGAAGTTACAGACGCCAACAGCCGAACGCAAAACACCATGCAACCGTCGAACACCGTCTATAAAAAGAGTTGGAGACTATAACCATATGTCACCACTCCAGATGCTGAATTTTTTAGCAAAAGTCGTTCAATGCAATATTTCCGCCCCTTCACTCATTTTGTCTGTTTTACGGGCGTGATAACCTCTGAATACTAGATATAGTAATTGGTACCTAATACACAGTTCGATCTGCTAGGATGCATTTTGACAAAAAGTTTTGTAACGAAGAATTTTGTGTCTGTGTAACACTTTCAAAATCCTTCGTTACGAGGCTTTTTGTAAATTAAACTTGCAGTGGTGGATATAGGCGGCCTTTTGGGCATTTTAGAACAAATTTTCAAAAATGGGCCTTGAATTTTCTAAATTAAGACCCAATTTTGGTTCAAAGGGGCCAAAAAAGTTCAGATTTGAAATGTGCCCCCCCCCCCCCCCCCCCTTGTAGCTTTTGGATCCGCCATTGACGCGTGTGTGTATATATATCCAACCTTTGAGGAATCACAAATTATAACATATCAACTCCAACATGTATTCAATCTCTATTAAAATACATACATTCTCTTTGCATGATATCAGCTGGGATCTTATATAAATAGAATTCTAATATAAATATATTCATATGAATGCACGATTCTGGTTTCACTCTCGGTTTAAAACATAAGTAAAATGATCAGCTCATTTTGTGTTGGCGTTTCTGTTCTGGTTATTAATAATGAAAACTCTTAGCTTCGAATTACACGTTGGTATGTCGCTCGTGTAATAACAATTAACCAGCCAACAACATTGAGAATCCTGCACGTGAACACGAAACGTTCTGAACACGTGCAGGATGAAAAAATAAATAGCAAGCTCAACAACTAGCAATCATGACTTTAATGTATATTTTGGGTTTGCGAGGACATTTGATTTTTTCAAAATAAACACGAGGTTTTAAGATGTAAGATACATCTTCAACATTTGCGGCTATTTTGGGACTTTTCGATGTAAAAGTCTATATTACAATTAACCTGATAAATCTACTGTAGTCTTATCTATTTTCAATTGAAATAATATATTGCATTCGATTTTAGTATTTTAAAACGTTCTTCAGAAAGATCTCAAAATGGATACGAGCACGTTTTCTTGACCTCAAATTCAAACGTGGTCCATATCACCCTTGGTATACGCAGCTAACGAAAATTGACCGGTACGGGTCAAAAGCTGGACCGGTACGGGTTAACGGTTTTATTTGAATTTAAAACAGCCATAACTTGCTCAATATTGACTTCCTCGTGTCTAATTTGAAATATATGATACCTCCCGATGCTTTTAAGTACCCCAATTTTTTACAGATTTTTAAACGGACCAAAACTCTCTAAATGCGCTTTTATGCTCTCTTCTCTCGAGAACGACTGTCTCATTTTCACGATAACTTTTATTTCGTACTTCTAACATATAAGATTTATTTTTTACCATCAAGGTATGATGTAAATGACATGCTATTTACATCTTGTGAGTTAATGATCATACCTTGATGGGGAAAAATAGATCTTATATGTTAGAAGTACTAAATAAAAGTTATCGTGAAAATGAGACAGTCGTTCTCGAGAGAAAAGAGCATAAATGCGCATTTAGAGAGTTTTGGTCCGTTTAAAAATCTGTAAAAAACTGGGGTACTTAAAAGCATTGGGAGGCATCATATATTTCAAATTAGACACGAGGAAGTCAATATTGAGCAAGTTATGGCCGTTTTAAATTCAAATAAAACCGTTAACCCGTACCGGTCCAGCTTTTTGACCCGTACCGGTCAATTTTCGTTAGCTGCGTATACCAAGGGTGCATATGGACATGTCACAAGAAACTGTAATATATGTTTTTAAGTAGGTACACCTAGAATTTCAACAAAGTCGCGCACACGTACATGTTGACGGTTGCCATTTTTCAAATGGCCCACTACTTAACCCAAAAGTGGCATACGACAGTTTACCATGCTTATGAGTATTCACACATCAAATGTGAACAAAATATAATCGCTTCATTACTTTAGGTGTTAAGTAAAAAATGTAATATAACACACGTAAAAATGTCGGTCATTTTCAAAATGGCCACACCTTCTAGCCAGAGTTTCATAAAACAGTGTGCCATGCTTACGAGTATACAAAAAAGGTTAAACACACTTTAAATAAAAATGGCGGCCATTTTCAAAATGTCATGCTTATGGGTATTTTTGTGTACAAAACATCAATTCATTTATATCAGTAAGCGGGCTGTCACTTTCAGTTCTTAAGTATGGCTTGCCAACTGTTCACAACCCTGGTTTCTATTCATATGTCTGATCTGTACTTTTACAAAAATTAGTTCTTTAATCGTCATGACATTTACCATTGGTGTATTGACAGTCAAGTCCATTGTGTAGTTGTTGAAGCACACGTGATGGCTGGGCTATACAACTGAGACTGAGATGAGATCATGTTTCCTCTAGTGTAAGATCGGTCTTGTGGTATTAAATCAAGTTGAACATTAAGACAGCAATGAAGACAGTTTCAACATTTAAGAATATTTCAGTACACCCCAAGGACAGAAAGGCACAAGTCATATAAAGATCCCATGTTAAACAATAAACAATACATATTTATGCGAAAAAATTTCCTAGGATTTTTTTATTTATTTTTTTCAAAAACATGTGCAGTTCTGACAAAACACAATATAATATACTACACAAAATATGGAGAGGTTAAGATCGTTGATCAGGGCTATTGAACCAGACTATGGACAGTGGGGACCTCTCCACATTTAATATCAAACTTCTTTCTATCTACTCTTGGTGACATCCTTCATGTACTAACTGTTCACCTTTCTCATGACCTCTATGTGACATTTCAGTTGTCAATGCAATTTAATCTGTACATACAGGTACTTTTGAAGGCTTAACAGTTATTGATTATTAATAATGGTAGGAATTTTATTTTACAAGATATTATTTTTCCATAATAAGATGGCAGGAAGAGTAAATATATCTTTATGCTAAATATGGACATTTTAGTGTGTGAAGTTTCCAGTAGCATAATTATGTTTTAACTGTAAAATATTGCAGCTTTATTTGACATATTTTACCCTGACCTCTCAGTATTAGCTCTCAATATGATGTATTATACCTCGGATGCAGTTCATAGAGATCTTAACTTTCGAATCAAACAGGTTTCAATTTTACTATGCTTACTTTGATTACAAATCAAAGAACTTAAAAATACTGTGACAAAATCATAACAGAGATGAATGCTTTGAGCAGAATTATAAAATATAGTATTATTACACTGTAAAACACATGCTATTTGGGCAATGTGAATTGATAAAGAAGCAGTTATCAATTAAGAAAGTAAAGAAAGCATGGAGTAGGTCCCATATAAATATACACTACACTCTGAAGTACATTATAATACATAATATATTAAATCAAGAAACATTGATTCCGTGTGAAAATAAATACAATCGTAATGTTACATTTATTTATGCTAAATATTTAACCATGCAACCTTGTATTTACATCACATCATTGGCACATAAGCAACTGACATTCCATTTATACACAGAGACCTACTCCATGCTAACGCTCTAAGTACAAAGGCTACAAAAACTGGTGACGCCATAGCCGCTTTAACCAATCACACCATAAGGCTGTACACAAGAATGCCATGCCTTAGCCCCAGAGAAACAGAGAACCTGTACATGTTAAACCTATAGACTTTGCATAGAACTTTTACATAAATTACATGGCATTTTATTCATTATAGTTTTAATGACCAGGGTCAACATGGTATGTAAAAACTGCCTAACAATTAGAAAATACTTCCTTCTTTCTCTGTTCTTGCTCACCCAATCATTTCTGTTCAATATGTATAGTTATTATTTATATATATCAATATTTAAGCTGAGATTTGATGCCTGATTTTTATACACATAATGGCTTAATGTTAAACATACATTAATCATATCCCCAAAGTAGAATTATGCATCGACACATGTACAAAATAAACACAACATAACACCACGAGGGGGAGGGAAAATATGCAATTCTGGCTCTGCCCGCCAGCGATGATATTACTCAATAACTTAATGGCTACATTGTCTCTTAGGCAGTCAATCTAAACGAGGCCCCGACCCGTTATATACTATCTTGTCTTTTATTTACATATGTAAAAACGCCAGCTTACATTGACTGCTGTTCCTACATCGACAAGGAATGATACAAGTTAAAGGCATAGTGATATAAAGCTCTCTCACAGTTCACCTATAGGAATCAATCCTCAGGTAACTAATTCCAGAAATCACACGATCACAGTAACTGACAGTGCCACTCGCATTGCACCTGTATAAATAGTCAATATACACATAGAGAGCTTGTTTATCATGCAGCAGAATTGCATACTTTCTTTGGAAAAGCACCATACAAATGTCGCTCTGTCCTAACGTCTAGGGCCGGAGAATCCACCTCCACCCCTCATTCCTCCTCCGCCTCCCCCTCTGTTATCTGTTCTACCCCCAGGGCCTCCTCCACCCATACCCCCGCCACGTCCACCTCCTCGAGGCCCTCCAGGACCTCCTGGACCCCTGGGGCCAAGACTTCCACCACGTCCACTCCTGGTGCCACTCCCTGGTCTTCCTCCGGTCTCGCTGCGTTGTTTCTTCTCCTCTACATTCAAGCGATGGCCTTGGAACATTATAGGCTGAAATAAGATCAATATATTGGTTAAAGAAGTAGTTTCTTAGGTGGCTCCCTTGTACAATCAGTGATATCCCAATATCATTGATCATGTAATACTTATACCTTAGATATATCTTGAGACCAAGTTATGGGCACAGTATTGAAGATATATTGAGAAAAAAATCTTAAAACCACTGAAAGTAAAAAATATGACTAGGTGCCAAACATAAAAAAAATATCAAGAAAATGCACTGTGGTTAAAAAATGAAGAAAAAACAAATATCACTGCCAGGATTTGAACCCTCAATCTCAAGGACTGGTATCAATTCAAAAAAAATTTGTACATATATAAATCATTTCAGAAAAAGTCATACACAACATAAACATGTTGCTTTAATTTGACAGCCTTTTTAATTTGGCGGATTGAGCAAGTATGTTGTTGTGGAGATATATAAAAATAGTGAGTTTTGCTCAGTGATGGAGTTCGTCAACTAAGTGAGGAGGCCTATGACAGCAGGCATACTGTCACCATCCCGCACCATCAGACGCAAATTACAGCATCATTGCAAATTAATTTAACTTTCTGTACAGATTGTTCTTTTACTATTAAATGAACAAATATAAAATGAATTGAAGATGTATAAAGCATCCACTTTTTTTAAGAAATACTTACTTTTTCTCCCAAAATTCTTTGAACTGGCCCAGGTTCCTTAAAAACCACAAAGCCAAACCCCTGAAAACAAACAAGAAGAGTTTTAATATTATATTGTATTTTTTTTTTATTAATCATTTTTATTTCAAGTTCATATATTATAACATTTAATTTCATACAATGAAAATTCAACAAGGTTAATCAATTTAACATTTGTGTTGAACTTCGAAGTAAATATACCATACACTTATATGCAATACAAATACAAATTTGTTACAATTATTCGTAACTATTCATATATAAACAAAAAGGAAAAAGTACAATTAAAGCTGATATTAGAATGCTTTACAAAAAATGGTGTGCAGTGGTGTAAATTATGGGATGGTGTAATATACATGTTAGTCAATCTTGGTTGCTTTTAGGAATTTTAAAGTTGCTTTCAGAAGATGTGTATTATCTTCATTACTAAGTTCAGTGTTACCATGCAAAAGCATATTTACTTTGCTAACAGAGTTAGCATCTAAGAATTTTTCTAAACAACCAATGATATGGAGATCTATAAGTAGTTGGATTCTATCATTTACAAATTGGGGGCATTTGTGGGGGCATTTTTATTGTATTAAATGCCTTTGTTAGCAAAATAATTTGAATATAAAGGCTCAGATTAGCGTATATTATGAGTTTCTATAATCATAGTTATCATAGAGGGCAAGGTGATCATCATAGCCTTTGCAAATATAAGTCAGAAGTCTTAAGTGGGCAAGTTTTTTTTTATTCTACAACTGCATTAGGAAACAAGAAAAAATGATTGACCAGAAAGGATTTGATAGGAACAAGTATGTAAGCCAATTAAAGACGCTCCATATTTTCAGCATTCTTTGGCAAAATATTATTTTGAACTTTCATTGGACGGACACCAAAAACAGCTTAGACGGACCACATCAGAGTTTACAACAAATTATCAAAAAATGTTCCTATCTGTCAAATTTTATATCTTAAGTTTTACAAATGTCAACGAAAGATGACGAATTTATTTGTACCACATGCTTCATTCATTTTTGATGGAAGTGTTGCCATCTTTTCAATCAAGAGTTATTTAAAAACAATGCTGATTCGGTATCGTTACAAGTCCTGCAAATGGCTGAAAGAGCCTTTTCCATTGGTCTATGCAATCACCTGATCATTCATTTGGAGAACAGATTTTTCTGAGCTGAGCCATCAAACTAATCACATTTTCCCTTGAGGTATGGATAGAGAATCAGTATTTAATGGTTTGATATAACCATATTAGGTGTGTGTATAACGCTCAATATGGCTGATAATTAACAAATGTTGCATAATTTTCATCAATTTTATTTCGTTAAGTGTACAAATATGACTCGGAATTGCCAGGAATTTTACAATTGAAACTTAAATCGTAGCATCTAATGCATTTCTGAGGCGATACTTGTCTACAATCAAATATGGAGAGTCAGTCCCAACTTCACTATTGGGAAGTTTCTACAGATTTGGGGTACTTACAACCACCATCTAATCAATGGCCTAGAAAACGCCTAGAAAGCTTTTAATTAATGTGTCCCTACCCTAGGACCCACTTTAAGACAGGGCTATTGAATCACTGATGTTTGATTGTATGTTATGTTTTAATGATCATTTGATCCTTTTTTCTTCTAAATTATGCATAGTGCCCCTTTACTAATCATTTATTTGTAGCAGCCAAAGTACACATAAAATCTTATTTCATTATTCAAAAGCAATACAACTTACTGGTACTTTATCGCCCCCTGTTTTCCTGTTGATTCGTAGTTCTAGAACTTCACCATAAGCTGCAAATAAAAATTATGTAAATGAGATGATAAAGTTAACTAGAGTAAAAGTAACTCCATGGAGAAGCAAAGCCCATCCAAGAAATCAATGTCTTAATCCTGCAGTATCAGACACAAATTATAAAGACACAAATTACTACATTACTGCAATCATATAAAGGGTGTCTATAGTCTCTTCTAGGGGTCAAACGGTTCAAAATTCCAACGGTTCGGTTCGGTCACGGTATTTAGGTTCACGGTTCGGTTCTTTCATGGTTCTCACGGGTCTCGTAAAATGGTAATATTTCCTTATAAAATAGTAAGACAGCTCATAAAGAAACAGGTTTTAGCTTTCTATCTAGCCTTGCCCATGTTGGCCACTTTCTATCCTGGTCCCACTATCCTTTTTTATTAAATTGACTTGACAAAGCAAAGTTTATTTGCCTAGTGGCCAACTTTAAATTTAAACTTTAGATTTTTCTGTCCTTGACTGTATTAAGAGCTGAGATCTACATGTAGCACAAGCAGTAACATAGCCCCGGGAACATGCATATAAAGATTGAGTCGAATACACCAAGTATAGAGATCTCTTTACTTGGTGTATTCAACTCATTTTTTTATTATACATTTTCCCAGACCTATGTCTTAACTTAACTTGAGGAAAAAATTTAGCCTAAATAAATATTTTTATCACCGTGAAGATACTTTATGATCTCCCTACAGATTCTGCATATTGATACATTGTCCTCTGATTACCCATTCCAAACGTTGCTTTTGTATTTCAATAATTGAGATTTAATCTCCCAATTCTTGTTGTCTGTCAAAGCAGTCATGCTGAATCAGCACAGATGGCGCTGCGATTGTGCGGGAGATTTAAACACAAATATGTTTCAAGTTTTTAACAAAGACATTAGTAATGTTATAATTTCTGTAATTGTAGTATTTTTTAAATAATATTGATTAAAAACAAACTTATTATAACTGACAAAACACCTCCACGAAGCAAAATTAATTATACTATGAATAGCGTAATCTGGCGAGACCAACTTCCGGTCTATTTAAATGTCACAAAAATGTAAACAATTACTTGTCTATCGATTTGTGAGCGATCTGTTTCACATCTAAGGTAGGAATTGAATGTTTTCTATTGCTATACACATGTTTTTAAGGAATATATTCATGAAGAATAAGTTCATGTCGAACGAAAGAGAGAATATTGAAGACTAAAAAATTGTATTTTTCAATTTTTCCTCAAACCGTGGATGAACCGAATCTCATATTTATGAACCGGATCTCATATTTATGAACCGAAAATACCATCCTAGCATCATTAACCGCGGTAACCGCGTACCGCGGTTAACCGTTTGACCCCTAGTCTCTTCACACTTTATACAGATTTTTTTTTGTAATTGTTAGGGACTCAGTGGACATCAGAAAATGACATGAGCTATACAATAATTTATACCATAGTCTAATTTTCAATATCAATTCAAAAAAATCAAATAGGCTATTAGTAAATTCAAAACACGAAACTTTCTTACTTTCAAAATGTTTTTTTATTTGGCTCCTCAAGGTGGCCAATTCATCCTCCGTTATTGATATTGGTAAATTGCCTACAAACAGTTGTTGGTTGTCCGGGTAACGTATGCCACGTCGTCCTCCATCTGAGTCTGCATCCCCATCCCTATCCCTGGGGCGGCCTCTATTGTCTCGATTCTCTCGCGCAGGGGGCCTGCAATAATAAACAAGGTATGTTGATCAACATTTAATAGACTTCATTAAACGAACTGGTGTTTATCAACTATATAGCTTTATTATTTGGCTCAGATTAGCGTATATTATGAGTTTCTCTAATCATAGCTATCATAGAGGGCAAGGCTGTCATCATAGCCAGGAATATCAGCAACAAAATTCCAACAATAAAGCTCATTAAATAACACAAATATGAAGTCACTCCTGTTATAAATTAGACAGATGATACAATGTAATAGTTTGCACCAGTGAGTTGAAATAGTGAATTGTTCTTTTGTATTAATTTTGTAATAATTATTGTAAATGTTCAATATGGTCTTAGTTAAGAAAATGTGAAATCTAAATAGCTTCACATGAGTACTTCAGTGAGTATTAAAGCTCTGAATGAATCACATACCTTTGAGACCTCTGTGGCAGTGGTGCACTGCCTCCTGGACCAGTATCGTTACGTACGTCTGCAGGTTTAATGGGAGCAGGCTTAGCCGGCTGAGGCGCAGCGGCAACTTGCTGGGAGCCAGGAGTATTCTTCCTTGCAATTCCGGCCCAGGAGAATGTCTTGGGAGTCTCATCCACTGGAAATGAATCATTCAATATTACAAACTTACCAAGAAAAACATTGGTATACTTTTTAAAGACTGCTTCATACAATTTACGCCACTTGAACTAAAACCTATTTTGCTCAGTGATGGAGTTCTTCAACTAAGTGAGGAGGTCTATGACAGCAGGCATACTGTCACCATCCCGCACTATCAGACGCAAATTACAGCATCATTGCAAAGGTAGGTATGAATCTCTTAAAAGAAAGTCAGGTATTGAACTAAAGTCTGGTCTCCTAACCATATTAGATTAACTGATATGGACCATCTGATATTTCACAAGACGAAGGACAAGGGAGAATGCACAATATTAGGTACAATCCATGTACAGTAATATATTACCTGGCTCAGCTTCTGGTTCAAGCTCCTGTTTGACAGGTGCTGGTGGCTCGGGGATTGGCTCCTCTTCTGGCTGAGGTTCTGGCTCAACGGGAGCCTCCTCTGGTGTCTCAGGTCGCTCCTCAAGGTGGCCAGTCCCATTGCTACAAAGATCACAAATATGTTTGTGTAATGTTATAACCTCAGACTTGTACATTACCCTTAATCGTTCCTAGCATCCTGTATGTAGCTTGCTCAGTAATAGAGATCGTCAACTAAGTGAGGAGGCCTATGACAGCAGGCATACTGTCACCATCCCGCACCATCAGACGCAAATTACAGCATCATTGCAAATATACTCTACTTCTAGAAACAAGATATTGTGTGAAAAACATATTATAGTATGTACATACCTAAGTTGGGGCTGCTGGGGTTCGAAGTATGATGTAACAGTTGGGTCTTGAACAGCCTCAGGTTGACTCTGCATCTGTGATTGGTCAACCTCTGGCTCTGAATCAACGCCAATCTCTGCAACACAATGGAGATTAGTTTTGAAAGATACAAGATAATGTTTTTTGCTAGATGTAGTTAACAACTGAATTAAATTTTGCAACATGGGCTACGTAACAATATTCAAAGCCACACTTTCTTTATCACATGATTTACACAATAGGGAGTTTAATGTTGCGATGTTTTTCACAACCTAAAAGTGAACGGAAAATATTGGAAGCAAAGCATTTGTATGGGCCATTGGTCATATATAGGTTGGCGTTTCAATTTTATATGCAAGCTTAAACTCCCTAATGTCTGCTTGGTGAGGAGGTCTATGACAACAGACATACTGTCAACATCCCAAATCATCACAAATAACAACATCATTACAAACACGATCTTAAATTTTTGAAAACATATTCCCTGTCAACTAATATTAACAAACCAACAATAAAACATGTAAAAATGTGTAGTGTAACATTTAGCTTATTGATATAATGATGTTCTCCCCAGGATTTTATCTAAAATGAGTGTAATAATCTTATTTCGTAATTTTGAACGAATTTGGTCAAAATATGTCTTTTTCATGATTTTTTTAATTACAAATGGATGCAAATGGATTCTCAGGTGGATGCATTGCTATTATTAAAATCTCAAATGGGTGCAGTGTCCACTTTAATGCTGGGGAGATCACTGTATATGTACAGAAATCAAACATTCTTGAGCGAGAAAAAATGTTTCAGCTCTGGTCACCATAAAGTATTTTTAAGAATTAAACAATAGACTTTTTTGCAACAGATGAAAACACGAGGCAATATTATTGGAAATTTATCTCCGTCTTTAACAGTTTCATTAACAAAATTCCTCAAAATGGGAGATGTTGGTAAAAACAACCAAAGAAAATTGCCATCTCCGGATAAGAATGAAAACATTATTTCTAGCAACCAGAACCAATATTCTTTTCTAAGCCTAAGTTATTTGATATTATGTTAAACAAGCAACGGTGATGCTGGTCATCACTGATGACCTACCATGGTCAGAATCTGTACAAATATGTACAATTTCCAATTCTAAAAGTACACAATCCTCATCTAATTGACACAAATTTAAGTTTGTACTTTTGAGTACATGTTCAATGAAAATCATGAAACATAAAAAAGTAAGACAATCTAAGATTTCTATTTCAACTTTATTGCCGTTATGATTGGATCTATTTTCTCCACTTGCATCAGTTACAGATGTCCAGTACTATTTTTCATATCTTGATCATAAATAGGTGATTCTTGAAAGACACTGAAGATAGAAGTGTATAAAAGATTATAATGAACAGAACATTATTGGGATTTGTTCAGAATATACTTCAGTTTCATTTTCTGAATGCTACAAATGATAAGATTTCTTGAGTATATAAGCTGACAAGTTTGCATGATATTCACTAGACTAGAGTGACATTGAGCCTTTCAAGTTCCACATCGTGATATTGAATTTCAGCCAATAAAGATACACACTTTTAACAATTTGTGCTGCATTCAATTATTCTATAGTTGTCTGAATAAGCTTTAGAAGCATATAAGGACTGAGGACAATGAGCATAAAACCTTCCCCACACAAATCCTTTGTCATTTGTGCTTTGTTCAAACCTCTTTATAACTACAAAATGGAAGCTCATAAAATAAAATATTCCGAGCTGTTAAACTGACCTTCAAAGTTTAACATCTGAGAGGATTCCACTTCCTGTTCCTGTTGTTCTCCCTCAGGGTCATCATCGTGGAAAACCTCGTCCTGGTAGCGGAAAATATCATTATGGACATAGTACTTTTTGGGGGACTGTGGAGCCAGTACAAAAGTCTGCATGAACCGTCTCATAGGTTGTCCATTATTTGACAACTCTCCAGTCACCTAGTACAATAAAAAAAAAAGAGAAAAATAGAATGAATGAGTAGAAAATTTGTCAACTATTTTACCAGAAGCTGGGATGTGTGATTACGAGAAGATGATGCATATTACTTTTTTGTTAATAAAACATGTTCAATGACACAAACACATGATGATAACTAGGGAATGTTGCTCAGAAATGGTTAACGCATGTTTGATATCACAGTACTGAATCAAAAGGTCTCCAAATGCTTTCTATCATCATTACAACATTCAACAATAATATTTAGAGATTTGTCTTGTTTGCAAAGATATATTTATAAATACTTCTGGTATGATGTCATCATTAATATTCTTATCGTTCCCATTTCTATCAACCCCCCCTTGAAGCTACCAGCATCAAACAGGATGCATCAATAATACCCCCCCCCCCCCCTACACTTCCCAAGATGTGATGACATGTAATGAGAATTACCTGTACAACAACAGCACTTCCCACGGTGGCCTGACTGTCTACTTGTCGAATTTTGGCGTGACAGTCTCGGAAATTCAATGACATGATTTTCTTGTGAATTTCCTGGAGAAAAAACAAAGTAGAATATCAGTTAGAGGTGGTGAATTTCCATAAGGAAGGAATCACCAATTCCTCATAAATATTATGTGTGACTTATAAGCTTTATGTGTTCATGTATAAGAGATTGAATTGATCATGAAATACACACTATCACAAACAATGCTATGGAAACATTAAGCTACATGAAATATATCTTGATATTGCACAATACATATGACAGGACATTATCATCTGTAATCAAAGATGGTTTGAGGTGTATAATAACCTCACGTTATATCATCCTCAATCATAAACTATAACCTAATAGTCTGTCATCATAGCAACTGCATCAACATTTTATGTCTAATGAAATGGTGCTAACTACAAACTAACAGTTACACAAGCTAATGAACAATGTCATATGATATAAGGGTTTTATCTTTGCTTTAAATACAAAATGAGAACATGTTGAAAAGGTGATCAGGTTGTTACCTAATAATAAAAAGCATGCATGTCTTATATGGTGAATATTTCATTAATGATGCTTGGAAAGTAGGGTCTGCTATTATATCAACACAATGAGTAAGCATAATCTTGCTTCAAGATGCTGGACTCCGCTGTTCTATTTACCCAATATTTGTGTGTGAGAAGGTGTGTAGTGTGTACTAAGTATTGTTAGGGCAGTCACAAGGATCTTGTAGCTTAAGACTTAAAGTCAGTACATGTATATTCAACTATTCCAAAGAGATTTTCCTTACCCCTTGCCCCATAATTGGTGGCTGTTCTTCACCTGGTTTTTCCACACCTCCATGTACAAAACTAGAATTGTGGCTGTAAAATCTGAAAAGAATCAGGAGATAATTTAAGAAATATTGAAGAGTATACAAAAATATCCTAATAGTTCATTACCTGCAAGGCGAATGTTATTTCCATTGATTATGTCTAGAAAGAAGAACTCTACTCTTATAACTAAACAAACAAAATGCAATGCTACAATTAAAATAGCATTAAAGGTAGACAAGACAATCTGGTTAATCAACCAACTTTGTAAATACTAGCACCATGAATTAAAAGAACTTAGTAATCCTACCCATGACTTAATTTAAGTGATTTAAAATACATAATACTCTTTGTCAATCATACATCTACTCATGTTGTTCAAATATACCCCGGGTCACAATGACACAATATTTTCCAGAGAACAGTAGCATGTAGTTTGCAGGATATTGATTTATCATCAGACATACATGAAAATATAGTATTCAGAATGGCAACACTTTTCTGTGCATGAATTTTATCCAGAAATCAAAATAAGAGTCTTTATGCAAATACATGTATTAGAAAACCATCTCAGTACAGATATCACATGATTGCAGTGTAAAACCAAGGGTCAGTTTTTTTAATTTGTGTTATTTTAATGAACTAAGCCATGTTGGGTATCTAATATTTAAATATATCCATCCTATACATATGACACAATAATGAATGGAGCCTGATAACTTCCAATATCTCAGATTTCCAATATACAAAAGACTGGAAGATGCATATTTCCCTGGAAACGAGAATTCAATAAGAAACATTAGTGTTAGAGGAAGATCTGACTTTTTTAAAAAGTTATCTCATTTTTAAACCTGAAGTAGCATTGATGCTTTTTATTCTTCATACATCTTTACATCAGCCAATCAGAGATGGCCTTATACTATCTATCAAACGTGTATTCCATCGTGAACTATGTCATGATGAGTCAATACAGATGAATCTATGTCATGGCAGAATGGACTTTCATCAGTATGACCCATAGGTCATTTTCAAAATCAACATTGTATACTAGGCTCAGAATAATGAATACGATATTTCTGTAATCATAGTTATCATAGAGGGCAAGATGATCATCAAATCCAACCATCATAGCTAAAATCAATGAGCTATCTATTATATATATATCCCCATATCAATATGCTGAAATACTATGCAGATTAGTAACTTTAGAGCTAAGGCACTCTATGAATGGTGGTTTTAATTAAAGTAGCTTGCTGAATCTTTTACCAGTGATTACTTTTCATGGTATTCTTCACATATTATCAATTTCTTCTTATTTCACAATTATTCTGCACAATAATAACCAGTGGTATATCAGATCTTATGGCGACATATGTGATATTTTTCACAAAACTTTTATCCCTATACGATAAATGTGATTCATTTTGTAATTCGATGCATCATCCCAATAAATAGCTATCAATGGATACTTTCCGAACCGCCATCTAAATGTATAAAATATAGTTTAAAGTGATTAACATGTGCACATGCATGCTCACAGTGCTCAAAATAATAGTCCTTTTTTTTGGTTTATTTGATCTAAGAAAATATAAGACTTCTTTGTTAGTATCCTATTTTATGCCTAATAAGGGGCTGGGTCAAAACATTCTGTCCGTCAAAAAACATAATTAATCATGTTAGGGGGAGGGGGTAAAATGCCATTTAATTAGGCGATGGGCATCAATTTTAAATTCCTCTGGTTTTCGTCTTTTGCAATCTCTATAATTTTCTTCATTGTATTAAATACATCCTCTTCCTGGCATTTTCACAATGGGATCACTTATCAGGCGAAAGGTCCAACTGAATCTGTTTGGAAATGTTCTAGGTAACAACACTAACACTTGCATTCAAAAAGCAAATCACAAACATTCTAACTACAGAAAATGTGTAGACATTAATTAACGAAGCAAATCATAGGTGGAAAAATTTTAGAAGGGGGGAGGGTCAAGACCTACCTAAATTAATTATGTTTTTTGACAAACGTCAATATTTTGACCAAACCCCTAACACTGGACATACTTTCTACACAAACAAAATGTACCGGGTCTCATTTAAAAACAAATTTAACAAGTGTGACAGGATTCCCGACTGTGATCAAATAATCATCTCTAATCACATGTGAAAAATGCCAGTACAGTTGATATATGAATAATTTTTTGATCTGCAGGTATTGTCAAATATCTGCAGGTATTTTCAAAATGAAGAAAAAAAGAATTAATAACTAGCAACAAATACTGTAACTTTTGAGATACGCTTGCCATTTATCGAACTGACTTTTGATATTTATCATGCAACTTAGCTCCAATTCTTATATCTTGAAAGCACATGGATTAAAATATCAAGATTTTACCTGTGTAAGTGTAGAGGGGCCTCATGCAGTAAGGTATAATACTGTCTCACAAATTCGCGGCCAACGCATTGTGGACTAGGAGTTTCCATGACCATGACTTTGTCAGCTTGTGGCAATCTAAAACAAAAATTTGATTGATATATGTATCATTGTCTATGCAGCAATCTACTGATGAATTTTATTTTTCTGGAATATTGTGCCCATCATGTCAGTTCTATGTCATTACACATCTCAACTATAAAATAAAATATTTAAAGCCATGTTCAAATTACTAATCGAATTGCAACATATATTATCTAAATTGACCAATCAAAATTGTCAGTGATTTCAAGACCTACAGTGGGAGCCACTGAAGTGTAGATAGGCTGCTAGAGTTTCCTTTTTTACTTCCTAGGGGGGTACAGATGCCAACAAGAAAGGTTCCTTTCAATTTTAAAATGAGTTATAAACCATAAATCTATTTTCAAATGTTAAGGTTTTAAATTATATTCTATTCAAATTCTATTACTGTTAAATTATATATCTGCTTTATATGGGCTTGTTAGCCTTTTGCAGATTATTGACATAGACATAAGAGAATAATGCCATTAAGGTCTTGGGGGAGTTATCAGAAATTTATACCAAACAGGAAATGAAAAAAACATGTGGATTTTAGAATTTTATGAAGTAAGATAACAGCGTTCTGCTTTGATGTTCAACTTCAGTTACTTGTGCTACTCCCATATCATTTACATAGCCAGGATCACAATGGTCATGGACAAAATGACCCTTACCATGCTGAAATAGCTTTTTCAGCCCTCTGAAAATGTGACTGAAAAAAGTAAAAAGCCTGGCCTTACTTCCTGCGGAAGCTATGTGGATTTTGATACAAAAGCTTTCCCTCGGCGCACTTGGACAGCTGAATAATAGTGACCTTTAAAATATGAAAAAAGATTTCAACGGCTTCCTTTTGGTCTCTACTGTGTCTTACATCAGTATCTTCAATCCGTGCAAGTATTGGAGCGCCGAAATACTTCTTTTTCGATCAAGACTTATAAATTGTTCATCAAGTGAATGTTTTTTTTGACCCATTTCCAATATGGCGGTTTGCTAGGAGCGAGATACGCAACAAACAAAATGAATTTTAGAATGATTTAGGTTCGGACAACCTCCGGAAATTCACGGAAATGTCCGAGCAGAAAACGCCATATTGGAATTTGGCAGTAAAAACATTCATTCGACTAACAATTACAAGTCTTGAATCTTGATCGAAAAGGAAGTACTTGCATGGAAGGATGATACTGATGTATAACATAGTTAGTGAACAAAAGTAGGCCGCTGATCGACTTAATTCGTGTTTCAAAGGTCACTTTTAATCAGCTGTTCATTTCCCCGTTTGAGAGCCATAAGTTTCAAAATCTAACATGGCTCTCGAAGTGAGTAGGGGAAATGGTCCTATCACCGCAAGGGTACACTGGAAAACTACTGACGATTTCAAATATGATAACTTCAACTTACTTTGAGAATATGAGATGAAAGATCAACCTTTCTTCTAAAATTTAAGTAGTGTTTGACATTTCTCAATCTCCGAACGCCAACACTTTAAGACCCCTTAGACTCGCATGTGCGGTGGTCCTAATTATCGCACAGTTGTGTTTCAGATGTCATTTCACGATACTGTATACATTTCTCTGTTTATAACAGATACATACATATGCTATAATCATTTTTCTATCAGTTTTAGTGTAAAATATCAACAAAATATCAATTATACACTTACTTTTCTGTCTTTATTTGGAGGGGGGTCAAATTTTGTCAGACGAATTTTTGCGCAATAGCATACATGACAATAGCCGAAGTAAACAAGAGATATTTCTAAATATATGAATAAATCATGAAGATTGGGAGTAATGGTGTTGAATTACTTCCTGCGAAAGCTATTTGGATTTTGATATAATAGCTTTTCCACGGAGCATTTGGACAGCTCAATGATTGTGACCTTTGAAATCGAATTAAGCCGATCAGCGGCTTACTTTTGGTCTCTAACTGTGTCTTACATCAGTATCATCAATCCGTGTAAGTATTAGAGCGCTGAAATACTTCTTTTTCGATCAAGACTTGTAAATTGTTCATCGAGTGAATGTTTTTTAGACCTATTTCCAATATGGTGGTTTGCTAGGAGGGAGATACCCAACGAACGAAATGAATTTTGAGAATTAGTTAGGTTCGGACAACCTCCGGAAATGTACGAAAATGTCCGAGCAGAAAACGCCATATTGGAATTCGGCAGTAAAAACATTCACTCGACTAACAATTACAAGTCTTGATCGAAAAGGAAGTACCTCAGCACTCCAATACTTGCACAGAAGGATGATAATGATGTATAGCATAGTTAGAGAACAAAAGTAGGCCGCTGATCGACTTAATTCGATTTCAAAGGTGACAATCGATGAGCTGTCCACTTCCCCGTTTGAGAGCCATAAGTTTCAAAATCTAACATGGCTCTCGAAGTGAGTAAGTGTTGAACAGTTTTTCGTAACACTGGTTTAAAAGATGGTGGGTGTATATTTTAGCTATTTAGGACAATCGTGCAATAATTAGGACCGTGTGATAATTAGGACCACTTCTGGCCCACATGTCAAAACATAAAAGAAAATGTAGGTCTTAGTAAAGATAACTGAAATAAAAAGTACATTATAGAATAGGCATTGTTGTTATTTTATCCATCACCATGTTATTTAATGAAGTGAACTACTATGAATGAAGTAGTGGGTGGAATATCCAATATCCGGATCGCCGGTCTATAAATATGACAGTCAAAGAAATTAAAGAAAATCGGAACAAAAAACGAGTTACTTTGTTTACCGTCAAGTTTTAATATAGACAGCGAAATGAGCTGAATTAATACTCAATTTGCAAAAATTGAATATGAGGATAGATTGAACTAGATAAACTGATCCTCGCCATTTATGAAAACACTGAAAACTGGAGATGATTTTGGTAAAAATTACTACGACAAAAGTTGATCATCGGTCGGCCATAATCGAAAACGAAAATAATGAATTCTCTCAATAATACTGATATAATAAATGGATTACTCACCTCGGGACCAACCTGGTGTGTTCCTGGTATATATAAGATTATAAATACATTAGAAAGATAAATATATTGGACTAAAACTAGAGTAAAAAAGACAAAATTGTGCTTTGAAAAAATGTACTGGCACATGCACGTTGCGCAAAACTTGAATGAAACTACACTATTCTGCGCATATATTTTCCGTGATTTTAAAATTGTAAGCCCCGAAGTTTTGCATTTAGATGTCGCTCAATTTGAATCGAAAAAAAGATAAATTTGGAATAGCCAAATACAGATACCCAATGTTCTACGTATTGCTGTTTTATTTGTCTAAAATCTTGTCTTATGTTGTTGTTATTATGACAATGCTAGAATGATGGCACAAAAGTCGACTGGGTGCTCGATTAACAACCAGAAACTTAAAGGGACAATAGAACACAAATGATCCCGACAAAGTATACTGTACGCACCAGCAAAACATACTTATTTGACCGTCCAGTTGAATAATCCCGATGTTTTGTACTAATTGGTTTATAAAAACACAGCATAGAATTTGCTGAAAATGTCAGACTACTAATATTTGGTATTAAAAACAAATTGTTATTCAAAATGGCCGATGTACAATGTAGTCATTTAATTTGCATATTCGTTACCTTCCTTTGCTTTATTACCACGTGACAATAAGCTGTTTCACTTTTTTATAGCATTTTTTGGAAAGATAAATATATTGGACTAAAACTAGAGTAAAAAAGACAAAATTGTGCTTGATACAGGTAGTACCTACTACCTAATTAAAGTGATTTTTTGAAGTTATGCTTTCTCGTCAAATTCTACATAGAATTTCATTGCAATTTCCACAGAACACTAAGGTTCATAGACTGACCATGGACTTGTACAAATATATGGCCCCTGGATAAATATTAGAAGACAGTGTTAACATTTTCTAAACAGTTAAATTCCCACAGCATCGGAATGCAATGTTAGCGAATGAAGGATATCAAATAAAGAGATGCAATTAAACCGTGTTAAAACATGTCAGATAAGTACAATTTTTGAATACTGAAACTCAGCAACACAGATGCGGGAACAAGAGTTCATCCCCCTCCCACACACAGAGTTGCATGCCCTTCTAGTTGAAAGCCCATGGCAATACTGAAGTATTGATAAGTACAGGTTTATCTTGATGAGATTTAGTCTAATAATTATTATATATTATTTCGTCGGGGATATCATTTCGTCCCGGGGATTTCGTCTTGGGTATTTCTTTGCGCACATTGTCTAACCTTCTTTTTCATTCTTTCGTTTCACAGATCATAAAAATATGTGTCCATTTAGATAAACTTATATCATTCCTTATTTATTATTCCTTTTAGAGCAGATTTTGATTTTTCAAACATCAAAACAATCACAATGGGATTACGAATAGAACTTTAAACCGAATAGAATATATAGATTATACAAATTCGATTATGGAGGGCAGTGTGACTCAATGTAAGTTTGCGAAATTTTTGAATGGCATTGCGCATGCGTTAAAGCATGTTGCTAAGAGTAACGTGATGCTTCCTTGAGACTGGAAACACAGATTTAGTCTCCGAAAAACATTCAACATAGATGGACATTAACTCTAAGTAGTCCAATATAAGTGTATTCCTGAGAAAACCAAGTATTTAAACAACATGGCTACGGCTTATCATATGGAAGCGTTACGGAAGCAAAGAGTTATTGAAAGGAAAAACCAAGCAACAGAAACTTTTACAGAAAATCAGGTGAGTGCTTGATAAACAAAACACATCTTTCTCAAACACAGTGAGCACTTCATTATTCAGTTATTAGACATATATTACATGTGTTAAGTATTAGATAGATTGTGCTGACTGTGTTCTAAAGCCAGTATGTTCAGTAAGGTTATGTTTATTGAAGATTATGAATTGAGATTCTTTACTCGAGTCTCTCTGTAGACTAGCTCTAGCTTTACCTTCTTCTAAGGCCACTGTATCGTGGCCTTCGTCCAAAGATAAATTCCTGCATGAACAACTGGTCATGTCGTAATCATAAAATTTGAAATCATATGTCCGCCATTTTTCAACATCACAATTTGAATTGCGAGTTTTGGTCTTATTACCTCACCAAAAATTCCAAAACACACATGAAGTGATCAGTGTATTAGTTCACATCTTCTGGATCGCTAACTTAGAATTTACAGCCAGTTACTAATGTAAGACATTAACAACATTTTGTCCAGTTTTCGAATATCGCTATTTTTCTTGGAGGCTTGGAGCCATTCATCCTCCGATCACAGGGCTCCAAAATCCAGAATATCTTCTTTCTTTTTACACCCTGCTATAAGCAGTTAGCATTTCCCCGATTAAGAACTCGCAATCTGATTGGCTGTCGCAACACTGCGACAGAAATCATGTATTAGTCATTGCGCATAATTAGATCACGTGATTCAGTTTAATCGGGCGCTTCCAAATTGGTTATAGCAGGGGGAAGAAGGAGGTACGGATTCTGGATACCTGCTTAGGAGGATGGGAGCCATTTTGTTTTAATTTTAGACGAAATCATGTCATATCTCATCAAGGAGCCGCGCCGGTTCCGTTTTAATTAATGATTTATTTATCCAGCGATTTTTAGAATATTCAATAAATTTATGACACGGCGGCCAGCTTTTTTCAAACAGAGTTCACGGTATTGTATTCCAGATGAAAGTACCTCTAGCCAAGTATTGGCTAGAAACTCGAGTAACTCTAGCCAATTCACAGTGGCCTTAGAAGAAGGAAAGATATTCTCTAATTTATCTAGATCTAGATCTAATTTAGATCTAATTTGAATTGTTTCCCATGAATTGGATTCAACATTCTTTCTTTTGAAACTCAGACATTAATCCCATTGGTCTAAGATGAAGATATGACGTAATATCGTATAAACCATGACATCAGTCACATATTGCCCTATCAACTAAACAAGCAACATATTTTGTTTCCATTCAGTCCACTATCTCAAGGCTATCACTCAGTCTTCACATTTTTGTAAAATGTTACAAGCTTATAGTCATTGCTTATTTTTATTCAAGCCACAAGGTCGATCTATGATACTGGAACAGACTGACAGAGAGGAATAGTGAGGGAATCAAATATTCCCCACAACTCTCTGTTTACCTTTTAAGTTGTATAACGAAATAGAGACTGGGGGGGGGTAATTATTTCTTTATTCCTTAATCCTTATAGCTATTTTATGTTCCCGTGCCTCTGATTAGTAGTGTTACTAGGCCCATGTCACTAAAGTTATCATTAATTGAGTTCCTTTTCTTTTCAGCCAACCATGGGAATGCCAGCTAGTGACATGAATGAATATAATGCAATGACATCAAAAACTCAATACCCTAACAACAGTGCAAGATATGACAACTGCAGGTTAGTTAGTACTTGAACATTATAACTCAATGTAACGCATCAATTGTAAAAACATAATTCTAAGCTTAGGGTTTAATATTATTTAAAAATAAACTAAACTAATATATGTATATGTTCATATGCAGAATTATAATGTTTATTACTGTTAGCAATAGCATGGTGTTGTTTGTATTTATAATGATAATCTGATGTAACATGTCAATTATAATAAACTTTTTGCTATTGAAAATATGAGTTGTTTGTGTAGTAACTCTAACCGTTGGTACTCATCGCCTACAGTTATATTAAGTGCCCATATATAGGCTACTAGACTAAGAATAATAAGACCAATTTATTTTTTAGCACACCAGGAGATAAACCTTGGGTCATCACACATGACACTAACTTCCATAATCGTGTAGATAAACGCAATGTACATGTGGACTCGATTTATTCTGTTATGTATCCCCCTCCCCCTGGGTCATCTTCTGAACCAATAGCACGAAGAACCCGCAACCAACAACGTCATTAAATAATGTACGTCTTTTCAAACTTCTTGCAAAGGAGTGGTATCGATATGGTGAACTTTTTGAACACACGTTTCTCTTAAACCAGTCATCAAAATATTCTGGAAATTTTACACATCGTCAATTTGAGGATCATCTTTTGGATGGTAACATTATAATTTGAAATGTATATATACTTTTCTCTATATTGCTTTAGAAAACACATCAGACACTTCTTTTGTTTTTGGTGTTATATGTTCGGAATGAAATAAAACATCTGTCCGAACCTCATTGGAACAAAACAACATAAACACAACAGGTTTAGGTATTTGCACAAAGGAAAGTTTGGTTGATTTAAAAAAGTATCTTGTTTAATGAAATAAAAGGTTTATCTTAATTTTATCTATTTTGGGGAGGGTTGTTTTAAGTTTTTGCATACTTTTTGTTAACTCAACCAATATTTCCTTTGTATAACTATAATATTGAGAAGTCTAAGAAAATGTTGTATACGCTATTTTGTTCCATCAAGGTTCGGAAAGACATTTTATTTAATTTTGAAGAATTGGTAGAAATGAACAAAAAACAATTGCACTAAAAAACAAAAAATGTTAACAAAAACAGTTATATAAAATATATATAAATAATTTTTGCATTAAATTGTTGCCAATCAGTCAAGATTACATAAAGGACCATGTTTTTTACAGAATGTTTTCAATGATTGGTTTAAGAGAAAAACATTGTTGAATTCAGTTAACCATATCGATACCTATCCTTTGAATGGATCACTGATTATGTGATAAAATCATTATGTGATAAAATCATTTTTAAAATGGCACACTTTATTATATTTTAGTTGCAAGATGCACATATGACTATCTTCTTTCTAGAAACATTTGTTTCACTCTAGTCAAATGGTCAGCTAGTTTTGATCCATACTCATTATTCATCAGGTATCAATAATCAAAGTTGACAAAAAAATTAACTCAGAAATAGCAATTTTGAGCAAAAGGAATCAATTCTATTTAGCTATTGATGTACTTGGCTGCATATTTTTGAATATTTAAAAATTTACAGTATATGGTGCATTTTAGCATTTCAAACTATAATTTGTTAATGTTATTTTAACAAATATTACAAAATTGCTTTTTTCTTTTTTTGTGGGGGTAAGGTGCAATAACGCAATTGCACCCATCGTTTTACATGTAGATTCATCCGATAAAAAATGTCTGTTCATAAGAAGTCCATGGTCTGTTGCTAGCTGATTCATGTTTAGATCATTTATGGTACCCTGTAAATATTTTATTTAAATGAGTTATTTGAACAAAAGATAAATCACAGCATTAATAAAAAGATTTCATAATGTTTTGTCTTTTGTAGAAGATCTTGATGTACTTTACAACAGACTCGCAGATGATTCCGACGATGAACATTCACATTTTATGATAACTCACTATTTCTTTCAGACAAACATTAGAAGCTCATAGAGTTAGAAATGAAGGATTTGACAATAGATACAGACATCGGCAAGATCTCGCTCCCCATGTAGACAAAGCATTCAGAACAATATACCCTGGTAGAGACAATAGTGACTATACCTGTGACCCTAATCGTACCAACAGACGAGAAAATGTCAATGTATCTAAATATGAAGCCATGAAACATATCAATGGTGACTTTCATTGCAAAGTGCTACAGGAGACACCAGAATAGCTACTACAGAATCATTAACTTCAATAATTATTTTTAAATATATTTTACCTGTCCAAACGATATGAATTAATAATTTGCAGGTGGGGAATGAAAGTGCCAACTAATATGAACAAACTATACCAGAGTACAGGAGATGAAAGGAGAATGAGCAAACCACCTCGTCAACTGTCACAATCCGCCATGATACGTCACGGTTTAGATGTCCAACGTCCTGAAATCCCCAAGTCAAAATCTGCTTTACTAAGATCAGAACTTCCCCCTCAGCCAATTCATTTCATTCCCCTTGTCAACCCCACAAGAGATTGTCCCAATGGGTTTAAAAAGATCCCTAGAGATCATATGTATGAGGTCATACATCCCTATGAGTTTCTAGAATGGAATCAGGGAGGACGATTTGGAGGCAGATTACCAAATACATCTAAATTATTTCCAAGGAGAACAAACAGATGTTACAATTTGTTTAACCTCCATTTTGTACACAAACCTTGAACAGTTAGGGTTTTAGCCTATTTCAGAATGATTTATGCAATTAATAGACACAGAGTCAAGATCAGCACAAATGAAACAGTATTAAAGTGACAGTATTATCTCCTTCAGTATGATCATAATCAAGTGCATTTTTCATAAAGATTTATAAGTGACAGTGAAAGTATCATTGCGCAATTTTCTTGCCTCACATATTTTCACATATCAAAACATATTTGATAATCATATATTATTTCATCATACTTATAAAGCACAGTTAAATTTTCATACTTATTAAAATGATTACAACTGAGCATGAGGTTCGTTCTAACAGACGTGGCGAAATGGCGTGTGACATAATGACATGCTGTGGTTTGTTTCTCTATCTTCTGTGCTCTTCTGTTTTAACGTAGCTCTAGCTTAGATAGTTTTAGCACATTTATAATTATAATTTTTGTATTGTCACATTATGTGTATTGATCTATTTGATGTGCATGCAGTTTAGTTTTAATGAATGTTCTTAGTAATTGTTAGCACATGTTCAGAATTTCCTTTAAAGGTAGTAGAGCCAATGTTGAGGGTATAGCATAATGGAAGAGTGAGCTTAGTCATGCTTCAATGACAACGAGTGACATCTTTCTATTTGTGTTCTGAAATATAACACATACCACTGATGCCATCTATTCATGTGTTTTGTAGGAACACAGTTGTTAAGGAAAGTTGGACTGATCCATTCAAGGATAAACCCTCATATCCCATTAAACATAGAAAAGTGGACAATTGGCCGGAGGATAAAATGTATCCAATCCTTAATCCAGCTGAATATAACCACAAAATACCACGAGAAGACTTGCCCAAAAGAAAACCTCATTATAAAGTTTAAACATTGACTTTTAGAAACCCCGGCCAGTCCCTAAATTTAATTTAACATACATTTTAGAATCTGGTCAATTAACAATTCAAAAAATCATTGAAATGAAAAGTTTGAGTTAGTTTTAACACCAATTGCATGCTCAATGAAAATAACATAACAAATCATAAGTGTCTTAGAGTGGTTGAACTTTGTATGTACTTCAGGCGTCAAATTGTTCGGAGTGGGGTAGAGCATGATAAACATCAATACAATCACAGTCGCAATGGCCCCCTATTAGATGGCACTTGGAATCAGCTGAAACAGGAACTCAACCATTATGCTATACATTCTCATCAAGATCCACCAATGGCAGAACTAACATTGAAAAAAATAGTTAACCCAAGAAAATAAACTTCACAAAATAAGATATTTTATTAAATGTATACAGTACATGACATAATTTTCTAAGAGAAGACTATGTCTCAAATATTTGGTTAATTTTTGAGTGTACTGTAGACATATTTGCACTTTTACCAGCATAAAAAGTTTCTTAACCCATTGCACATATTCAGTCTCTTATATAACAATACTGATAAATTATATTAAAATATTAGATTGTATACTGTATATGGGAAGTACTTGGCACTGTCATGAACTGCTGAAGGGAGTGTGAAACAGTATTATATACTTTTGATTATTTATTAAAAATCATATTCAATGATTAAAAAATGTTCCTTGCCATAAACAGATAAATGTATAAATAAAAGATAACTTAATGACAATATTAAATGAGATTCAGACACTGCTTGCTTATATTCATTATATTCATATTAAGACATGCTTCAATGTTAGCCTTGCCTAAGTTGTGTATTTTTTTTTTTTATCTTTTACCTCTACTAGGCCTATGTAATAGTAGATTAAGATAAGTAAAAAATACATACTAAGTAGCAAGGCTTTTCAAATGTCTTATATGTATGTAACTTCACTATTACAAAGTAATTATTAATGAATGTAATTGGTAAGAAATTCTTAAAAATATGGATCATGTATTTTGGAGTATAGTTTTCAATATTGTATTCATATTTTTTTAAATCACATGCGATATGTAAAAAATACTGTATTGACTTTTGTTTTTGTAACAATAAAATCAGCATTTATTTATATGATATACATAATAAAAACTTGAAACCAATTATAAATACATGTATGTTATTTTGTTAATTTTTGTACAACTGTGAAAATCAGAAGCTGAAATTCTATTTCAATTAGAAAGGAAACATGATAAAGTAGATGTGTACTGTAAAAGGATTAATAGCAATACAGCAATATGGTGAACTAAATTCAACATTCTCAATTATTGAAAACATGCTGTAAAAGTACATCCTTTATCTAAAGGTCACCAGTTGACAACAATTTAATGTGAAAATTATTTATACATATATGAGATATTTAATATAATTGTTTTGGTAAACAATGTTTGTTTTGAGTGTAGTTGCTTTTTGTTCTTTTACCAATTCTTGAGAATGATATGAAATATCTATCCGAACCCTGCGGCAACAAAATGGCATGTACACCATGTACGTAAATATATTGTCTCAATATTGTAGTCATATAAAAAAGGGATAGGCATCGATATGGTGAACTGAATTCAACAATGTTTTTCGCATAAACCAATTATTGGAAACATTCTGTAAAAAACACGGTCATTAATGCGAAAATTATTTATACAGGGTGGTCCAGAAAATGGGACACTCGTATTTCAAAAATAAATATTGATTTTCTTGATGAAAGCATGTCTTATTATATACCAGTGGATGGGGAATTTACTTATCTTTAACCAGCGTCCATAATATAAATGATGCAATTTTAGTTTCAAAACGGGTTTTCCAAAACTTGCAAAACCCAAGTTTTATTGTCCACTTTATTTACAAAAACAGACGTTCAATATGTCCACCATTTTGATCAATTATAGCCCTCAATTCTGGCCTTAAGTGTTCAAAAGCATCATTGATATGCTGTTGAGACAATGAATTCCACTTCTCAACAAGTCTATCCTTACTAAGGGGCTGAGTAGAGTGTAAGTGTGTAAGGGGTTCATGGTGAACCAATTCTAAAACGTGGTAGTCGCAGACGGTGACATCGCATTTTCCAACTATGTTGTTTTTAGACCATTCTGATATGAGCTCATTCTCGAATCATTACATTTTCTAACAAGATGGGGCTCCAAGCAATAGATCTCACAAGAGTGTCAAATGTTTAAAGGAAAATGTGCCTAGATTCATCCCGCCTAATCACTGCCTCCCCCAGATCACCCGATCACCCAATATCTGTGACTACCACGTATGGTGAAAACTAACAGAATTGGTGAACCATGAATCCTTTACATCTATTCAGTCTCTTGAGGACAGAATTGAATTACAGTATTGAGAAGTGAAATTCATTGTCTCAACAGCATATCAATGATACTATTGGCCAAAATTGAGGGCTACAATTGATGGTTTTTGCAAGTTTTGGAAAACCTGTTTTGAAACTAAAATGACATCATTTATTTTATGGACGCTGGTTGACAGACATTATAATAAATTTGAACTTATGATATACCAAATTAATGATGAGTAAATTCCCTATCCACTGGTATATAATATGACTGTTTTCATCAAGAAAATCAATATTTATTTTTGAAATACGAGCGTCCAATTTTTCGGACCACACTGTATATATTTCATATAACTCACGGTGTATAACCCAAACGCTCCTACATGCACGACGGAGCGTTTCATTTATGCGGAAACGCTCCGGAGCGAAATAAAATGGCGGCTAATGAAGATTCCACTATGACCGTAAGTATTGTTTCTCTCGTTTCTCTTACATATCATATGTTATGGTGAAATATTATGTAGCATTCGATGAACAATACCGTGAGCAAAGATCTTATTTATTCAACTTCTGGTGGTAAACTGTTATTTGCTTGATCAAAGCTCCGTAGTGTAGATCGAAGGAATCTGAGATGACGATTTGACCACAAATTACAAATTAAACTAGTATTTCTATGAAAACGTTAATATTTCTGCTAAAGTAGTAGATCACAAACTCGTATATTCTCATTTCTTGAAATCCCAGTCCAAATCCATTACTTGTTCTCAAGAAATCGCTTGTTTTCCTCGAAACGCTCCGTCAATTTAGAACACAATTTTAGAAACGCTCTTACCATTTTGTTTTGATATCATTTTCAGATTATTAGAGAAGAGTTCCGAATCGAATCTATCTCTCAAAAACGTGTTGTACTTGTTAGGCAAATTGAAACATCTGAACCTGGTGGTGCTAAACGTGCAACTAGCTGATTTAAGCCTACATTAGATGATGTCATGCCTACATGTGTGCTAGATCATAAAACTATAGAAAAAACGAAAATTAATACTGTAGATTGGGTTAATTTGGCGCCCGCATTAATTTGGCGAATTTGGCGAAATTGAAAAATTCGCCAATATAAATCTCCGCCAAAATTTAGAATGAATCCCCGGGAATCATCTAGGGTATTTCGTCCAGTGTATTTAGGTCACTTCCGGTTTATTTTTTCCAAAAATATGAAAAAATGTCTCTCATAAATTGGCTCAGAACTGGTCAGTCACTCATTTATACTCAGGGAAAAGTAGCAGGATCGATTGAGGTGTAAAATGTAAAGGATGATCTCACAAAAATGTACAAACGTGGTGAATATCGCCAGTGGTCCTCAAAAGAAAAAATGAACATAGCCAAACATGCCCATTTACATGGTAATTCGCAAACAGCGCGTAAGTTTAACATTCCATTAACATTTTTTTGCATATCCGCCAAATTAAATAGCCGCCAATATGCCAAAAATGGCAAAATCGCCAAATTAAGTAGCGCCAAATTAACCCAATCTACTCAATCTTCTTTTGATGACAAGGGGTATAATAGATCTTAATTTCTTTCTCTTCATGAAAAGGAAAGGCAAGCTATATATTTCCTAAACAGATCTAGATTACCGGAGCGTTTCCAGTTCACTGTGTTAACCAGATCGGAGCGTTTCTTGAATATGAGAATGTCATCATTTTTAAGACTGGATTTTCGGTAATCAAATCACTATTACGATAATGTATGATGCGTTGAAGCATTGGAATTTGTCTAAAATATACGTTGGTGCTCTAATCTTGGCTCAACTAATCACATGTATCGACAAAATTGGTTTTGACCGGTAGAATGACAAATACGTTTTTGGATTTTGATAACTATACTATGACGATTTTATCACATGTCTAGGAATTTTGAAGCATTTTGATTTGGTCAGTTATGATTGTGTTCAGTACCCTGTACTCCTGGTAACTATTATAATTTTTGATTTCGCTTTGAAACAATATGACGTCACACCGTTGTATTCGTACTTGTTTGTGAAATAGTATGACGTCATATTGATTTCCTTAACTAGGAAGTGATATCATGAGTGACGTCACATCGTGACAATTTAGTAATGACGTCATCAACAATATCCCAGGCAAAAATATGAAACGTCATCACTGGTTGCCTCTAGTAACGTGTGAGACGGCCGTGTGAGACAGGAAAACTCACACGGTAATCAACCAATCTTCGTATATGTACAGCTCTTCCTAATTGCTTCAAACGTCAACAGCCAGCCAAGTACAACATGAATATCACACCCATCGAATGGTATACTCGAAATATGTGACTCATACCTCTTATTCCCATTATTGGGGAAATCGTCAGACGGCTGATCATTCCCGCCAGCCAGTTTTCCTACTCCGGAGCGTTTCTTTGTTTAATTTCAGTAATGAAACGCTCCGTCGTGCATGTAGGAGCGTTTGGGTTATACACCGTGTAACTGTTTTGTTAACATTTTTTAGTGCAAATGTTTTTCGTTCCTTTCTACCAATTCTTGAGAATGAAATAAAATGTCTTTCCAAACCTTGTTGGAACAAGATAGCCATCCATTTTTTTCTCCTCTCAATCATTTTGGTTCATTCGAAAAAGGTATCTTAAAAATCAAATAAACTACATCGATCTTCATGAAGATCGTCAACTTAATAAAAAGCGAGGGACTAATTATGTAAATTGCGTCTTCGTTTATGTACCAAACATAGAACCGCCTGCATATTCTCAAACTAGACTCTTCCTTAACTTTGAGCCAAAGTATTGTCCACAACTTGACTTATAGGTGGTGTAGAATCGAGAAATAAAAATATCTTACCGAAAACGAAGCCCGGAAGTTCTTCCATCTTGTTACGCTGACGTATCGTCAGCGTAACTAGATGAGTACCAGTGATTAAGCGGTGGAAGATATCGATGAACTGTGGCGCCCATGCAGTGCACTGACGTGTCGCAAAAAGGTGGCGCATTTGTTTTTAAGGGTATCGCGTGAATGTAACTTTGATTCCCCGGATTATAAGATAATATTCTAATTAAAGTTATATATCATTTTAAAGCTGTTTCGATGAAGATTTTAGATCAACTACACTCCGTTCACATTTTTTGCGCGTTCGTTTTTAAAAAAACATCTGGCAAATATCCCATGTTGACACGTTACATTTTGAATTATTTTTCGTCTTTAAACGCTCATAACTCAAACAATATATGACTATTATACTTATTTTTCGTCTTGATAAAGGTAGATGGAAGTTTTATTTAAAAGGATGAATTTTAGTAAGCGTCCCAAATTGTGACGTCATAGAGTCTGAAAAATAGAATCTGTTGACAGCGACCTTTTTTGCTCATTTTTTTGGTACCTTCAACTTTTCAGGTGTACATTAAACAAAAAATACGAGATCAATTTTTAATAAATCATACATGATTATTTTGCTCCTAAACTGTAGTTTATTAATAAATAGTTGATTTTGTTCACAAAAGTATGTGTTTTCTGTTGTATGTGGAAAAGTGGAGGACGAAAGGTTTTCAAAATTCATAAAAATAGGGCTAATTTACGCCATTCGTCTATTTTCAAGCACAGCAACACGTATATTTATTTCACCTAAAATTTCAATTGATTCGTGTTTTATGATGCTCCTAGCCCATTAACAATATATATATGATATCAGAGTTATTCGTCTAAAATGTTTTGAGATATAGAGGTAAATGTGGAGGACGAAAGGATTTTCATGTGTGTACATTTTTCTCAAAAACGTCACATTCTAAGCGAGGATCCTCTGGATTACACCACAAAATGTGTAACAATGCGTGCGCGAGCTTTTTGCGACACGTCACTATATACGGACAAATGATCATACTCCAGAGTTTCCATTTCATATAAGCTTAGTCTCATTAACTTCATCAAAGCATAACGCCAACTATAAAGAAGTTTAATTTGATGAAAACTAAAAATATGGAAATGGACACTTCCGCCATCTGATGCAAAGATAACAGCAGAAACTTTCGCTTGATACTGATCAGTTTGACAACATTTATACAAGGGATACTTGATTGGATCAACATTTGAACTTCCACACCAAAACTAATGCGATTTGAAGGAAATAATGAGTTCTTTATATTACTTCTCACAAATTATAATGAATCGTCACCGTGCAGCTGATGTACGCTGATGCTGTACATAATACATGTATACACAATGAATGGTCATTTGCTGAATCATCCCCCGTTCTAAAATGTGTAGTTAACAAATACATATTCTCTTAAACATAATCCATACTCTCAGACTGCAGGGAAAATAATAACCAAACGAAATGTGAAAAAACAACCTTTTTACAAGGGTCGATTATGTGGGCCGATTCACTCAGAAAAAATCTGGACAGTGCTTGTAAAACGTTTATCTTAATTAGAAAGTTAAAACCATTTCTTAAAGAATGCTGTTTTATTTCACACGAAATCGTATTTGTTTTCATCAAATTATTTTTTTTAAAACCCTTGTCATAGTTTTTGTTTCAAAGCAGTCAATTTGCGTCACCGTACAGAAAGTACTCCGCTATTTTTTGACGCTGTGCGTACGGTGACGATGGAACGCTTATGTGACATGGCAACTATGGAATATATGATAATAGTCCATATAGCATGCGTGGACGCCACAGTTCAACGATATCTTTCACCGGTAAACAAAATGTCGGAACGTCGAAGGCACGATTTTTCTTTTTTCCTTATTTCACGCGTTGCAGGCAGAATGTTTTTTCTCACAACGTGCATCAGTATCATATGTTTTAGAAAATGTACATGTTTGCGAAAAAATAGCTCAGAGGACAACAGAATCGTCGATTTACTTCCTCACTTAAGTTACATAAACGGTTTGCGAAAAACAGTTAAGATCTGCACTTTTAACCCAAACCGTTTATGTAACTTAAGTGAGGAAGTACAGGTAATTCGACGATTCTGTTGTCTTCTGAACTATTTGTTCGCAAATATGTTCACGTTCTTAAACATATGATACTGATACACGTTTGTGTTAAAAAATGTCGTGGGAATTCTGCCTACAAAGTGTAAAATAAGGAAACGAGAAAAATCGTACCTTCCGACATTTTGTTACCAAAACGAACCGTTTTGGTAACCAGCGTAATCGAGTGGATCACCAGTGAAAAGGGAAGGTCTACACGACCTGTAATAAATACTTGTAAGTGACATTATCATCACAACAATAATGTCATTGCTGGCTTTTTGAAATAAGTTTAATTCATATATAGAATAAAAAGAATCTCGATATCATAAACCTCATACAGTATATGCCCGAGGACCATAATTATGATAATAATTTATATTATCACGGGAAAACATTTTGGGCCCCTAAACCCAAAGGTGAGCCCAAATTTTGAAAATTTAAGGCCCATTTTCTTCAAAATTTGGTCTTTAATAAAAAAAAAATGACCAAAAGGCCCACAGACTTGACTGAGTATATTTGCATGTCTGGTCTTCGGTGGGGATTTTTTGTTAAGGGAATTACTGGAGGGAATTAAGGGAAAACAAAATCAAATCCTCCAAATCGTATGATCCGGTTGCGCAACACATTAGTCTCTCCTCGTAGGCCTACAGTACTTGAAAAATAACAAATAACTTGATTCACATGATTCATGACTCAATTATTAATCGTTATGGAATGTCTTTTTATCGTGATCAATAAGTTAATTATAAATCCGGGGAGCCACTGCCAAACTAAAAGGTACCAACGCTATCTCAGATCAAGGACGTCCTTGCTCAGATCCACGGCTCAGATCGTGTTACATGGTATTCATCACTGAAATGATGCATGCACAATGATCTGACAGTTATGATGTATAGCCTCACAGTATTACTAACACTTACTCCAATCCGTGATCATATGGATGATTTTTTCTCAAAATAAATACAGTATACCAACGTATATATGCGTATGGACATTTAGTCAGGATACTCAGTGCGCTAACTCATTGGCTAAGACTAATAATGGTGTCAACACTTGACTATTGAGGCGTGCTCGTATTTACGCAAAACATGATGACGTCACTAACTCATGAGCTCAAGTGAAATTTCACAAAACAGGAAAAGTTTGAAAATTCCTCTGTTATTTGCGAATAGTACCGGATATAGGTGAGTAAATATAATTGTTTATCATATATATGTCGTTTCATAATTATGTGCTTCATTGAAGAATTTATTTCAATTTGATAACTTGATTTCTAAGCTCAATCATGAAGTTCTAGCGAATTTTGTTTACTTCCGGGTTCCTTGTAATCTACACTGCAGTAAGGGGCAGCGAAAATGTCAGTCTAAGAAACCGAAAAATAAGTAATCAAAGGACTATAGTCCTGTTTAGGGTGCAAAACGTTTGTATTTTTCGATTACTTGTGCCATGCTTGTGCTTAGGCAAAAAATGTGTGGATGTATCATGATTCTCTGTTTCTGCACAAGCTCACAAGGGGCATTCTGCGCAAAGTGATAGAATGTAAAATGTTCTTGTCAATTTAATCTTTAAAACTGATTACAATGTGTTCTATATATTTATTTATATGTTTCTAGATTCTTACAAGTTACAATCCAAAACACCTGAAAATATTTCTGAGATCCTGATCAAATATTGAATTTATTGAACAAGATATAGAAATTATGTCAAAATAATTTTCAACCAACATTAGAATCAAGTCATTTTGATGAAATACAAAACTCTTAAAACTATTTAGCAGTACACGTCCCAAAACATGTCTTGATTGGAACCTATTGCATAATAATTAAACTGTAAGCCTATCTTTAGTCCAATGTTCAAGTACCCATAAATGATTGTCAGTGAGTGATAAGTGACGTGTTATTATAGTGATAATATGGAATTGAAAAATAAGTCTTAAAACAATTGAAATAGATTTTAGTAACTTTGAAAGTTGTAATTTGAGCTTTTAATATGTACTATTTTGTAAGTATATTCAGAAGTATAAATTGAAATATTAAATGTTGGAATAATGACTTATTCAAAAAATCGTGGATAGAGTGCAAGTTTGGTGATTCATAAATAAATTAAACTAAGGCTACTGTATTGAATTCCTTGTTTAGTATCATTCATTTTTGTAATTCTAATTTTTAATGGCCCCAGTCTTTAATTTAATATTCTGTGCCCCAAAAAATTAAAATATAACTGTCTAAATGAAATTAACATCACAGTTTATTTTCAATTAATACTTTGCCAAATGAACATATTTCTATGTGTAGAGAATAGGGAGGGAACATTTGATTTAAATTATTTTTTGAATCATTTTGGCTTTAATATACACTGAAACCTGTAAAGTGGAACTCCTCTAGAAGTGGAACACCTCTCTGCCAGTGGAACACTTTTCACAGTCACAATCAAGATTTAGACCAACCAATAAGTTATTTCAATGCAACAAATGATTACATAAAGCTACAACTCAATACTACATATACTCATGGTTTAGTCTTTGTAACTAGGACACCAGTCTGAAATATTATAAAATACAAAGTCAAGTTCACTTCTTCCAAAAGCATACATTTATTATACATTTGTCCTTATTTTTTTAACAGAATGGGTTTTGTTTATAAAATGAATTCCAATAAATACAGTTTATTACTTTTGGAGGGTCTAAGCTTAAAGCTTTCTATGGGCCCTTACATCACAACCATAGGAGTTCCACCTTTACCTTTCTGACTCATTTAGTTAGTTTACAAAAGACCTCAGATGGCCTTGACTTATAGTTACCTCAGTTCAATAAGTTAAAGATGTGAATTGAATCAATGCAATTATTAAAAAAAATATTAGTCATGGATATGAATATTGTAAACAACTAAACTGCTAAACTTTTAACATATGGTTAGTGAAACTTTCTACATGTATATGTAATTGGACTCTAATTATTCAAAACATCTGGTGAGTATCTAATTTATTTGGGAGTATATGAAATAATAAAATGTATGAATGTTTTTCATCGCGAAAGATCCATCATTAATTGAATTTTACTCTGTAATATTTTATCTGATTGGTTCAGTATGTGTCACATGGTTATTATTGTTATGGGACATATGTAATGATTAGCTACTTTAATAAATGAATACAGTAGATCATTTAGTTGAAATGTCCATGGTGACATTTAGAGATATTTAATTCGTTAGTTTTTTATAGGTGTAGGATTTTACATTAAGATTTTAGAGGGGTTACAAAAAAATGGCATCAGGAGTGCTTATGGCCACAAATATATCATCAAAACAACAAAAAGAACGTAAATTTCTAAAAAAGAGTGCATCATTAGATGATATGATAGATGAAAAGAAAGTAAAGGAAAAATCGATGGAGTCAAAATCAAAATCAAGTAAGAGTGAATCTGAGGAGAGTACTTTGAAGGATAAAAAACATAAAAGTAGTACCAAGAAACCTAATTCTGCTATGACTGCAAGAGGAACAGTAAAGTTAAAAGATGAAAAACGCTCAAAGTTTAGTTTTAGTTTATTCGGTGGATTAACTTTTAGTAAGCCTAAGGTAAAACAGAGAACAGTTTTGAGCCCTGCAGTGACCAGAAAAACAAATGATGTCATAAACACACTTGGAAATTCAAAAAGTAATCCAAAACAAAAAGGGACAAGAACTCGATCTAAATCCAAAGATCGTGGTTCAATAATTGAATCTCATACTTCTGGTACATCTAGCCGCTCACATACAAAACCCAGAGAACGCACAGCATTAGGTACCTATAAGGAAAAGATCAAAACCAGAGAGAACTCAAAGGAGAGGAGTAAACATGGTGTTAATGGGAATAAAAGTCCCAGTATTTCATGCTACCAGGGTAAAAGGTCCCATATGCCTTTACCACCCATTCCACAATTACCCGAAGTGTTAGAGGAAGATTCTGAGGAGTTTCATTCTGCCCTAGGGCTAGCTTTAGGTAGATTTTGTTTCATTTTTTGGCATGGGACCTAAACTTTTGAATATGTAGAATCTCTCATAGATGTTGTTGGCATGGGATTAAATTGTTATATCAAAGTTGTTTGATTGTAACTTGCTCAATTTGTCCTTCAGGGTACAATTTCTATATTGCTGTGAGGATTTGAGCAAAAATAATCTGGAAATGTTGCATGGGGATTATTGGTAGATAGCTAGCTATTGAGTAATGTTATGCCAGATCAATGTTTAGCCGTCAACCTTGCCAAAATATCTGAATAATTACAGTTTATATATTCATCATAGGGATATATGCCTTAATTCATATATTATATTTATCTGGATACCTACTGCCCATTTTACCAATAAATGACTGAATTATGATGGTTTTCCACTTGTTTTCTACTGTTTAATGCTAATCTAGCCTAACCAAAACATTACTTCCATCTATTGGTTGCTATCAATCAGCTTATAGTGAATTTTGTCATAAACTCATATGGGTTATCTGGACTCTTATCCCTCATTTGTGTGCCTTAATACACTCTACTATACCTTGCATTTGGTGTTCATGAGCAACCCATTTGACTTATTAGTAATAATTATGTTATTTGTTTTTATTTGTCTGTTCCTTATAATGGTTTATAGGTTGAAAGTTAGATGTTAATAAGGTACTTTCAAAAATCTACTAAACAATGCGATTAGACAAACAGAGTATCTTATGCATTTCTAGGGGTGACGTATAGTAGAGTGTAATAGTGAACTACAGTGACATTCAACTTTCCAAGTGCAACGCCCTAATGTAGACATTAAGCACATAAGTCAAGATTCATGATTCTTTGCCTAAATTGCATGTGATTTATTAAGATGTAATACAGGTTTAATATAGGTTAAGACCACATATACCAAAATGTAAATCTCACCATTCAGAATCTTATATAGATGAGGACTGTGTATGGATTGCCCATTTTCTTTCCATATTATTCATAGAGATTCTTGATTCTGTGCATTATATATTTCATTATTGAAGTTTCACATACATGTACTTATCAATTATTTCATTTGTGTAAACATCAATAATGATGAATCGCTACACTCCTCGAGTCAAAAGTGGTGTGTCTCTAGAGATATTGAGACACACAACTTTTGTTACCATGGTAATATGGTAAAAGGTAAAAGCCTATTGAATTTCATGAATTAAAATTCACAATGACAGTGTATTTTCGTGAAATGGTGGTGGCCACCTGTCTCTGATCACTCTCCAAACTATTTCTATCATATACAATACAATTCTCTTTGCATTGTGCATGTAAAAAATATAAAATGGTTAGCTATAATAAGTCTTCTTTGTATATGTTATGTGATACGCTAGATATATTATTATTATATGGGTACCTGTATGTATGTAATGGGATGTCATGTTATGGTCATGTCATGCATTTTGATTCAGATTAGCCAGAAATAAGATGTAAACTCAATCCAGATGATCAGATCAAATCATACCAGCAGTTTAATACTGATATTGTTCAGGTATATTTACATTGCTCTTTATTCAAATAATACAAGAGATATAAGGTTAATACATGTATATGCATGAGGTACAAGTCAAGGACTGGGATTTGAGGTTTATATGTTAACAAAGTAAATTAAGGAATACATGTTCTTTATTGCATGGTAAGTTTTGACTTGTTTTAGTTATGATCTGATCATATGTAAGGTGTTAAGTTTTTCAGTCTGTACCATGTTTTAATTTGTGTGTTTAGTTGCCTTCATTGTTAGAATATTTTTATAACAATAGAGGACATGTTGTGTTTCCTTGTTTACAACTGTACATTGACATCACCATGTTCTTATTATATGAGGAAATGCTTCAAGTTTGGTGTTATTTTCTTTTTGATATAAATCATATATTGTAATTAGAGGTTATGTCACTATCATGGCATATATGCCCGAGGTCTCAGTGATATATGGCCCGACCTTGGGAGGGACATTGATCTCTGAGAACCGAGGGCATATGTGCCACGATAGTGACATAAACGATTTATAACATACCTATGATGATGTAGACTGGTCAGAGAGTACCGTTTTCTTATAGAATTGACAAACAAATGGTTTGAAAATGATTGAAATGAGTTTAGAAAAATTGCTCGCGCAGTTTTATCTTCGATTGATTGGTTATGACGTCAGCGCCTTGACCAATCAGAAAGTTAGCGGGCGCGGGCTTTTCAAAACTTATATTGGCCCGCTGTCTTGTGTACACTTTGCACTATACATCATCATAGGTATGTTATAATCATGTATTCATACCATGAAGATGTTGTTATTCCCACCACTTGATTATTAGTGATCTGCTGCATTATTTGTTTTATCTTAACATGTACAGTAAAACCTGCCATAGTGAACACCTCTCTCTAGTGAACACCTGTCTTAGTAGACTTCTGTATAAATCACCCTCTCTCTAGTGAACACGAACAAAGGATTTTTTCTTGACGAAAATGTTCAATATACACAGGTTTTACTTTTCATTGTAATTGTTGCTTGTGATCCAGTTTATAGTTATCAAAATGCACAACAAACTGTAAATGAATACTATCACATTATTTGACTAAATAGCCATTATTGTTATTTGCAACCATGCTCTTTGCCATTGCCAAGGTGATACTTCTAAATATATATCACATCATTTTTTGGAAATAACTATATTCAGAAGCATGATCTTAGTACATATTACACCCGCCATAATGCTACAACAAATCTTACATTGACCCCAATTCAATGTATATCCCATCATTTTCTTTAAATACTATTGTTATTCACAAACATGCTCTTATATATATTACACCCGCCATAATGCTACAACAAATCTTACATTGACCCCAATTCAATGTATATCCCATCATTTTCTTTAAATACTATTGTTATTCACAAACATGCTCTTATATATATTACAGCCGCCATAATGCTACAACAAATCTTACATTGACCCCAATTCAATGTATATCCCATCATTTTCTTTAAATACTATTGTTATTCACAAACATGCTCTTATATATATTACAGCCGCCAAAATGCTTCAACAAATCCTACAGGACATGTACATTGATCCTGACCTTCTGGCCGAACTCTCTGAGGAACAGAAACAAATATTGTTCTGTAAAATGAGAGAGGTAAACACCTTTTGTAACAGAAATTCATCTTTGAGGTTTTAAATTTAGCGCCATTTTTGTTAATATATTGCTACAAATGTACCCTTCAAAGGTTTGCGTGATATCCCCACTCTGAAATGGTTGAGGATTTTGACAAAGACATTTGGCTGTCAAATGTCAAAAAGTCATATTTAGCTTTCATTGGTCACAATTTTATGGCCATTTACAAAACATGTTCCAAATGTGGTAACAGGCCACACTCACCAGACATGAAATACCCACAATTTTTATCTTCAGGGCTAATGTCTATACTAACAACCCTTTCTATCACCATTTTATTTTCACTATCCAGGAACAGGTCAGAAGATACAACGAATACGAAGAAAAAGTAGATACTGAAAAAAGAAAACCACCAAGGCCTCGAAAACCAGGTAATTTATTGCACACAAATAAGATTAGAAAAGTCATGAGAATGTATTCCATAATGTAATTTTTTAATTATGTATTCCATATTTTTCCATAATTGACCTCTTTGGAATATAAGTAATATCTTACATAAAGATGAATGAAATATGAGAACTGATTCAGTGAAAAAGATATCAGATTTTCCATTTTTTACTATATTTGATTCGATTCATGTTTTGCTGGGAGCCTGCCCTGAGAGCAACCTAAAACACGTTGTCTGTTGCATGTTGGAATGTACAAGGAATTAAAAACAATATGATCAATAAGCTTGAAAGTGCTGATTTTACGAAAGAAATCAAAAAGCATCACATTATAGGTAATAACCAGCAATAAAAGACATGGTGGTGTTGCAGTATTGAATTTGGTCTAATACCTTGTACCGTATTGATCTATCAATGTACTGTCTTTCATATGACTGAAGGAATGCACTGGTTTAACTTAAACTACAAGACCTCTTTAATAGCTCAAATGGTGGCAGTACATTTAGGCTAAGCACAATGTATATCGACTGAACTCAAATGAAGATGAATTATGAGCAGTAAATGTTGGAGTAAGTGGTATTTGGTTCCAGGGTGTGGCATTTATAGTTCATATGTAATGATTAACTGCAACAATAATTGTCAACTCATAAGTGGCCATCTAATCATCTGACATGCTGTTTATTATGTGATTGTACCAGGTTCGATGTAATATGAGTTATCAATATGTATCAAGTTAAATAGACAGTCTTTGCATTTTCCCTTATTGTGACACAATTTCACTAAGCAACGGTTGTTTCATTGTTTTGATTTGCCTGTAACATATGTAGGTATTGTTGTTTGATCTTGGTAATGTCACAGATACATTGATGCCAATCCCAACCTTTAATCACACCCTTTTTTATTTGAGCCAAAATTACAGGCCTGTAGCCAGGGGGGGGGGGGTCGCAGGGTTCGGGCGAACCCCCCCCCCTGGCCAAAAATTCTTTCAAAATCGTGCAGTTTTTCACCATTTTGAGCACTTCTCAAGTGATTTTAGCCATATTTGGATCAAAGTTGTCAAATGTGAGCCCCCCCCTGGAAATTTGTGAAAACTGAACCCCCCCCCCCTTGGCAAATCCTGGCTACGGGCCTGAATCACTTTATGGTTGAATCTTGGACTATGTCAATGTCAGGTTAAATGATCAAATGCTGAAAAGATAAAATGGTGTAGTTATTCAGGACTGCTAATTAAAATTGATATTTTGTTTTCCACACTCCCCAAGAAATGGCTTTGTTTCATCAAAAGATAAATTGAGGGGTTCATAATACGCAAAGTAAATCCCATACTAAGCCATTTTGCTTTTTAAAAAATAAGAATTAAAGAAATAACATTGAAAGCACTAGCTCCATATCCCTGATTCCTATTCTAAAATTCTGATTTTATTCTCCAGGATTTAAAAGTCAAATTAGAGACGAAAATATTTGGGCATGTACTAAGCTAACAACCAGCTACCAAGCAAGTCAAGATTAATGATTTCACTGTTTTGTTTAATACAGGTCGGCGAGTAGAGAGGATTCAGTTCCTGGAGGGGAAAGATGGCAATGAATGGGTTTGGGTGATGGGGGAACACAAGAATGACAAACCTATAGAGCAGATCATAGAGGAAGAAGCACAGCTGAAGGCTGCTAAGCTGGCAGAAGTGGAGGCTGAGGAACTAAGGTGGGTGTGGTCTTGTGCAGGGGGAGATTTGTTTTTGTTCCAAAATGTAGTTTAGCTTTTCAGATTGACCCATTGCTTCAAATTTAGAACATTGTTGTTGATATCTTTTAGATTAAAACAACTGTCACTTATATTTGTAGTTCTTAGACTAACCTAATTTCTTAAAGATTTAAAGCATGGAAGCATGAATTAAACATTTGTCGTCTGACAGATTTGGCACAAAAACTAGTGTGACTTTATATGATGACCAGTGTCCACAACAATAATATGCTTGTGTATATCACATGGTACATACCAAATTAAGCGTGACAGTTGAGCGCACGGGGTACAGTTCAACAGGAGGGTGATGAAATTTGAGCAAAGTGAAGAGATTATATAATAACGACGGGGCCAAATGGAAACTTTTCTTCTATAAATTATTCCCTAATCTTGACTCAAAAGAAATCTTTCAAGCAAAATTCAAAAATGATGCCCTTAATACTTTTCCACCTTTTTACCTCTCAATTATGAAAACTTGGAGTAAAGTTCACAACGATGAACCCTATGATAAAACTACAATAATGAACGAAACTATTTGGAACAATAAATGGTTAACAATAAATAATGAAACGGTAAATTACACAAATTGGAAAATCCGAGGAGTAAAACAAATCAAAGACCTTATGAAAGAAAATGGAGAATTACTAGGATACGAAGATTTCTTCCAAAAGTACAATATCACTACACCTTTTGTAACATATTATGGAATAATTCATGCTATCCCGAGAAATTGGAAAACGCTTTTGAGAAATGAACATGAAAATATTAAAATTCTAGGGCCAAACGACATTCAAGTAAAAAAATCTATCATAAATATAAAACACATCAACACCAAACAAATATACTGGTATATTATAAAAGATATTTTTAAAGAACCAACAGGGAAACGATACTTCAATGAAAAATACAATCTCTCCGAATATGAATGGAAATCGACCTTTAGATTACCCTTTGAAGTTGCCCGTGAACCAAAGATACAAAGCTTTCAATATAAACTCTTATTAAACCTCACGCCATGCAATCTATTTTTGTTTAATAAAAAAATCTCTGCATCAAACTTATGCGACAAATGTAACCTTGGCCAAATAGACGATACCCTTCATTTCTACATCGATTGCCCAACAGTAGTGAATTTCTGGAATGACATGTCATTTTTTTTCAATAACATTCAATTAAACAATAGGGATATATTACTAGGCGTTACAAATAATCAGGAAAATGACAATAAATCCGTACTTAACTATTGCCTACTTTACGCAAAAAATTACATTCACTCTTCCAAATTGAGTAATTCGATAATCAACATCAACGGTTTTAAAAATATCTTAAGAAATAAAATAAAAAATGAATTAAAAATATCAACAGAAAATCAGACTAGGCCCATCTTTATTAAAAAATGGATTTCTATTCTTAACAAACTAGAGATACGTTTTTAACACAAACCTAACTGTATTTACTTGCGTCTTTATTACCTATTGTATTTTCACCATTCTATGTACCTGTATACTATGATTATGTTGTACAAACATGTCCCATTTATTATGTTTTTATATTTTGTTAACGAGGTAATTTTGTTAACGATTAAAAATATCCAAAACTGTGCTTATGTGTGTAAATTATGATGTATTGTAAATTGTAATTGTAAAAGTAAAATGATAATAAATATATTATGATAAAAAAAAATAAAAAAAAGAAATTTGAGCAAACTGATCTTTTCATCGTTTCAGAAAGATTTGGTCTAATTTCTAGATATGTCTGTAACAATACAGTATCTTAGACAGTGAATTTGATGGTGAATTTTATAGTTATACCTACACAAACTCCGAATGTAGTATAATACAGTATAACACGTGGGTAAGATACGCTGCAACGCAAATTTAAATTTCTTGTGTTGTACTTTACAGTTACCACACGTTATACTGTATACTACATTCGGAGTTTGAGTAGGCTTAACTATGAAATTCATCATCAAGTTCACCGTCTAGGATGTTGTTACATATAGAAATATCTAGAAACTCGACCACATCTTTCTGTAACGATGAAAACATCTGTTTGCACAAATTTCATCACCCTCGTGTTGTACCATATCCCGTACATTCAACTGTCACGCTTGATTCGGTACGTACCCTGTGTATATGCAATCGCAGTTTACGAGTGCAAACAAAGCCCTTGTAGAATACACATGCATGCTCCCAAGTCTTTCAATCATATATTAAAAGATAAATGCCTTCTCTATCGTTATTGACAAAATAATTCTGCCAAACCAAACCTTACAATTCCCAGTTGTAGAAGTGATTGCTTGCTGGATTCAGTGTGCATTTTGTATACATTACTAATTTTTTTTATCTAAAATTTATTTATTTTACTAATTACATTAATATTTGCATGTTAGAAACCAGGAAGAGACCGAAATTGCTAAGAAGGCAGCTCAAGAGCAGGCGAGGCTAGAAAGAGAAAAACAGGCACAAGAAGAAGAATTGAGGTAAAAATTGTCACATTTTGTAAGACTTTGCCTTGAAAACTGCATGTTCGAAAATGTTGTCAATTTTGTCAAGAGATTTAGATTAATCTCCAAGAATAGCAAGAAATGTTTCACATACTCAACACATTTTCAAGGTCTGAAAATCTTGTACTTGTCAATTAATGAATCCGATCGAGTTTAAAACCAGTTGTACAATGGAATTTACTACAAGAGTGAATCACATTGAAATGCGCACATGACATTTAGATGTGTTCACATTGATTCACATAAATGTGTCAAGAAAAAGGATAAAGATAAAATTATTTATTTGGTGTAGTGCTAATATCCATTTTAAGATTGATTTATTATGCATTTTATCTCTCGCTTGACTTTATCCCCCTGTTAAACTCTTGCATATCAAATTCTCTGAAACTACACTTCCTTTCAAATCCAAAATAAATGTTTACATTGATTGTACCTGTACTTCCTTATTAAAAGCTGGAGCTATATACATTTATAATCTATTGACTTGCTAAAACATCTATATATTCTCTGTGAATACAACATTGACTATTCACTTTATATTCTCTATGAATACATTGACTATTTACCAACATTGGTCTTGTTTTCAAATATGGTTATGCATGAGACAGAAAGGGCTTTCTCTTTAGCTCAAAGTACAGTGATTAATAAATGATGAATAATTAACCGGTTCATCGGAATCATCTTGGAAGTGAATTGCCGGGGTGAATTGACTGGGGTGGGTGCGAGTCATACCTAAATTAGTGGTCTAAGTAAATAACAATGCATATTTGAATATGACTGGCTCAATTAAATCATACAGTAACTTATTTAGATGAACTGGTCATTTGCTTGACATTTTTATATGGACCACCTGAAAAATAGGCAGAATGTGGCAGTTAAGGAGGAGGAAATAAGGTTGTGTCAGTCTTAAAAATAATGTTCTGCTTTTAGGCGCCAGGAGGAGGAAGCAAGGTTGTATCAGACTTTGAAAGAAGCCAAGATGGCTGAACAGAAACTACAAGAAGAAAGGCGGAAAAGGGAAGAAGAGGAAAAACGAAAGTTGAAAGAGATTGAGGTATGTTGGAAATCAAACAATGGATTATGTTACGTTTTGGCCAGCAGACTTGGATATTGTCTGTTTTGTATCTAGCTTATCTACAATCTACATGCTCATCTGTTAATGTATTAACACAAGCCCAAAGTTTGTTTGTTGGTGCGCCCATCTTTGTGTTACACCAAAATGATCAAATAACATGTGATAAATCCAAATATGAGACTCAGTGGCCGTGAATTGGTACGATCCGCAATCCGATCTGGATGAATTTTATCTTTTGAGATAAATCTGAAAAACAAGGATTATTAGAGGGAATCCCGAAGATTCACCGATTTTTGGATTAATTCTAGGATCAATCCCACAATGCATCATTACCATGATGAAATTTATCTGCATTGAACTGATGTTCAATGTGTTATTATTCTAAGAGTCTGTTGATTTGCTGGTCACTTCATTATGATCACACCCATGAAAAAAACGATTTTGATTGGTCAATAGTAAGTGGTGTTCTTGTGACATAATGTGTGATAAGTCAAGTGTGCTCCAATGAGGACTGCTAGATTATTTTATTTTTTGAAAAGGCCAAATAATTGTGACATTTAATGTCAATGATTACTGAATTTAAAGGAATTTGAAGGGATAGAGATTGTAAAATGTTGGAGACTACATTTTCAAAAAGCACGCCAGTGTGCGTGTCCCTTACAATCATTTTTTTTCCTGAGAAGGGTATACATATTATTGATTGAATCTCCAAATTGATTAGATTGAATATGGGATATGCCTTTTTCAAGACTGTTGCCAGATAACCTCTTTAAATAAAGTCTGAACTTATGGTTGTTTTGGAAATTAGGCATTCCCATGAAATGAGTGCAAATTTTTTTGTTTGAAACTTACTCCCATCTTGTCTCTATTCTAGTCCCTTTAACCCATGCTAATCCACTTAGATTTAAAAACTTATGTACATTATAATACATTATGTAATTAAATTAAGACCCTTTTACAAATCTCATTTCATATCGCAACAACCATTCTACTAATAAAATCATTGTGATTTTATCAAGATCTTCAAATCTGCATTCTGCATACACATTTATGAATATTGGATGTTTTATGATTGTATTAAAATAGCACTTGACACATGTTGTTTGTTTTGAACCATATTGAACTGACAGACATATTATGTCACATTTAACTTATGTTTCGTGTACAATGTAATTACAGCAAACACAGGTGCTACGTCGAAGAAAAACTCGTGAAAGTGTCAAGCAGTTAAAAGAACGGAGAAGTAGCGACATCTATATGTCATTTAAAAAAGCTCGCCAAAACTTTGAAAAAACAGCTCAGGAAACCATGACTAAGGTGGAAGTTGAATGGAAAGAGAGAGGTGAGAGATATCTAAGATATACTAAAACATTTTCATAATTAATTGAAAGTATCTGTATGGTGTTGAAATGTCAGCAGTTAACAACGTTGATTTCATTATGATTTAATGAATAAGAGGTAATAATAAAATGTTATCTCCCCCTCACCATATAGCAAGATTTAAAACTGTTGATTTTCACTTGACTTGACTTGAACAATATTTCAACTCCCCGGGTTCACCTATGACATTTTTGTTAATCTCTTGGCCTGAAAAACATAATTCTTCTATGGTGACAATTGGACAACATCACTTACCTGATAGTTTTATATAAATTTATTCTCTCTTAGTAAAAGTAGCTAAAGAGATTGCTGGTTGTTTCAAGGTTATTTTATATGAATGTGCTGTTGAATATAATATGAAAAAACATTTTTTCTTTTATTTAAATAAATTGGAATGAATTCATGTCTTGGTTTATGTTATGTACTGTAAAATGTATTTATTTTCTACAAAAACGACCTGTCCATAGAATCTCAAGATTTGACATGTATCACCAGATGGCATCCAAGAGTAGATACAGTACATTCAAGGGGTACTATGAGTATGCCTTCTTGTGTGCTGCCTCTTGAGTGGTCAATAATACAGATTATTACCACCTTGCTGGGCCTGTTCTAGGGGTATTAGTGCCAGTTTAGAAGACATTTATTTTACTCGACATGAGCAATATGTGACTTCATAGTGGCGGGCAAATAATGCATTAAAGCCTGGCAATTTTCCCCGGGAAATGAGATATCGTCCAATGCGTATAACTATTGCCCTTCGAAACTACGTTATTGTGCTATTATATTAATTAAATAATGAGTCTGTCTGTAAGATTCTAATGAAAGATTCACAAAATGCATAGTATTAACCTGAATGAATCTGTCACTTTTCTAGAAAAGAAAGCTAAAGAGTTTGATGAAGAAAAACGTGCAATAGCTCGACGTGCAAGAGAGGAACACAGGAAGTCCTTATCAATGAAGCATTCTGGGAAAGTGATAGGTGCAGTTACAGCAATGATGAGACGACACACAGTTGTTGGTGCGCCTCCTCCCATGACAAGGTGAATATCATATGCTGTCCATCCATGACAAGACTGTTTGTCACTATATACTTACACTTGATTTTTTGCTAATTAATCAGTTATGTCAGATATCATGTGTGTAATGTCTTGCTAATTAATCAGTTATGTCAGATATATCATGTGTGTAATGTCTTGCTAATTAATCAGTTATGTCAGATATATCATGTGTGTAATATCTTGCAATGAGGAATTGTTGTGAGTTTCTGAAAAATGACATAATATATTCTTGATCAAATAAATGTATGATTTCAGCTCCAACAACAATAGTCCCGGCAGCAAACCCCGCCCACCTAGACCTGATGACAGAGACGCTGTCATTGATTGGTTCAAGGATGTAGAAAAACAAAAAAATGTTGGGAAAGATCCTAAAACAAGAAATGTTGAGCCTTGGTTCCATGGTAATAAGCCATATCATTTTAATTTTTTGTTTACATGTTTAAAGTCTATTCATTCACAAAATTAATAAATAAAAAACAAATAGATAGACATTCTAATCTTTGTTTAAAACATAATTTATTAAACTGCAAGTTTTGAGTTTTTATTGAACAATAGTTATTTTTCCAATAAAACTGTTGAACTGAAAAATGTTGTAATGCAAATCAAACAAATGTAATAGTAAACTAATGGAAACTGTATTGTTCTTTAATGACTATTTGAGAAATCACAAGTGGTAATATCAGATAGCAAACCCAGCAAACTGTAAACAAAATGATGAAACACAATAATTTTAAAATATTCTGCTATACATATATTTTCTCCTCATTATGTATTTAAGGGGTTATAACACGGGTGGAAGCTGAGAGCCTCTTAGAAAACAAAAGAGTAGGGACATACCTTGTGAGGGTTAGTGAAAAGGTCTGGGGCTACACCATCAGTTTCAAGGATGAAGACAGATGCAAACATTTCCTAATTGACACTTCTGATGATAGCTATCAATTCTTTGGGACCAATCAAATTGCACATAAAAGTCTTTTAGACCTAGTGGGTTACCATCAAGTAAGTGGTGCTAAAGCAGCTCAGTTATAATACAACATAGTGGCTCTCATTTCAAAATGGCGTTTTCATTTTTACTGTGTTATTTTCAAGAGCATTGTCCATATAACTAAATGGTAGAATTTACCGTGGGTATTCCATATACTGTAACAGCCCAAATTTTCAAGGTGCCCTAATTTTCACTATTTTCGCTGAAGAGGCTAGACCGTGAAATTAAAGGCACAGTGAAAATTTGATTCAACATTGAATTCGATTGGATATTTCTTCAGACAGTAGACTTTAATGCCCATGAAATATTTCAGATTGACAAAATAGTGAAATTTTTGTCAGCGAAAATTTGGGCTTTTACAGTAGTTAAGTATAGAGAGATTTTAAATCAATTATGATTTATTATTAATTATGATTACTGTGGGCACATACCATGGCAATCAAATCATATGTTCATCATGTTAATTTTGATATCGAGTGAAGCAATGAGGCTAGAGACATAGATATGCAGTATTAGACCCTAATCTTTTTGAAGTGAGAGCCATCTTATGATAGATCATGACTTTCAATTCATGAAATCATTGTGATCACATTCATGAACCAAAATTAGTCCACATTGTTATTAAAATGATAATTTGAGAATTCACAAATAGTTTGTCCTAATAAATCATAGGAAATCATGTCAACATAATAGAAGGAGCAAAGCCATATTTTGATTGCCTTATCTTTGAAGTCCCAGTTCTGACTCAATTGAACGAATAGACTCATTTAACATGCTTTTATATTTTTAATGTTTTTGGTGCTTACTTGCCTAAAATCAATATCTAGGGTGAGCTAAGAAATCATGCTCCCCCATGTGATAAATGAGCGTCCCCGGACTAATATAAATTCTCAGACTCAGTTTGCTATTAAATTCTGGTGTTTACTTGCAGAAGAAACCTATTTCTGGTGTGGGCCAAGAAGTCCTGCTGTTCCCCTGCGGTCAGATGCGAGACCCTCCTGATTACTATGAACTTTTTCAAAATGACAAGGTGGAAGTGACAGCTTTATAGCGAACCAATCAAATACTAGCATTCCAATATAACAAGTAAATCCAGCTGTTGCCAATTTTAAAAACTGTACTCTCGCTCAAAGACAGGGATTACTAAAAGAGAAAGGGACCATTTGAATTCATGCTATATTATTGTTAGCCCTGTCACTGAAATCTTTAAAATTGTTAAATTAAACAAAGTGCATTTACTCTAATCCATGCTGATATTTAAAATAAGCAGTAACTTTCTACTTATATAGTGAGCCCAGTATGTCAAGTTAACTTACAGAGGTGAACTTTTTTGTGAAAAAGTAGAAAATGAAAAAAGAATGCTCAAAATGACTGCTGAAAAGCACAAGCTTTACTGAATATTCAGGAACATAGTTGATTTTGATATAGAAGTACTTCAGTAGTGCAATGGACATCTTAGAACAGTGCAATGTTGAAGAGGCACATCCTGATTATGAAAGTACATTTCTGAGGGTCCTCGATGATAAAGGGACACATGCTGATTTCTGAGTTTATTCATAATTGAGGGCTCTCTTGTAGAAGTAGCCTACGTAGAATACCATTGTATTGATGCGAAATAAGTATCATATATTCTCTCAATACACAATCATTAAAACATTAATTAAATACCATTTAAACACCATTAAAATACCATTAAATAATTAACACAATAATCAAAGATGAGCACAATTTTCAACAACATTCATCCCAGTGTTTATTTACCATTATCCAAATCATGTCTTATTTATTGTCTTTCATTATGTTTTGTTCAATTTTAAACGTAGTGTTTATTAGTAGAGCTGGCATCCATTTTGCTGTATCGTGGTAATCGATATGTGTCCCTTTAATACTTTGTTATTTAGAGATAGAAAATAGAGTAATTTTGAAATATCTACTATTTTTGAAGGAGTTTAGTGGTGACATTGTACATTTGTAACTTGTTTGTATATTGTATTATAAAACTATATTTGTATATTCAATTATATTTTATATTTTAATCTCTATGTCTACTGTAGATATCTGTTATATAATAAGCTGATTCGAATAAACAAATAAATACATACATATGTTATTAATTGTAGTTTTGAATTGTATGAGGTGTGCTCAAATATGCCATTAGTTTGTATGATTTATGTAGTGTTTTTAGCGATATTTACACAAAAACCAATGGGACTGGTGTGAACAACAACCAACTAGAAAAAATCTTAAGTGAACTGCAATGAGTCCTGACTCCCTTTAATCATCGTGAAGTTTTGCTGCTGAAAACAGGACTTTTTTCAATTTGTTCTGTAGGCTACTCTCCAACTTTTTGTGAATTGTTTGACATTTGGCAGTAGGTGTCTGCAACAAATGGGAGGTGGTGACATTTTACTTGTTAATGCCTTGATATGTCACCACCACAACTGGTGACGTATTATGATTTCCAACTTTTTTTGTATTCTTGGGGATGTATATGAAGATTGTTCATAGATTCATTTATTGATCTCATATGGGAAAATATGCTACAAAGACACAAGTCATTTTTATTATATTACATACTATTATTATTTATTGTCTGGCATCATCATGTATGGCATTCTACATATATTATGCAACATGTCTTTTTACATATACTCATTACATGTACATGGATATTATACATCTATATTTACATTTCCAATAAATATCATGTACATTCAAGTAAAGAAATTCTAACTATACATTAGAAAATACAATCTTATTTACAGACTAAAATTACTATACTATGAAGCATGAACCATTTCAGTAATTATTCATTACATTCAATCTCCTAAATCAAAAGATATACAATAATCATTATGCTCATTCATGGCTTATTTTATTTCAAACAATCTCATAATATCAACTCCAACAAAATGGCAGCTTGGACCTCATGCAAAAATAAGCACTTACCCATGGGACAATACCCAGTGAATTTTACTACCAACCAACTGATTGTTAAAACTGACCTGAATACTGCATAATTCAGATATGGCCAGTTGTTATGACAGTCCTACTTGTTATTTAAAATTCACTGGATTCTGTGGTAAATAGTCAGGTTGGATGAAACATCCTTTTGATGCAACCTAACTACTTACCATTGTGATGAGGTTATGAGCGTACCATGAGATAATAACTAGCACTGTACTAACAGTATCATGGTTAAAGTATAGAACACATTACGCCTAAATACTTAAAACGACTAAAATCAGCAAAAGGTGTACATTTCAGAATTATCATATAGTTACAATATGTTTTGTTGCTACATTTCAGCATTATGATGATAATTCATTAAAATACAGCTTAATTTTAGGTACATGATTATGATTCTACAAAATGTAACTCCATTTCTAATTCCATGATAATAACTCTACAAAATGTAACTTCATTTCAATTCCATGATAATAACTCTACAAAATGTAACTTCATTTCAATTCCATGATAATAACTCTACAAAATGTAACTTCATTTCAATTCCAAGATAATAACTCTACAAAATGTAACTCCATTTCTAATTCCATGATAATAACTCTACAAAATGTAACTTCATTTCAATTCCATGATAATAACTCTACAAAATGTAACTTCATTTCAATTCCATGATAATAACTCTACAAAATGTAACTTCATTTCAATTCCATGATAATGATTCTACAAAATGACAGTGCTGATAGCTACATATTAGTATATGATACTTTTCATTCAGTATTTGATATTAAAACATTACAGAACTTTTACAACTAATCAGGATCACAAAAGCAGTCACAACTTTATAATACAAGTAATACTGCTAAGAGTTGATGTCTTTTGCATTCCTCAAAATAAATCTGGGACCAGCACATTAATTATTTGCGAATTATTCTGGCGCCATCACATTTAAGATGTCAGACAAAATAGTTTTCAATGAAAAACTTATTTTGAAATTGATACCAGAGTGTATATGATATATTTCAGTGTTACAGGTGATAAACCCAGAATGTTTCTCATTTTAATAGTCTTTTCCTCAGTTCACACATATATGAGCAAATTCTAATTTCACTGAGTCAACATAATCTTTGTGAAAAAATATAGCTAGCCTATTTATATTTTACAAAAGGATAATGGACACAATCATTGTTCAAGTAAAAACCATTCAAAGTTACATATATGTTTAACGTCCCCTCCCATTTTGAGATAGAGGTAAATGTTCACAAAACAACATTTTTAAGTGTATAGAAATCCCATTGAAATAATCCAAGACAAAAGAAACTTAAAAATAGTGATCTAAGATCATAAAGTGCAAGCAGTTTTTTATTGACAACTACATGCTTCAGTTATATCTTCAATATTTGGTTAAGAAGTGTCTCGTTTAATGCTATATTTTACAATTGAGTAATATAAAAGTAATATAGAAATACAATTAATAAAAGTTCTGTTTTTTCACCTCCCATTCTCCTTAGATTTGGCCTTCAACAGGACATTAAAAATAGAATGAACTTTGAATGGTCTAATGCTTTTCATAGGTGAGGTATTATAAGAATATTGCAAACTTTTGTAATATTGGAATGAAACTATGAAATGGAGCAGTTTTGCATTTCATTTCTTGTTATCAGTCTTTTAAAAATATAAAGGTATATATACAGGGTGTCTCAAAAAAGAAACCAGGATTTGATTCCTTTTTTGAGACACTCTGTATAGTGCATTCTATTAATTTAAAAGCTACTTAAATAATAACATTGAAATAATACTGCTCAGAATCAAGTTCAAGCATACGTCATGCATAATGAGCGTAATACATGCACTCAGATCAGAAAAAAGCTTTCATTTACAGTGTTCTACAATAACATATTACACAGCTGTGTTTATACCTTATATATACCATGTTTCCTGTATATCAGAATCAGAATCAACTGAACATAAATATCTTTGGCAATTTACAGATCTTAAAGCTAGTTAATTTTAAGGTTGTCCATGTGCGATGACTTTTGGACATAAAATGCATTATAAAAGCTATTTGTTTCACTAGAGATACCTTAACAGTCAACAATAATTTTTATAAATCAACAACTATGGATATTATGGATAATGTGAATCTTTGGTTTAATAAAACAAGATGCATACAAAAATATTTCAGTGCCTTCTCTGAAACTTGTTCCACAACAGGCTACTAGTATATTTATTTATATGTCTAGAATTTAGAGTGCATCTGGTAACACTACAAGATTAAAGCTCATTAAGTTAACAATGTATCAGTGATTTCTAAATATAATCTTGTCTACTCCAAAAACCATTAAAGCAACCCATGCCTAACTCATTTTTTGTAAACATTCTAGAGATATAGACATACCATATATATATTTGGTATGGTATATGGTAACATCTTTGGCATTATGCAACAAATGGAATGTCTACATACTTGTTGGACTATATGGAGAAATCACTTAAACTTACAAAGTAGTATAAAATATACAAAGGTGTATAACAGATATGAAACATTCCTTTGGTTGTGCATTATTTAGTATTCCCAATCTGAAAGAACTGAATTTTGAATTTTAAAGGCAGAATCAGACATACATATAGTGTTTTATTAACCATATTTGTGATATCTGTGAAATTGTTTGAGATTCTAAGTGCAAAGCGTGTGTAAATTCTCCCATATAAGAAATGCAGATATCCATATATAAAAATGAACACATGAATGTTAAAATGTTTGGTTTTCCTCAAATAAAGTTCGGTGATTTTAAGAAAATAGATATGATGAGGAATGATATGCCAAATTTTTGAAAATGTTGCTCAGTTAGATCCGATTCTCCCTTAAATCAGTATGAAAAGTATTGACATATCGTCGCATGAGAATAACTTTGTACTATCTCACATTTTTACGGAACTGAGAAATCAAGGTTTGAAAGTTTAGAGGTCTGTATCTTACTTAGTATTGCTATGTGAAACTTGATTTTTTGTATGTCATCTGGTCTCAACCTAGAGATATCTTATATGAAATATCATACCTTGAAACAATTTACAAGATCCTTTTTTAAAACTATGGAAATGGAGTTGATACAATTTCCCACCGGAATAACAGCTTATTTCTAATTTCAAATTGTTATATCTGATATCAACTGTTTCAACCAATCAACTCTCTAAGAATTGGTCATGTGACTTGCAAAACTTGGAGTTATATATATATATATCTTTTATTTAAGGAATAAATAATGATAGGCCATTCAATATGGTGAAATTCAGCACGAGTTGGACAGAATGTTGTACAAAGCACAAACCGAAGGTGAGTGCATTTGTACTAACATTCTGTCCAACGAGTGCTGAATTTCACCATATTGAATGGCCTATCATTATTTATTCCGATTCAAACATAAAAATTAGTAAAAGCCGTGTCTGTGGAACGGGCATGAAGGAAGAATACGCATGCTGTCAAGATTCTTAAGTCGGCCGGAAAATTTTTAGAACTTGTTTGGGCTGTTCTATTTTACTCCCCGTTTTAGATTTTATACGGTGTATGCAAACATGTGTTACAGTAGTTACAGAGGGAGTAAAAAAGAACAGCTATCCCCGGACAGAGCCCCAGATGTGCAGCTGAGATGTGACGTCACTCAAAACAATGCAAATTGCAGATTGAATAGAGCATGGTCGTGCATCTATGGAGAATTAGAGAACGTTCTATATTGGCTATGCTGCATTCTGATTGGTTGAGAAATTCGAATAGAGCACGGTCATGTTTGAATGACTCTTTAAACAATCTTATATTAAAACAAAGTATGCCAATATGCATGTTATTGTATCTAGAATGAAAAATAATGTTTTGCTTTGTAAAAAAGTCTTCAAAAACCAAAGAATATTATTTAATAAAATAAAGAAAATTCAATTTATAAAACTTAAAATCAATTTCTCAAATAAGTACAATTATTTCTTAATTTTGGAATCTCAGGACACCCTTCAAAAAGAATTTTTTGCCTTTGAAACTAAGGCAGAAGTACAATGCATTGAAACCAATGATGCCAATACGGTCCCCCACATATTTCCCTCGGTATAAACCCTGAAGCCTAAACCTCCCAGCACATTACAATGTAGCCCCTAAGGGCCGGTCCGCTGGTCATTATCAGGTTATTTTTGATACAGACCAGTTGATTTTTTCACTGGGTATAGGAGAATAACATTGCAACTGGTCCGTAATTCCATTTTGACCAGCAGGTTTCAGATCCTTAGGGCCTAAGACATAACCAATTTTTATTACATGCACATGGAAGAAATTTGAAAATAGAAAAATAAATTCTAATTCATTTTAGATTAATGAAAGTGATGAAACCTCGATTTAGGTAATCACATTTTGTTCATTGGGATGCAGCTATCATTATCCATTCATTTTCTGTTGTTTGCTACTCTGTGGAATACAATTGGGAATTGAAGCAATTGTAGAAGTGGAGACTAAGAGTGGCTCTTTGTAAAGAAATTGAACCAATTTGTTACTTTTCCAAAATAAAATGTAGATGATCTAAAAACAATGATCCCAAAAATGCAAAAGAAAGGACAAATCTGAAAAACGTACTAGTAATAAATAACTAAAAAGATCCCAGATGTTCAGTGAAAAGCGCAAAGTAAATCATAGATGAAGAGAAAATAAAATAAGTGTTTTAAGGGACTATACTAACATAAAGATAACTCCTTATTGATATAGTGTATGGTCAGTAAAAGTTAAAGCTAGTTTAAATAGATTTAGCTTTTTTCCACAAACTATAAAACATCATTTTGAAAGAGATTTCAATAGTATACAGACAGTGATTGCCTTTGAGCAATGAAGTGCAAAATATGACAGTTACTATTTGTTTTGATTACTATATCTAGTATATAACCTATTATTATATACTCTATTTGAAGAAACAAATAAGTAGTCTTTCATTTTCAACATTTAATGATGACAGCTTCGTATATGCATTTCTATTGCATTTGGCCATTCAAACCCCTATAAGACCTGGTAGCAGGGAAGATAAAGGGTACTTTTGACTGCTCACATGATCTAATTAACTGGTCATTTGTACTTTTCATCTTCCCTGGTAGCGAGGATTTCGGTTTTCGAGGAAATTAGTAATTCTATTTCATATCATGTGGCCATGAATAATCCAATGAGCATCCATAATACAAAGAGTAATTGAGGGCATATAATTTTAATATGCATGGGATTACACATACTGTATCATTTTATTTTTTTGATCTACTTGTAATAGTTCTAAAACTAAAACATGAAAGGCCAGGCATGCAAACTGGCATGGTATTGTGTTACAAAACATTATTTCATTCTAGATACAATAACAGGCATATTGGCATACTTCGTTTTAATATAAGATTGTTATAACTCCAAGTTTTGCAAGTCACATGACCAATTCTTAGACAGTTGATTGGTTGAAACAGTTGATATCAGATATGACAATTTGAAATTAGAAATAAGCTGTTTGTCTGGAGATGGTACAATTTCACACTGAATTCTAGCCTAATGAGAGGGAATTGAGATGGGGCATGTATCTGAGATGAAAGCCTGTGTTTCAAATAGTAAAATTCCATGTCTATCTCAATTTTTTTGAAAATGGCAGTTAGTACAAAGTTATTCTCACGCGACGATATATACATGATCAATAAGGCATATATTTAATCTTAAAAATATTTATCTAAATAGTTTATTTTCAACAAATGAAAAAAAGGCTAATTTAATGTCATGGTATTGGTAATATGACAAAAAGAATTTTAAAACCATAATGCAAAAATGGTGGCAAGAATAAGTGTTCATACTTCAAAACTAATATTACTTAACAAAGAAATGCTGTGGTGATCAAGCACATTGAAAAACAAAAACATTTGAGCAATTAACATTTGTGGGATATGCTCATGAGAGGAAATGATATCCAAAATTATAAAATTCCATGTCACATGTTGATTAACAAGTTTCCAGATAACATTAAAATGATATTATCTTGTTTAATGTTTGTCCAAAAATGTTAATAATACATGTAGTTTATGATTTAAGTCAAATTAAAATTACATCTTTTGAGGCATATACAATCATGTCTCACTCCGACTGACTCTGATGTATGACGAGTGAACATTTCTAACAATGAGAACTCCATAATGCTCTATTGAAAAATTGAATTGATTTCACAAGATTTTTCACTAGATATGTTGAGTCTTTTGGTAAATCAGCAAATATCTTTCTGGGAAGGATTTATACAACCTTCATTTCCATATAATTTCTCTACATAAAATAATTTATATAAAAGGACGGATTTTTTGTAACATTACTAATGATCACATGTCATTGCATCCATTGTTTGGAGGATTCCAAACATTATAAACAAACAGCATAATAGTGTTTCTGATTGGACGGATTGAGTTGGCGTGATTGTGTAGCAAGCAGTGGCACTATTACAATTTGCTGTGTCACACTTGTGGCAAGTTAGAGTCCTTCTCTTCACCCTGGAAACAAAAAATATTTCAAGTCATGACAAGAAGCAATAGCACATATATTTATGATATTTTCCAAACAAGAAATGAGCTAAATAACCAAAATCAAATTCATTAAAATCACTAAACCTATTGATCTAAATTATTCTATTTACTGAAAAGACGAAAATCTCTTTATATCATTTCATTAACATCTCTAGATTGAACAATGTTCTTAGAACTATATATAAAACTGTCACATACAGAAAATGGCATTTTTGTATTAACTAAAGTATGGTATTGAAGTCTTACAAACCAAACAAAAAATAAAATAAATAAAACACCCTAAAGGCATTTCAAAGCAGTGGCTCCTATTCATTCCATACAGTTAACATGTATTCCTTTAATATTGTTCACAATTCATCATACAATGAGAAACCACAAAATGTCTGGTCATGCTCGTACATTCCCAGTGTGAGAAGGTCGCCTGATCAAAAAGTTTGTTCATTTACTGGGCAACATAGGATTTGGGAGGAGGGAAAACAAATGCACCTGTTGATATATGATGGTGTAAAAACATCAACATTTTTTCAATCTTGGGGGTATGTTTTCGAAATAAATACCTGCCGGGCAAACCCTCTATGAAAATCTAATTAAACTTGAGATAAGAATGAAATCTGAGGAACACTTAAATGTCATAAGGTACTATATCAGGTCAGTGTGACCTAGGACTTGTTATTAAATTGTTCTTACAAGGAGCTACCGACATATGATCGGGCTTTGGCATGATACGGACAATAGCTCTTCATATTTTAATGAATATAAAGTAAATAAACTTGGTGTGCTCTCATTTGATCTAAATATTGCTATTTATTAAGTGGTGCGAGTACGTGTCTAAAATCATGAAACCTTTCCACCTAAAATAGTTTGGTTTTTTATACATAAGTAAAAATGCTCAGGTATATTGTTTGGTACATTGTTGTTTGTAATTTTTAAAGACCCCATACAAAGTTTAAAAACATTGTTTAATTGTGCAGATGTGATTTGTCATGACATAAAAATTGCGCGAGAAATATTCACAAAAAAATTATATTTGAAAAGAAGTTGCTTTTTCAAATACTGGTATTTGAATTATCCGATTCTTAGATGATCAATTAAAAAAATACACCATTATTGATATAAATCCACAATTTTTCGAATAAAAAGTCCTTCAAAAACAACTTGTTGATAATCAGATATATGAGTCAAAGTCGTTTAAACTTTACATGGGGTATTTAATACAATCGCTGTAAACAATTTAATTTATCACAAAAATATAGACCATTTTAGGTTCAATGAATTAACAACATTTTTGCGCATAAAAGATTATTGAGAAATCATTCATCTAGTCTACACTTTCATAAACATGTATATCAACAAGGATACACCGACCATGTACTTTAAATGGATCAATTTTTCTATAAAAAGAAAGAATCGAGCTTATAATTGATGTGTAAACAGCATCTAGACTTTCAAAAAAAATTATCTTCAGCTCGTATTTAAGAAGCAAACATTTAGTTTTTTCAAAATGTCAAAAAGTAATAAAATATTCTACAAATAAATGACAATGGAATATCAAAGTAACAATAGAATTCAGTGCGTTATACTAAAATACTACATAAAGTTTCCCAGCAGGTAGAGCATATACCAACCCATTGTAAATTACAGTGTATTAAATGAAATAATTGATGAACCTTCTACATACATCTACTGCAAACATGATTATTTAAGTATTTACTTTGAAAAAATGACAATAAAGAAAGACAACTGATAGAAGCCACATATACAAAATAGGGTCATTTCAACCTACCATCATATCAAAAACAGGTTAATATATTTTTGAGCCAGACACAATGATTGATTGTAATATGTCCACTTTCAATCCAACCCCCTCATCTAGAATCCCATAAGGCATTATATTAATCTTTACAACATTTCATAAATAATAGATGACTCAATATCAATTGAAGGGAGATTAAACAACCTTAAAAAGTTGATTAAAGCTATTAATATAAATCCTTGAGACTTAACTATAATTTATCATGCATGGAGCAAATTTCATTATTTCAGTTCTGTAAACCTTTCGGGCAATGAATAATAAATAAATAAGGCCTGATAATGGGTTTGTTCCCTTTTAAATTGAGCTGTGACTCCTGGTAACAACAATATAGTCTGAAGTGGTAGACCTGAAGAATATATTGATCGATCGGGTTTCAATTGTTTTATATTGTCAGGCTGTCACCCAACTTGTCAAAATGATGAATTACACTTGTAAGGTATCCACATCCAATATTAGTTTTCACTTCTTACTCAGAAAAGGAAATTACTGAAATAACCTGAGACCAAGGATGATCGGCACAGGGTTGGGAGGCAATGTTTTGTATTGTATTTCAATAACCACTTATGAAGAAAAACAACACCTCTTCAGTATATGTCATAATTTTATGTTTGATACCATGAAAGACAAGCCCAGGAACTCTTCTTGAAGGAACCCATGGGATCGAACCTAAGGTACTTGTGCCACAAGTTAATTGAGATTAGTTTAACAATGGGCTTTCAATTAGAAAGTGGAAAGCCCATGATTTTAATTGTATGAACAATTAACAAAATGAAATGGTGCCACATTTTCTTATTCTTCTCTTGCTAAAGAGAGTGATTAGAAAAAAAACAGTTTAACACACTGTGAATTACAGGTGTACCCTAGTATACAGGTAGGCTTGCTACATGTCTTAAAGCTCAAACCTATAGTAGAACTGTCTAGGAATTTGGTACTTACATTTGAATTATTCTGGAAGGGGTCTATGTTTGTTATATGAGGTATGGTTGCCAGGTAGGTCTTCTTGTTGCCAGGCTTGACTTGATTCTTAGAGTTACCTGCAAAAATAATTGTTCTTTATAACACTAACTTGATTTCTCATGCTTACTATGGTGTTTATCACGAATATTGACATTGACATTTCTCTTGAACTCTAATATTTTTCATAAGCTAAACATTTCATATAAATATTGTGATATTACATTTTTCATGAGCACTGAAATTTTTCATGAGCACTGACATTTTTCATGAGCACTGAAATTTTTCATGAACACTGTGACATTTCTAATGAACACCATGACATTTCTCATGAACACCGTGACGTCTCTCATGAACACCATGACATCTTTCATGAACACCGTGACATTTCTCATGAACACTGTGACATTTCTCATGATCACTGACATTTTTCATGAACACATTGACATTTCTCATGAACACCATGACATTTCTCATGAACACTGTGACATTTCTCATGATCACTGTGACATTTCTCATGATCACTGACATTTTTCATGAACACTGTGACATTTCTCATGAACACTGTGACTTTTCTCATGAACACTGTGACATTTCTCATGAAGACTGACATTTCTCATGAACGCTTTGACATTTCTCATGAACACTGTGACCTTTCTCATGATCACTGTGACATTTCTCATGATCACTGACATTTTTCATGAACACTGTGACATTTCTCATGAACACTGTGACTTTTCTCATGAACACTGTGACATTTCTCATGAAGACTGACATTTCTCATGAACGCTTTGACATTTCTCATGAACACTGTGACCTTTCTCATGAACACGTGACATTTTCCATGAACACTGTGACATTTCTCATGAACACTGTGACATATGAGATTGATCGTTAATGTACTATAAGTATTGTATAAGTATCTAAAGAGCACATCCTATTAATAGTGCTCTAAAATATGACGCCAACAAGCTGGAGGGCATTGTTTCAAATTCCGATTACTATTTTTAACAAAAGACTCTTTATAATTTGATAACAAAGTTATTCTGACATCAATACATTGTCTCAATAATTTTAATTCAATAATTTTGAAATCATCTAAGAGCCAATATGCTCATAAAATATACCAATTAAGCTGACCAATGCTGATCGCTTCTGGTCACAAAAACAGTGGCTACAACATATATGGTGACATAGAAATGAAAGTGAACATACATAAAGTCACAGAACCCTAATTATAAAAGAAATGTCAGAGGATTAAATAAATCAATCAAACTTTTAGTAAAGAGCTTGTAAAAGTATGTTTGGCTTCTCTTTATTCTTTGGCTTCCTTAAAGAGTACAGTGTCCTATTAACCATTGATTTGAACCAAGGAGGGAACACGCTTAATCACTCTTTATTTGCATGATGGGGAATGAAAGAATAAAAGCAATCTTGGGATTATGATTTCTTAATTTATCATGATTGAATGTCTGGGGGCTTTGTAATCAAGTAGAAGGTAGTTTGGCAGTGAGAATACAATTGTAAGAGTTGCCAAGTTGAAGCCTGCTAAGTTACTAGACATCATGCCATTGTGCTCCTTTTATAGGATAGATTCAGATAGATTGATCAATGTCGCCACCAGTGCAAACCTTTGTTTACAAAAATCTCAACACTCGGTCCAATTTCCATGAATAAAACATATTGAGGCTGTAGTCGCATGAATTATTTGTTTGTTGTTAACATGAACATGACCCCAATCTAGGATAGGAGCAAGAAAATGTTTTTTATTTTATAAATTCTTCAATGTTAACGCAAAAGTAAAGTGAAATAAAGTGAAAAAATTCCAGATATATTTTTAATATTTAATTTCTAGGTCCCTATTGCAGATATGGAGCACATTTAGATTATTTATGATTCTTTGCTACATTAATCTCTTACCTTCCACTCCTTGTATTCCAGGGAGCGAGAAATCTGACTCTTTTTTGGAATCACGGCCATCGTCTCGACTTTTTCTCTTGGTCATTTTATCATATTGCAATGTCTTTTCATGTAATGAACTTTTCTCGGACTGCAGAGGCTGCGGATCTATAGAGAGACTGTGATGATTTGGTGGCTTGTGGCCATCTTTTTTGTAATATGTGGTCTGCTTTTTCACCTTATTTTCATTCACCCTGGAAAAATGGCATAGAAAGTGAGTATACAGTCATATGGATGATCATCTATCCGTAAAACAACAATTTAATGAAATAAACGTTATATAGATTCCATATTATAATTATCTAACTCTTCACTTTAATAATTCATGAATGTTTCAATGAAGAGGTGTTGTCCCTAGCAACACATCCTGTCATATCCATCCAATCAGATTCATGCAATTAAATATCTAAGACTATGTGATGGGATTTTTGAAATGAGTAAAATTATGCGAATTTATACAATTTTTATTTCTGTAGCTCTTTCTTTTATTGGGGAATGTAATAAATAAAAGAACTGCCCTAGTTAAACTGCAAGTGGGAATTTGAGTTTGCAATTTTATGTATAATGTATGAGTTGTGGTGTTCAAGGTGAATTCTGCTGCATGCAGAATTAAATAATTCAGTTTTTATAAAATATACTAATAAATAATAAAACAAGCATTTCATTGTTTTGCATGTACCAATAAAATGTCTCTTATATAGGATGTTCAATAAGTTCATGGATACAGTTCTCTATAGAATGAAATATTTGTACACTAAAATATTTATTGAAATGTGATGTACAGTAAAAGAGTGTTTAGATTAGCAGCTGTTCACACTTTGTTCACACTTTAAGGTTTCTAAATATCTGAATCAATGGGAGCTAACATATTTAGGAATGAGAGTTGTTCAGATTAGGCAGGTTTCACTGTATATGAATAAATCATTCTTTTCACTGACTGTCAAACACTTAACACCAACTGCCAAACACCAACTACCGAACAATGTCCAAATAAAAATATGGAAGTCATAGTATATATTTGAATGTTGACTGTTTTGTTCTGAACTATTAGATTTGATCTGAAACAACACCAAGAAACATTTACAGTGTATAATCTTAATGTCATCATTTGGCTGTGTGCACATAGGTCAGGTATGCCATTTGATAAGTCACTGAGAATATGATAGTACAAAGCAGAAAATAGCATTACAGATGAAATAAACATATCAGCAATGAGGACTGACGAGGACAAGACATAAATGTACATCAACAAAATTCAGGGCAAGCTAGAGGATAACAAAATATTAAAAATCAAATCATAAACTCAAATGCAATTAAAAGATAAAATGTTCTACATGAATAAAACATGCACAATTATTATAGTATTAATTATGACAGATCACACACCACACTGTATGTAGACCTACAAAGTAAAACACACTTCTAAACAAACAGTACACCATGCAGTTCGAATGTGCATTAAGATGCGGTCAAATGTGCAGCAAGATGCGATCAAATGTGCAATAAGATGCAGTCAAACGTGCAGTGGGCTTAAGTCTTGTAGGACAAAACAGTGCCTGGACAAAACAAACAAAAATAAGATTCACATGACATCACAGCCAAACACGGATGAACCTTGTACCTTAGTCCGGGGGGTCCAGCAGGAGACGTTGTGCTAATTGGTGATGTCATAGTAAGATTAGTACTTAAAGGAGTAACTGTCTGAGTAGAGGATCCAGTAGCTGTGCTCCTGTATAAAAATATTAAAAACCCTAACTAATTATCTTTCCATAAAACTGGACAAAAACAAGATGCAAAAAATGATTGTGGAACAACACAAAAGCATTGATTTCATCTTTTTTTGTCAATTCAAAACAACTAGATTAACTTTTTATATCCACAGATAAAATACCGCATAATTTGTTCGGAAAAAACAAAATATAGCAAAGCTGACAATTTGAAAACTTATCCTAATCAATCCAACTTGATTGCTGGATTTTATATTCAGTATCAGTACTTCATCATAATAAAACATTAAACACTGTCTATATAACAAGGGTATTTATATTGATTGCGGTCAAGAATGTTGCAGATTTCAATAAAGATGTCATTAATCTCCTTCCAGTTCAACCTAGATTGTTATAGAATTAAAGCGTGGTAAGCCAGTACTAGGCATTCTTATTCCTGAACATGTACTGGCTGCATTAAAAACACAAGGTATTAGTCAAATGTTTTCATAAGCAAACAATACTTGTAGTGGTAGCGGGATCAATCGGACAAAATATTTGTTATCACTTACCCTGCTATACTTGGCATTGAAGCTGTACTGAATCCTGATTGGCCACTGTTAATTGGAGGTATACTACTGTGATTGGTCGATGTAGTCTCTTCAGCTGAATTAGTATTTGTTAGTTTTGCAGCGGGTGGAGTTGTTTTTGTAGGTTTGGCATTAATAGAGATCTTTTTCGATTGTTTCTCTTTGTCAGATCCACTGTCTTGTTTGGAGTCCTGAAATCATTAAGCAACTCACTTGTTATCATATTTTTAATAAGGCTAATTAAAACTGATATAAACTTATTTTGCCTTTGAAAACATACAATATCAAAATCAAGAATGTCTTACATCAGAATTGATAGGTAATGTTTCAAAATAAATGGGTTTTAATTAAAATATCTAAAAAACATATACAAATGCAGAGTTATATAGGTTCCATTTCAGCGCATGAGAGACAGAGAAAGTAAATGCAAATTATATAACATTAAAACATGATTGACATGAAAGACAACCTTTATCACAGAATATCATCTCTATGGCACTTGATTTATAGAATAAATCAATATTTAATTCAACTTCACACGCAAAAAAATCCTGATAAATATGTCTATGGTAATTCATCGAATATTTATATGGAATTACTGCTACATTACTGGATAAACTAGCGATATACTAGTCTTTGGTCATAAAAGCCACATAAATAATATTCCACTTACAATGATGTTCGCATCAAACCAGTGATTTATGTATATACTGGGAGACACATACAATGAAAACATTATAAACAGTCGATCTTAAAAAACATATTAAATCCAAATAAGCTGTAAGCTAGCTGGCTTTGCGATCAGTTGATAAAAGGCTTTATTCATCATTCAAAGACCTACTCGACATTTATTTCAGATTAATGTCTTCGTGAAAGTTCACGGAAATGCTGAGCAGAATTATTGCTATGAATTGATCCTAAATAAATATGCCTTTATATTCAAGGCCTTTGATAAGCAAAGAGCTATACAATTAAAAATGAAGTATAGGATATCCTATGAATTTGAATGATATCATTTTTATCCATGTGTACATATGTGAACACGGCAAAAAGTGAACACAGCAAGAAACTTAAATCACAATATTTTATCAAAATTAAACCTGTATATGACATGAATTTTTATTTTTTTCTTTAATTATCAGGGGGTCATTAACAGAACTTTCGTAAAGTTACGAATTCGCAAGTTAATTGTTAATTTTACGAATTTGGTAAATGTGCATTAACAGAACTTTCGTAAAGTTACGAACGATTCGCAAAGATACGAAAAAATGACGTCACGTATGCTTTCGTTCGTAACTTTAATAGCACCTCAGACCCTTTCATAACTTTGCGAATGGCACGTTTCTCATCCAATTCGTATGTAAGGTATACAGGTTGGCAAAAAGAAATTGTTCTCTATATGCATGCTGAGTTTCAAGCTAAAATATCTACCTATTCTTACATGATAAGCAAATATGTTCCTGAGCTGGGAATCTTTGAAATCGCGGAGACAGGTTTGATCACAGCGCGCAATGATATCAAATGACATCATATTTTTATTTGTGCTAAATAATGATATAAGATGACGTCACAATTTGAAATTTGTTTACGAACGATAAAACTTATGAATGACTTACGAAAGTGTTCTGTTAATGGCCGATTCGTAACTTTATGAATTCGTAAATCATTCGTAACTTTTTAAATATTTACGAATTTCATAAAGTTACGAATTACGAATTCGTAACTTTGCGAAAGTTCTGTTAATGACCCCCTTGTAGTAGCTATAAATATAAAAATCTAGAAATAAATATACCTTTTTGGATTCCTTTTTCTTCTTCTTGCTTTCAGTTGCCTTGTTATCTGAGTCATTATTATTTGCCGACTTTCTGACCTTGAGCAGGGGATTCCCAGCATCCTCTTTGTTAATGCGTCGTGATAACTCTTGGCCAAACTTTTGAGCAAATCCGTCTTTTTGGAAGAAATCATGCTGTAAGAGCTGTGTACATGTAGGTCTGTCAGAGGCCTCTAATTGAAGACATTGCTGAAAATATAGACAAAGTTGCACATATTGAATATGAGAATGAAATATTATGTCTAAAGGGTGAAACTTCTTGAATCTGAGATAAACTCAAAAATAAATCTATTTTAAGTACAAGGCAATGGGTACCAATCCTTTGAAATGGTCCAAACTATGAATTGCATTTTCTAGAGTTACTAAACACATCTGAAGGCCATTAATTTAGCTATTGTCACTTTGACCTTTCCATCACAGATTAATTCTCCGAAAAATTATATAACTAGTTCAGCATTTTATCATTGGTCATATGATATGGTTGAACAATTAGCAAACTTTTTCACTTGAAATAAAAAAAAAGACCCATCGATATTTACACTCATTTGACCAAGAAAAGATCTTCTCTTTACTTATCTCAACAAAAGATTTCATACTTTTATTTGTTAGGTGAGTATTGAATCCATTTTCTCTATTGAGTAATATGAAAGATCAAGTTTTCTTTTTGCCAAATAATCAATGTTGTGTCATCATTAACTGAACAGTGTCAATACATGTGGTATTTTACCAATGTGAAAGATATCTTGTTGGGTGTTGATTCTTGTATTCATTAGTAGACACTTTTTCTGGATGAGGTGTTAATTATTTAAGGAATAAATAATGATAGGCCACTCAATATGGTGAAATTCAGCACGAGTTAGATGGAATGTCATACAAAATACAAATGAAGGTGACTGCATTTGTACTGACATTCTGTCTAATGAGTGTAGAATTTCACCATATTGAATTGCCTCTCATTATTTATTCCGATGCATACATAAAAATGAAAACATTGGGAAATTGGGGATTGAGGTTCGTCAAATAACCAAGCTTGCTGTTATTTTCGCCATTCCCAGGTGTGATGTCACAGAACAACACAATATAAAGACTCCCAGATGGTTGAAGGTCATTCATGTATGGAGAATTAGAACATGTCTATGCTGCATTCTGATTGGTTGAGAAACTCAATTAGAGAATGGTCAAGTTTGAATTGTGGTCAAGGTATTAATTATATGTTTCTTCAGACAGATATATAAATGTTGGTATATAGAACGATGGAAGTTTTGCGTGGGTAGTATATATAACAAATTGATCTAAACAATGCGCAATAGATGGGAATTAATGAGAAACTAATGTACAGTAAAGCGCTCAAAATGTTTCGATAAATTCACCATTAACTATTCAAGGAGGAATTAAAATTGATCATTATATGCTACCCTACTCCACAATCACACCCAAGGCACTACTAAATAATGCACCAATCACTATTTATCCATCCACCTGGGATAACAAAATGCCAATAGAATCAGGAAAATACAAAATCATAGATGGAATTCTAATACAGTACATCAGGCCTGTCAACTGTCCCGCAATTTGCGTATTTGTCACGCATTTGCTGAAGAATTAGAAGTCACGCCAGTTATTTTTGCGTGACAGAAAATGTCACGCAAATACGCATTTTACCTGGTAATTGTCAAGCAAAAATATTTCTGTAGAAATTTTTTTAAAAAAGATCGTCTACACATCAAAAATACGAACGCCGGAAAAAAACGTACGCATATCGTTAGGACTTTTCACGCGAATTTCGTATATGTCACGCATTGCGTTCGAAATTTTTCGTACCTCCCCCCCCCCCCCCCCCCCCCCCGTTGACGGCTGTTTGAAACGCGAGCGTAGCGAGGGCGAAAAATATTTGAGGTGTTCAAATTTTGGCAAGATGTAATAAAATTGAAAACAAGGTGTTCAAAATTTGGATCAAGGTGTTCAGATTTGGACCAAGGTGTCCACATTTTGAGGGAAGGTGTTCAACATTTCCAAGTCACTCATGTTAGGTGTTCTCAAGTTGACAGGCCTGGTACATGTATACAGTATAACAATAGAATAAACACCTTACTGTTTATGAAACATCATACGAATAAAATAGCAATACAATAGAGTGGTTTTGCATCTAAAACATCTGCAAAAATGTAGGTAAAAGTATCTGCAAACCGCATCACGTTTTAACTGAACTATTTCGCATAAATCTTGTGAATACATTACGGAATTTAGATAATCATTGATAATAATGTTGTGTGAAACCTCTGTATTACCTGTTTAAAGTTCTGATTAGTAGAATCACAATGTTCTCTTTATGACTTTATATTAAAGCACATATAGGCATACCTTCATAAAATTTAGACCCTCCGATGATATTCTTGGAAATTTTTTCTCCAGGGGTTGTACCTCGCGGACTTCCGGCAGCCTCATTCCCACAAACAATGGATTTTTGTGGAAGATATCTTTCTGTCTTTGGGGTAAATTGCCTGCAATACAATTTTAACATTAAGGCAAGAGTAAATAAACAAGGCATTAACATGCAAAATGTCACCAACTGCCATTTGTTATAGACACCGAACTTTGACCACCAAACACCAACCGCCATCCATAAAAAAAGTTGACTATAAAAGGAGACAATAACAATATGTCACCACTATAAATTTGGCATATGATTAGTTATTACACATTTATTGACACACTTGAACCTTGGTACGATTGAAAAAACTGTTTATTCCGGGGTTTCATTAGCAGGCGATTTTCACCGGTTGTTTTCACAAAATCGCCTGTTGTTTTTAGGGGCTTTTCAACTTTTCCATGTTGAATTTATGATTTCCATTATTTATGATTTCCTGAAATTCTAGTGAAACCTGTTATTATTTTGAACATCCTAGTCTGAAAGATTATAAATGCACATTTTGAATCAAGTGGAATAAATATGGTATTACAGTGGAAAAACATGAATTATGGTATTGTAAGAATAATGAAATGAGTATGTCGACTGTTCTGCTAACTGAAAGCAAGATCGCTCAAACGTATAGTTCACAAAGTGTGTTGAGCGAGTAGAGATATGCAAGAAGGGTAACATTACTGGTCGAGTGATCACTCCCATTAACCAGGTTTTAATTCAAAAACCTAATATTACATTGGTAGAATTATGAAATATGAGAATCACAATGACGTTGATTTGTGATAATTCTAACACTAGAGCACTTAAGCATCAATTATTCATATTATTTATTGCGCAAAAGAAAACATTCAACCTCATTGAGCCTTAGTCATCAAAAACATTTGGTAATGAGGTTCTAATGACTTCACGATTCTTATTAATTATTATACATGTAGTCTTTTATGCTGAAAAATAAAAAATAAAACGGTTGAAAATTAATATAACAAAGAGGTCGCATATATCATTTTTAGTGTTCTGGTGTTAATATAAACAGAGTCTGGAAATGTATCTTTTATTATTTTATTATTATATATGTATTTAGTTCTATATATGACATGGAGAGGGTAGAGAAAATATGACGAGGGCAGGCCAGGGGGGATTCGGGCCAAAATTTCTTTCAAAATCATGCAGTTTTTCACCATTCTGACTATTTTTTGAGTGATTTTTGGCCAAATTTACCAAAGTGAACCCCCTACCCTAGAATTTTTTGGAAAAGTGAACCACCCTCTTGGAAAATTCTGGCTATGGGCCTGTGAGGGGCTATTAAATTAGTACAGATTATATTAAGGTTATGTAAAAAGAAACTTTTTAAAAATCATTAAAGGATTTGACATAAAATTGAGTTTTCTATTAGTTTTGATCCATGAATCACTTACAACATATGTAGTCTTACCCCTATGACAAACAAGGCATTTAAAATTAAAATGTCCATTCAAAAATGTTATCTTATTTGTTTCCGCAATTTATATGTTTTGTTGATTTAATATATTGTACTGAACGGGTTCAAATTATGAACGTTTTTGTTACACTGACAATATTACTGAAAGCAATTTATAACAACTTTATTAAAATCACGCAACATCCTTGAATACAATCAATATAAACACACTTTTGGCTTACAACTGAGCAATGTTTATGTTATGATGTACTAATATAAAAGATTTGATCATGCAATATCCTGTGGGATCAATGAATTGAACATGTTCTCAAAAACTCATTACTATCTTTTGCGTAACTTAAAATAAACGCACTCAGCTCAACTGGCCATTCCAAAAGGCTGAGTCTAAAGTGATGGCAGATTGTAACATCATCTTTAGAAAACAAATAAGTACGCCCTACCATTAATTCAGTTTCAGAAATATTGATGGAAAATCATATTACTAAAATTTAAATGGACCACAATGCAGCTTAATCAATTAATTCCCAATGGAATAAATTAAAAGGAAATAATAAATAATGTATCAAACATGTATGTCGTTGTTTCTCAACAATCCCTCATTGGAGTAAAGGGATGAACAGATGGATTAAAGCAAGTGATGAATCTAACTTCATCGAGCCGGAAATAATAATACATTGATCAACTCACATAATAACTTAAGCTGAAAGCAAATATTTTGATTAAAATGTGACATTTGCAACAAACAATGTATGTTCTACCTCGATATATTAGCATTCAATCTTTACTATGTTTTATATGTGAAATTATGTTTCTGAATACTTTTGGTTTAATGAGTGCATTGCTCATAAGCCACGTTGGCTTACCATACACATTTTAAACTGGAGTGTCCTTATCTATTTATTACCAGTCTCCATTAGCCAAACAAGAGCCATGTTCAGGAGCTCAGCATCTGTCTCTGCTTGGAAAAGTGGATCTCCTGTGAAACACTCAACAGTAAGACAACCAACTGCCCATATATCAACTGCCCTAGAGAATATGCAGAGTCAGTTTTGCAATATTTCTTTTCTCTTACTCTAACATACAGAATAATGTTAGACATATACAGCCAATCTCAAACAGTACCGTATGGTACCATTTTTGTGACAGTATTGTATGGTACCATTTTTGCGAAAGTATTGTATGGTACCATTTTGGCTACGGTACTGTATGGTAACGTATGGTACTGTAGACTTAAACTATAAGGTACAGTAATGTCAAAACTGTACCGTACTCTTAATGTATTGGAATTATTGGAGGTATGTATTGGTTCTCTATCCAACCTAAAAGCCTCATTAATGGGAGAAAATGGTTGTCTTATCAAACAATATACACATTGTACTAGCCTTTATATAAAATAAACTGAAATCATTAAGAGTTGGTTCTGAAATAATTCTTCTTCCGTACAGAAGTTAGTTACATTTATATTAATTAGCTACTACAGTATCTCATGCCTTGCCGGGCCAGTTCTAGGGGTTTTAGTGCTGGTTCAGAAGGCATAGTGGTGGTCCATATGGACCGGTCTAGAATATATTCTGGACTGGCAATTTTCCCCGGGAAATTAGATATCGTTCAATGCGTAAGATTTTCTTGCTGTTTCAGTCCTGGTCGTTAATGGTGGTAATAGTACTAATAACGTCATTTCTGCGAGCAATATAGTGAAATATTGGGCCTTCGGCCCTCGGTCCAATATTTAGAGGTTATGTCACTATGACGTGAAATATGCCTGAGTTCTCCCAATATAGGCCGACCTTGGGAGGCTCTATATTTGGGCAAGAACGAAGGCATATTTCACGTCATAGTGACATAACTGATGTATTACATGCCTTTGTTCCCATGGTTACTTTGTATCAATGACGTGACGTCATGATATTATCATGGTTATTAAAGAAATCTAATATTAAAACGAGGTAAGCGGGCTATATCGGGGTAATCGGGCAATATCGGTGGATATAGCTCGCTAACTTTCCCATTGACTTCCATACAAATGCTTCGCTAGGTATGTAATACTTCACTATATAACAGGCTGGTATCGAAAAATTTGTCCGCTGTGACGGAGCGTGCTATTTTGCATAGAAACATTAAGAAACCCACACAATTTATTTTTTTACTCATATGTTTCGCTATACCAAAGAAAGTTTCTTATTCCATGCAATGGGTATATCATTTGTGGGTAACTTTAACTTTTGTTTGAAGTCCAACAACGCTAAGAGTAAAAGCTATTGAAAACGGCGCCGGGGTATCATACTCCAAAATGTACCATTTCTTTTATTTCTTTTTAATGGTACAATATAGTGACACGATAATATTTACATATGTTTTCAGCATAACTCTGAAGGTTTTAACGATATCTTGATGTATTGGGTATTTTTAATATTTTTTATAAAAAATAATGTTTACATTTTTTGTCAGCTGTGACGGAGCAGTTTTAACTGTGAACTACGTTAAGAATTTAAGATTCAAATTATATATTTTAAAAGTACCCTTAGAGAGAGAACAAATCACTTTCCTAAATTATGACAATTAGCCTCTGGGGGATCTGGGGTAATGTAAATCGGAGATATAAAAACGACCACTCTTTGCATTTTTTCGGAGGTTTGTACTGAAATCAACATGGTGTAAACTCAACATGATATTTCTATTTACGTTTTCGCCAAGACGTCTTGGAATGTCAAGTGACGTGTAAATAGGGCTAATATGAATTTATTTGAAATAGCGCACAGGCATCCTGCATTCCGACAGATACAACCTTTTACCATATAATATTACTATATATAAGATGATCCCAATACAGATTTAATTTGTAATTATTTGAAATTCATTGTTTTGCATAGACTAAAATTATAAAAAAAGTCTTGTTAAACGTGCTGCACTGTAAACCTGTATCAATGAATATCTTTCTCTAGTGAACACCTCTTCTTATCAAATATTCCTCTGACTTCTGTATGAAATTGCCTCTATGGAGTGAACATCTACCAACTGGGAACACATTTTTGGGCTCCATATGCGTTCACTGTACACATGTTTTACTGTAGTTGCATCAGATAGCCATAACTCTTATTCAAATAAAGAACAATCTGAAAATCAAATTTTGCATTTTCGTATTTCAAGATACACTCCACTTACCTTTCGGAATGACTAGAGAGGGTAGAACAATCCGCAGTCCATACCATATAATATGTATTTAGCTTCATCTTCACCAAATAATTTTACTTCAAATAATCAAGTTACCGCAAAAATGACATGTCAGGTGATGGATCCGTAGTAGGCACTACGAAAGGCAAATACCCTACATTGAAATGAAGTTGACTATCATTTTCATGAGTTATCATGCATAAGTTGGATTGCAGTACAAACTGAGAAAAGAAGCTTAAAGAGTGGTCGTATATACATCTCAGAATTTGAATTGTGTACCTTCATTACGTTTCATTTTTCAGAATACTTACGAAAGAGATTTGACACGCTCGCTCCTCTAAAGTGTAGTTGTAAAAATATATATTTGGATCTAAATTCTTAACGTTTTTCAAATTTGAAACTGCTCCGTCATAGTGGACAAAAAAATTAAACATTATTTCTTTATAAAAAAATTAAAAATACCCAAAACATAAAGATCTCATTAATACCTTCAGAGTTATGCTGAAAACATATGTAAATATTATCGTGTCACTATATTGTACCATTAAAAAGAAATAAAAGAAATGGTACATTTTAGAGTATGATACTCTGACGCCGTTTTCAATAGCTTTTACTCTTAGTGTTGTTGGACTTCAAACAGAAGTTAAAGTTACCCGCAAACGATATATTCATTGCATGGAGTCAGTAATTTTCTTTGATATAGCAAAACATATGAGTAAAAAAAATAAATTGTGTGCATTTACTAATGTTTCTATGCAAAATAGCACGCTCCGTCACAGCGGACAAATTTTTCGATACCAGCCTGTGTATATTGCCCTTAGAAATGACGTTATTGTACTATTAATGTATTTTAACTGATAAAAATATGTGATTTCATATAGACTATTACATAATGAAGATTTAGAGAGAATTAGTTGTTTTGCTTTTTATTGTGTTGTTTCTTTCAAAGTGTTGTGACCATTTTTTGGCTCAGTAAAATTTGGAATTCCTTACAAAGTAGGCAATGTATATTTTCAAAGGAAATCTATATCTTTATGAAAACAGCAATCTAAAATGTTGAAAAAATTAATCCTCCATATTAAACAAGTGAAACAGGTAAATTTTCTCAGTAAACCTTTATTTGACATTCTGGCACCAACTTAAACCAAATAAACTTCCAGTGTCGATTTGACACGACTAACAATGGATGACGTCAAAGCGGCCAAACTAAAGCAAACATGATAACAAAGCATTTTGTTTTGATGTCAGATATACAATATTGCCAATTCAGCATACAGTTGTATTAATTATAGATAAATATAGCCTGCCTTACAGATGCCATGATGACTATTGTATGATAGAGTGGAATGATATTTCAAACAATTTAGTGTTTCCTTGAGCCATGTTGGTTGGTTGGTTGGTTGGTCGGTTAGTGTCTGTCGGTTGGTTGGTAACAATATTGTTGAAAATATTCTTCAAGGTGAAAATGATAATAATGCGGTTGATCAAGACAATCCAGATGATGATGATGATGATGATACAGAGCGTGCACCGTGATAAAAGGGGTTTCATTAGAACTTTTGGAAACAGGCAGAATGAATGAAACATATTTAGCAAAATTATTGGAATTATAGTTTTAACCTGAAAAAACTTGCTAAATTCCTCTTGAAAATCATTGTGGGATCCACCGTCTCTACTGTAACTTGGAAAATATCTCTCAAAAGCTTTAGATAAAGAGAGACTGATAAATCAGAATGGGTGAAATTGCCTTTTGCTTGGTACTAATGAAACCCCTGTTAATAACAAAATTTATAATTTCTTACCTAAACATTTAACTATGTGATACAACTGGTCTATATCTGAGTCACCTGGGAAAAGTGGCTCACCAGTGACCATCTCCACTACAAGACAGCCTATTGCCCAAATATCTACAGCCCTGAAATATCAAATGAAAAATAATTAATTTCACTTTCTTTTATTATTCTCTTTATCTATATATACTACTGGTATTATGTTAATCATCTTCTAAAAACATTCTCACATTTGTTATGGATTCACATCTGCAAATAGCCTACATTAAAAGAAAAATATTGATGATTCTTTAGGCGGGAAATAACACTATTCTTGAACTTAAAGATTAATTAGAATAATATTCTATATCTGGAAAGTATCTCTCAAGTCGAACACAACTGAAGGCTATATTCTGTTTTGTAAAAACAAACCAAAATAAATAACCCATAATCTAAACATGTTACATCAAGGTCTCAGATAACTGAAAGGCAGAAAACTTGAGGGATACATGTACATTGTTTATATAAAAGTTGATAATGGAAAAGTATCTGATCTGTTTATACTTAACAATACAAAACTTATCTACACCTTACTTTAATCACATGTACCAAGGAAACCATGAGAATCTGAGGTATTAGAATACAATCCCTTGGCTAATAATGCTTTTCGGGTCAAGCCAAAAAGATACTTCAACTTATGTAAAAATTGAAAACTGTGAAAACTATAATAAAAAGATGATCTACCTGAAGAGTGATCCCCTTTAAATGATAATCTCTGGAGATTATTGACCATGAGATTAACAGATCAATGATTGTCTTCATACAATATATTTCCATTATTGCACACAATATATGCCAAGTAAGGTGTCAGTTGAAGTACCTTTTTAAACCACTATAGAAATCATCCCAGTGATGAATGTAAACACAAAAACCATGGCAACCAACCGCTTGACCCAGGGGCGATAAGTTCAATGGAAATTGATACAAAAGAGTCGATCATTGTTAAGCAAGAACTCCACTGACCAAACATTCATGAAATTTTACTTGTGAAGGATTATGCAAACTCTATAGACAAAATCTACTGAGATGTATGATTTGCAAATACCATTATTGACACATCTTATACTAACAGAAGAATGGCAGAAAGCTATATACCCAAGGGGAAACATACACTCTTTGTTATACACAGTGAAAGTGAAACATTTAATGATTTTTCTCCCTTCCAGACAGAATCAATTCACAAGAGCCCTTCCAATGGGTTCCATCGAGAGTTCAGTTGCATTTGGAAATATTTGAATTAGTATTCCTAATAAGCTTGCTCCAGACATGTCAAACATTGTGGTAAGCTGTCCTCCTACAGTCCAACAATGCGGGAGTTCAAACAAACACTACTCTCTATGATTCATATCATGTTCAATTGCGAGTTTGAGTGTTGGGAATAAAATAACAACATCATTACATAGTCTGGAATTAACAGTAAGGGTAAACTACTTAATGATCTTACCAACACTATAGACTGAAACTGGATACTAAATCGACACTTTATTTGCTAAATGCTCTATTGAGACAAGTTTATTCTATAATTACTGATTGTTTGATATTGAATATGTAAACCACAGTATCAATGACTGCCAGTCAAATTATCGTTCTAAAGATTGGTTGTCACATCTTGGTCAAAGTTTTGGCGAGACTTAAGGCACGAAAGGAGGACACAATGTGAGTCAGACAAGCACAAATGCGAATGTGAGAACTTGGAAACTACCCAGAGTGACTTTTCTAGAAACTCATAGTGCCTTTCTAAAAGTAAGGCAGTGGTGTTTGGTACAGTTGAGCCATCCATCACACATGGTAGATATCTTTACTTATTTTGATGATGCAACAATAAGGCCAGGGGGTGGAATGGTAGATTTGGTTTGAGGACATATTTAACGATTGTACGACCCCTGGCTGATCCTTTTGTACATGGTCCGGATATTACTCAATTTTTTATGGGAGTAATACTCCCTGTGCAATGCTGTGCATTATTACTTGATATAGCACCATAAGCAACTCCAGTTTGTATTGAAGCATTAATATCTATTTAATGCTTACTAAGATTTACAAACTTTGAACTCCCCAGGTCTTGACTCTACAGCTGAAGAATCATTAAGTATCTTAAGTAGTTCTATTGATCACTTCTACAAGCCTTGCCCTGCCCCATGAAAAAGAAACAAGGTTAAGTACAACCCTTTCCTACATCATCAAAGAATGGACATTGACCCATTAATTGTATGAACTGTATGTTGATCTAGTTTCCAATATTGGAGTTAGTGTTTTGATAGCAACAAGTATTCATTATACAAAACAAGATATACAAAAGATAAATCAATGGAGATAAACAACTGGTACAAATAAATAAACAAAAATAAAAAATATCTTACCTTCCATATTTTGTATCCCCCACTAAAAGTTCCGGCGCTCGATACCACCGTGTTGCTACGTAGTCTGTGTATGCCTCACCAGGTTGCGCTAGTGTTCTCGCAAACCCAAAATCGCATAATTTAACAATACCTGATTTGCTGACTAAAATGTTTTCTGGTTTAATGTCTCTATGTATAATCTGCAAAAGAAAATATGAAAACTTTTTATGTGATATTTGATCATGTCAGAAATTTTACTACATTTTCACCATACACTTTGATGATACATTTTAATCGACATTTACATCTTTATATCGAAGCATTTCCCACAATTTTGATTCTTCTATTTTTGTGTCTTATAGCAATGTGATCAATCAATGATTTCTGACCAACCATCAATGACATCAATCAACTTGTGAAAAAGAGTCATTTTTACATTGAGACAGGCCCATGATACAACAGGAGGTAATTCCCATCCAATGAGTCTATAGCATTAATGATGTAATTTTTGGCCACTTATTATGAATTATTTAAGAAATATTGATCAAGGTCAGTCTGCTTATATTTGTTCTAAATAAGTCTAGATCTAGGTGAATGAAATACCATAAATAGCTAAGCTACATGAAAGATATAGGGCTGTCACTATACCACATGTATTCAGAAAGAACTAGATGGACAAGTTACCCTGTAATAGTATTGATTCAATAATTGTTTCATAATAGATCATTCCATGGGCTGTCTCTTGAAAGCCCATGATCATTCATAGTGATCTTGGGGTTCTATTTTTTCACAAGTTGTAGTTTTAACAGAGCTGGGATTATAAATACTCACATTATGTGTATGGCAGAATTCTATTCCTTTTAGAACCTGCCAGAGAATTTTTCGTACTGTATTTTCATCGAGTCCATTTGGACACCTTTCTAAATCGTCTAATACTGTATGGTCCACGAATTCAAACACTAAATAAAGTCTTTTCTTCCGTCGAAATACTTCTATCAAGTTGACTAGGTTTTCATGACGTAGTTGCTGAAAATAGGAAAGTTTGAAATTAAATCATAAAAACCTCGATTTCAACTGCAAACAAGTAAAGAACCTCATGCATCAAATCACTAGAAACTCTAAGTTCTTAATATACTAAGCGTCAGAGTCTATAGTCTGGACCATAAATAAATGAGTCATGTATTTGCTTAAGTGAAGATTTCCCATGTTGTTAAAAATGAGATAATTTGAAGAGGCCATATATCAGTGGATGAGTAAAATATACAAATTTTACGGGACATGCATCAGTTTGCATCTAGACAATATTCGAAACTATGGGCTTTCAAACCACAATGGTTTGCAAAAATGGTGATAGAAAATCAACTACTCATTTATTTATGACCCAAACTGTTGTACATTTTCGAAGATGAAACTCTCTTTTAAGAGGCATAATCAAAAATTGTAAAGGGTATTGGGTCACGAGTAAAAAATCTTAAATCCTTTAACAACTCTAACATTTCATAATGGTAAATACTAAATCTTTACATAAGTGCAAAAAATATAAGATTCGTATTACAGCTCTCTGCATTGTCAACTAAATAGCATTGACATTGGCACCTTATATCAATAACAAACAAAAAAACATTGAATTGATTTTGATCTTGAAAACTGGAATGTGATGAATAATATAATCGGTTACATTTTTACAATACCTTGTAAAAAAGCTTGTAACAATACATTGTAGAAAAATGCTATTTTATAGCAAGTTCAACAGGTTATCTTCAATATCTAATTTCAAGCATTTTAAATACTCAAAGATCCTGAAATTGTGAAGATCTTTTATATTCCTCACCACATGCGAAGGTGTTTTTTATTTTTGTTTCTAAGTTGAGAATGTCTGAATCAATATGGCCATCAATAATCCAACCCTTTTACATGCTTATAAAATAAGTAAAGAACCCCATACAGCTGTAATAAAAAGAATGAACAAATCAATCAGAACTGCTAAAAGTTTATAGTTTTATATTCTCTTTTGATACTATTATTAAATGGGGTTTAACATCAGTTAACATGGCCGTCGCCAGGGGGTCGCGTCGGGTGCGCTTGCACCCCCCCCTTGAGTTTTGCCTCGTCGCTTTTTACAAAATTTGACTCGTCACTTTTTTTTATTTGCCTCAGAAAAAACGTGAATATTTTGCCTCAAGTTATTTGTAGCACTTTCTCCATGGCTTTGACGCCACTTTCCATACGAGAACCTGGAATGTCACTCTGATTAATACCCAAGATCTATTAAAAATGAGAGAGAGAGAATGTTTCGTTCTCATAAACTTCCGGTTGTAGCATTGCGCGAATAAATTTGACCATGATACTTTTAGTGTATTGCGCAACCTTTTCAAATTTGCGCAAGAAATTTTATCCCGCCTTCAACACTGAACGAAAAGCACAGTTGAGCACAAATCTTCTGTAAATGCTCCAATTTATTTCTACAGATTACGATATAATTTGGATTAGTTGTGAGAGGATGATTTGTAGAGGTGATGAATGTAAGTAATAGTTACTTTTTGAGCGTAAAAATACTAAAAATTAAAAACCAGAACAGAAGGAACAAGACGATTAATTTTCAAGTTTTTTGAGAAGAATATTGCTGTGTTAGCGTGGTCGTGTCCATTATTAGTGTGGGGGTGGAAGGATTCGTTAAAAATTCTCTCCTCTTTTCTGTTGATGAATAATCAAGATGCATACACCAATTTTTAACAAGATACATTTATATAAACATGTTTCGCATATTTTGCGTATTTATATGGAAGAAGCCAACCACTCAAAAGTTGTCTGCTAAGCTGACACCCCTTTCTCTTAAATATATTTCCCCCATTCCTGAGTTTCACTTTTCACGATTGTGTATTTTTACAACTGCCACTTATTAAAATATTCGCCAGAGTTGTGTCTCTATAGGTATGGAACAAATACATCTGATTCTTTTAAGCCTATTTCACTTTATTTTCCTTTCGTCATGTGCTGAACTCTCCTGTATTTAATATAGATTATCTATATACAAATCATATTCCCGGGATTTACCTCATTAAAGGCAGGGCAAGTGCGTCAGCATTTGAAGGCGTTTGCCAGGATCAGAACCACAATGACAGAGGAGAGACTTTCAGATTTAGCTATGATATTTATTCACTATGACCATGACATTTCTTTGGATAAAGAAGCAGATTTATTTGCATTGTTGCATCCAAGGAGGTTAAAAATGACCAGTCTTTTGTATGAGTGAAGAGTAACGATAGATTCAGATCTAGGAAGAAGTCACTGTCTACAAAAAATTGTCTCAATTTTACCAGGCTCATATCATTCCTTTTCATTTATATTTTGGGAGTTTTATAACAGATTGTAAGAGATACATTTTTTTGTTTTTGTAGTTTTGTCACTTCATATAGATCTGATTCTATCTTTAACTATGTGACTAGTCAACAAACAACAGTATTATGGTGGTTTCTTTAGAATATGTTGGTGCTATTTACTTACATACAATACATGTAACAAGTTACAGATTGTAAGTGAAAATATCTGTAGAAAACTTTGTCAACTGTTTTGTCAAAATATTAGTAAGAAATATGTCCTAGCATTGACTGATATATCACCAGTCAATTCATTAGTTATATGTAACATGACTTTTTGTTTGTTGTAATCTAAAAGCTATATAAGGCTGAATTGAACATCCTCAAGTTGATGTCAAATTAAAGGAATTTTCAGTATTTAAAGGTTGTACATATACTGCATTGCATTAAATTGCCATGATATTTAAAATGTCATTTCCTTGTAAAATGATATTTAAGATCTTGATCCTTTCCTTTTAAAATGCTTTTTTGTGAAATGTAATCTTTAATAATATTGCAATGGTGCCATGGGGTGCCAAATCAGTGAGACTTACTGTAACAGAGTATGGGGTATCAAATCAGTGAGACTTACTGTTACAGAGTACATAGCCTTGCAATGGTATCTATACAATTTTGTTTTGATTAAGACTCATTGTTAGGTCCATTTAAAGAATTATAAAGAGGTTAAAAAGAGTTGCCAATATTCAGTATTTTACTGCATTGTCATGAGACAAGTTTTGATTATTATGGCTGTTCAAAAGAGTATAACATGTCTTAATAAACCATATCTAAGTCATGTTTTTGATAGTTATTCACAATGGTTAATCACAATGTGATATCTGATATGGCTAATAAATAAATCAGTTTGAAATATTAGTAATCTAGATGATGTGAATGTTACTTTATGCACTATACATGATGTGTGAGTAGATTTTGTCCCATTGACACTTTTTGCCGCGCTTTCGATTTTTTGCCTCATTGAAAGAAAAAATTTGCCTCATTAATCTGAAAAATTTGCCTCATGCACCCCCCCTTGAGAAATCCTAGCTACGCCAGTGGTTAAAACTGTCAGGGTATGGATTTATTGCTCTTTTGGAAGTATAAGTGAATGTGTTTAATGATCAATGAGAAGTTGAGATAATGTGATAATTTGTATGAGCCATTTCTCACGAAACTTAACTCATAAATAAATATTTCAGTTTTAAACTGAATTTTAGCAAGGTGCTGGAATAAAAAACCTATTGTCCCAACATGTTCAGATTTCACTGACACCCTGAGATTTTATAACAGATATTTTCTCAGGAAACTCAATCCTATCCAGTAAAACCTGCGAACAAGGAACATTCTCCTAACAGACCAAAACTGTTGCTTGTAGACGGATGTTCCCTACAGAAAGGTTTCAAATTTGGCGTTCCTTACAAAAAAATATTCGGACAGGTTCCACTGTGAATGTAAAATGGCCTGATCCCATTCATTTATCAATAGAATGCTTATACGTTTGACTTATAGGGCTATCTGAGCATTGCTGGGCATTTCTGTTATACATGTGTGATCAGCAATACTGTATACTTATTAAGACATAAGTTACCACTTAGCACTTATTTTCTTATATCATTAAATGATTAATGAAAGGATCGATGAAAAATATTTATATACTTGTGAACACATAGCTCACGAAGCACTTAGAGTTAATATTGAAAGATTATTACTGACTTAAGTTATGATCACATAATCTCTGTTAAGAACCTCGAAGATTAAACGGAATATTAGAAATATATCACATACAAATATTTGCACTTGTATAAATTTTGTACTTTTAAAATTTCAAGATTTCTATTGTATTAGATCAACAATGTTATAAAATATAACAAAATGAATCATGGGTATTCATGATTATTATGAATAGAATTGCAGAATTTTGTAAGAATATTATAAAAGTATGCTAGACCCCAAAGGTGGACTTGCATATTGAAACTTTTCAAGTGATCTACTGCATTCAATGGTTTATTTACAAATTGGATAAAACGGCAACAACTCTCTATGCTATTATGAAGTGCATGCTGCGTGTGTTTCATATGTAAAGAATCGAAAATGGATTATAAGATATGAGAATTCAGATACAAAAGGTTGGAAATTTCTATTGTGTTACATCAGGGTATTAGATTACTTTGAATAATCTTTACACAGCACATCTGATTTTAGTAAATCTCTTTTGACCTACACCGATGTAATGCTTTCCCAAGTGCAAAATATTATGAACAACATTTTGATCAAGATACCATTCATTGGCTGTTGTAAACAAGACCTACTCTGGCCCATTCAGACTCGTTACCACTTGAGCCAAATTTTATCAAATCAATAACATGATTATGTCAAATTAACACATGATTAACAGTTTGAATCAATTTTGTCAAACTTTGGCAGTTAGATTATTGTGTGACATTCCAAGCTAGCAGAACATAAAGAGTAGATACACTGTGTACTGTTTATTAAGACTGAAATACACTTCACTACCTGTTATTGCTAATGATTACGAAAGTGTAACAAATTTGTTACAGAATATTGCGGACCATCAACCACTGATGATGAATGCACAAAAACAGAAAATATTACAAGTCCATTTATTTGTTGCCATAGTAACATTTCAAGTCAATGCATTCTGAAGTAGCAGTATATAAGTGTTTTAAGACAGTGTTTTAAGACAAACAATCTTTTTTCATGGTAACTTATATTCATTGCCATGGTAACTGAAACTGCCAAAAATATGTTAAAGTCGTAACATGTCTGTTGACAATAAATTTCATGTCCATGTGCATGTGAACACTACTTTAACATTTTTGCAAATGGTTACAAAATGTTACAAGTCCACTTATTGTTGCTATGGTAACAGACATTGGCAGAAATGCACATGTTTTTATATGATCACAGTAAAGATTTGAAGTCAGTCAAATCTGTACTTGGTAAGTTATTGGAAGTTGGAGACTATAACAATATGACATCGCTTGCGTTGGTGACATAAAAATTGAGAAACATTGAGAACTTTATGAAATGGCCATAATTCTTGTTTAGTTATTCTTACTACAAGAAAACTTTATCGATAAATTGAGCACTTTAATTACTCTTAGAGCAGAAAGTCAAACATGATCAATATTTCCTCAAAGGTGCAAATTTAATTTGTTGAACTCTGTTGTAATAAATAATGAAAACAACAACTTGAGTTGCATAGAGGCATTCAATAGAATACTGACAGGTAGTTGATTCTCCATCAATCATTATATATCAACAAGTTTCTTTCTTCAAAATGACCATAGGAACATGAATGTGTAAACATGTCATTGGTCTTCAAAGTGGTGATTACAAAACAAGGTGATTGAAGTCTGATTACTTTAGATTGCTTTGTTGTAAGTAATTCACTTGTATTCAATTTTGCTTTGTACCAGCTTTCGCATGATAATGAAATGCATACCTGTAATTGAATATTTTTAGACATTTATTATTTTAAATGAATATCTAAAAAATGTATTTCAAAGTTACTACAAAATTCAACAAAACCTTTCAGAGATTTAGGAATTTTTTTTCATGAAATTGAAATCAAAATATTTCATAAAATAAATGTCACCTTGCACATGATAGCTTTAAATGATATCATTTACTCGGAAGAAAAAAAAACATTCAGAGAAATGCTCCTTTTTACAAAAAATGCCCCAAAACAGGAAACTTCATTGCATCTGGATTTAAGTACAGTAATATTGATTCATTACTCAGGATTAATTTGATTAGCCTTGAATATAATGTGTGCCTGCACGAAATATGTTTAAAAGTGCATAAAAACAAGATAAATCAAAGGCACCGATTGCATGTTCTAAAAATATTAAACAATTAAAAAACTACTTACTTTGAGCATCCTAACTTCCCGCATAGCGATTTTTTTCACCATTTTATCATCTTCACTCTCGAGGAACTTTTTTATAGCAACAAATTGTCCAGTGTCCTTATGCTTGCACTTGAGCACCATGCCATAACTGCCCTCACCGACCAGGCCAAGATTCTCATACTTCTCCATTGTTTTAATCACGCTAGAGCCATCAAGTCGTAACGACTGAAAGTACATGTTGAATAATGCAGTACGTTGACGCTTCAATAATTTCCTCCCTAAACAAAGTCCTTTTTAATTCGTAAGTTTTTATATATTTTCATTGTTCTGAAAAATTATGACAGACACCAATTATGGTTGTCCTTTTAGTAAAAGAAACAGGTTGCCATGTTCCCTGCTACAAACATTCCAATGAAATGCTCTTTCACAGTTTGTATTACAAATAGAAATTTTTTCCAACTTCAAATAAAGCGTCAATCAATAGGTTCCTAATAATCAATAATTCAAGTGTTTTTCTAGTTTTTCAAAAGTATTCATTCTTATATTTCTACTTCAAATTTAAAATGCTTTCTCAGTTGCCCTTTAATCTCCACTTTGAATATATCTCTATACCTTTGTAATCGAAACTGAGAACTGACTGTCTGCATTAAGTGAGGCAATGTCTAGTAAATCCAATGTGCTTTGGTTTCCAATCTATTCCAACTCCAATAATTCCATTTCAAATAAAAGACAGTATTATTTATTACAATAATAATCATGATTTATTTAGATTTTTTCCATATAGTCTCCATGTTTCTAATTATTTCTGTTTATATGGGAGGCTCTTGAAATTTGTGGCCAATCAGAGATCAAAGGGCTTTAGATGACAGAGCTCTTGTCTCGGGGAACAATGTAGGGGAGATTTTGTTTGCATGCCTATGTAAATTTTGTTGATTTTACATTGTTGAAGCTCTCACAAAAACATAGCTTAATTGGGAATTGATTCATTATATGATCCAATTGACGCTGCCATTATTTTTAGAATAATTGTAAATTATCTATAAAAATTAGCTTAATGATAGAATTAATCTAATATTTTAGTGTTGATCTTCTTTAAAAAATAATAATAACTAGACTTTGGAAATTGAACGAGTTCAATTTCAGACTCCAGATTCAGACCTTTTTAGCCGAGTCATCCAAAATAAGCCGAGTCATCCAGAATAAGCTGAGTCATCCAGAAAAAGATGGATGGATAAAATAGGAAGGTAGGATAGGATAGAATAGGAGGGGACGATAGGATAGAATAAGAAAGAAGGATAGGATTGAATAGGAAGAAAGGATATGATAGGATAGGATAGGAAGGAAAAGATACGAAGGAAGGATAGATAGGAAGGATAGGATAGGATCAGATAGGAAGGATGGATGAATTTTTCAATATTTTCTTCTCTACTCTTGACTTTCTATCAGGATACCATCAGATCGATTTTTCCGAAATTTCAAAACGGCATAACTTCCGAACCGGCAGTCAGATCGAAATTTGGTTTACAGATTCGGATTCCTGACAAAATTCTACCCCTAATTCATAACTCATACGTTAAATTTGGAGATTTTTTATTTTGACCTACTTTTTGGACACGCCATAACTTCCGAACTGGAAGTCGGATCGAAATTTGGTTTGCAGATTCGGATTCCTGACAAAATGCTACCCCTAATTCATAACTCATACGTTAAATTTGGGAATTTTTTTATTTTGACCTACTTTTCGGACACCATATCTCAAAAGTGGGTCAAAATACTTTCTGACGGCAAAAGGCTAACACTATTAGCACACTCATGGCTACATGTATACACAATTTCGAAGAATATAATTGAAGTGTAGTGTCAGAATCGCAAAAATAAGGAAAACCTTTGAATTTGACCTAGATTTTGACTTAGGCATTTTGGTGTCCAAATTTTGAAACTAACTGGCTTTTGAGGTCCCCTTCTTTTGAAGGCTTTCATTAAATTAAGCTGAACTCAGTCTATATTTCGTATTTCTCACTTCAAAAAAATCTTTTTACCCATTGACTTAACATGGGCACCAAATTTTTGAGCTTTTAAAACGCCATAACTTCCGAACCGGAAGACGGATCGAAATTTGGTTTGCAGATTCGGATTTCTGGGGAAATTCTTCCCTTAGTTCATAACTCATATGTTAAATTTGAGAAACCTCTAATTTCGACCTACTTTCTGGACGCCATATTTCAAAATTGGTAAGAGTAATCAAAAAATGGATGGCACATCATGAAAGGGCTGTTTCTAAGCTACATGATGAAAAAAAGACAAAGACGTTTCGATAAATAACAACGAAGATAATGGACAGAAGGTTGAAAATGTAAGATTTGACCTAGTTCTTGACCTTTGACCTAGATAAAAAATTGACCCAATTTCCCACCAACTAGATACTGAACCTAAATGAACTGTATAATGGTCTTTACTGGATACCTTATAGTTATAGAAAAATCGTCTAAAGAATAATAAAGAAGAATACTGGCAAAAACAATAGACTCCAGATTGACATCTGGAGTCTAATAAAATAGATGATACAGTGTATGTATATCTAAATGTTAAATTGATCTGTAAAATCCTGACTGCAAATCATCTTGAAAAGGTAGGATATTGTTCGAAATTTGATACAGACAACCAATTTTTATATATTAATCAAATGAAAGACCAATATTACCAGATCACGCTATCATTAATCTACCATATTATAGCCTGCTAAAGGCACACACCCCCTAATTAATACACATGCAACTTAAGAAATATGTATGTATGTATGTATAAATATTTATTAACGTCTCACGCCATATATAAAATAGTACAATAATGCAATATCAGTTAAAATCTTCGGCCCGGCCGGTGTCGACCTATGGGAGACTTAAAATCATAATAATCACTTGTTAAAAGTTTTTGATTATTAAATTAAAGAACGCCTTTTTAAAAGCATATTAATCAGTGTCTTTGACAATGTCCTTTGTAACATTGGTGTAGTCATAATAGAGCAAAACTGTTGAATATAATTAAAAGTGTGAAAATCTGGAATTTCCTCAAGGCATTTCAGAAACAATGGAGTTCTTAGTTCATCATAAGAATTGCACTGTAGAAGAAAGTGTATCTCGTCCTCAACAGTGTGATTGTCACAGTGACATCGACGATCCTGGAGTGGGGTATTGTGATAACGTCCAGTTTCAACCTTCAATGGGAGTGTTCCGCCTCTAAGTTGGGCAATTGCTTTGCGTTCGCTCCTTGCAACTTAAGAAATATGTAAGGCTTTCAAAATTGAAAGGAACACATCATTCTAAATGTAGTTGCATTTGGGTTCAAAACTTAATCTGCACTTGACTTGTTTCAATGATTCTCCCACGCATATGCCTCTGGTGACCTGGTCCATTGTGAAAATTGTACTTGAGATAAAATGATATTGAATAAAGAATATCATTCAAAATTGTTCCAAGGATTATAGCATTGTAGTGATGCACCTTGTTGAAAATTTAAAAATTTCCTTAAGTCTGTTCTCATCCTATATTAAAAAAGATGAAATAATCAGATATTTTGACTAAAAAGGGGTAAACTAGAATTTAGCATCCTGATGAAAAAAAATGTATATCAGTCCAAACAATGTCATTTATGTATTCAGTAAAGATAAAAGCATGGTACTAAAGAACTATCAACTTATACAGAGCATTGTGCTATCAATATTATAATTATGTAGCATATAACAACTCCAGGAGTTTCATTAGCAGCAGGCAACAGGCAATTTTCACCGATTGTTTTCACAAAATTGCCTATTGTTTTTAGGGACTTTTCCATGTTAAATTTATCATTTCCATTAATTTTACCTGTTGTTTTCATTTATCTAGCCTGTTGTGAGAAATTCTAGTGAAACTCCAGGACTATAACCATAAATGTTAGACTTCTTTACAAAAGTTAATACTAACACAAAACATGGCTATAAGAGATAGCGTGCATTCTGATTTATCAGAGCACCTCTTTATCTAATGCTTGAGAAAGCATGAGTACATGTACTTTAATGGATAGTAAAGTATGTGAATCCCACAATAGATAACATTGTACCTATAGTACTGTTTTAACTATAAAAATGTTTTGATTCTAGTCAAAATTGTATCAAGTAGGTTAAGATATTTTACAACAGATAATAAAATTATATATGTAGAGCAGATGCTTAACATTTGAACAAAAATATAAATTTTACACCAAAAGCCAATAAACAAATATGTTTTGGTTTTAGTCAGCATTGTCATATTTTTTGTTAGCCATGTAGGGCTCTATTTTGTCTTATCAAACCCATAAGTAGAGAAATATCTGATTGTGAGGTAGGAAGAGACATTTTTCTCTTTTAATTACCCTGGATCAGTTACTACCTTTTCAACGGAATCTAATTTTTGTTGCAATGGTTGTTGGTTTTGCATAAAAAATAATATATAAAGCTGTAATCCGATTAGTTTCACATTTATGTATTTTTATCTCATATACTGTTAGTAAAACTGAGATGACAATGGTTCTGATGGCATACAGAAAGTGATACAGAAAACTAAAAGAGCTAATCTCAACATCAAATATTTGCTATTGGAGATCAAGAAAGAAAATTTCATTTGCCTGACAATATCACTTCTGTGAAACCATTTATATGTTGACTCTTCAGATTAGATTTCTTAGCTTTTCGAGGATCGTTTAACAAGCAATAGAATCCAAATAGAATATGTTGATGTTAAATATATATAGCATCTTTATTCCTAATTATCATCTAATCAGATTGGAATCTACCATACCCTTGGAAAAACATCTTTTCGCTCATCAGTTTTTGTTTGTAAAGAGTATGGAAGATTCTGTTACGAGCATGTGACATTTATTTTTCATTAGTACTTCAGAAGATAATTGAATGAAACTTTCCTTTTCATAAGAGCGTGTGATGACAATATGTGAAATTGTCCTATTTCTTGTGGGACCTGTAATTAAAAAACTAGGAACTTCGGATTAGATGTGCACCATGTTTAATTTTTGCGTGTCCATACTTTAAGTTACAAGATCTAAATACAGCTGCAATTTATTTTTTACATTTCTTTATGGTAAGAGAACTGAACGTTGGCACAACAGATGTTGATGGAACAAAATAAGGCAGGCCTGTCAACTGTCCCGCAATTTGTCACGCATTTGCTGAAGAATTTGAAGTCACGCCAGTTATTTTTGCGTGACAGAAAATGTCACGCAAATACGCATTTTACCTGGTAATTGTCAAGCAAAAATATTTCTGTAGAAAAATTTCTAAAAAAGATCGTCTACACAGCAAAAATACGATCGCCGGAAAAAAAATGTACGCATTTCGTTCAGACTTTTCACTCGAATTACGTATATGTCACACATTGTGTTCAGATTTGGACCAAGGTGTCCACATTTTGAGGGGAGGTGTTCAACATTTCCAAGTCACTCATGTTAGGTGTTCCCAAGTTGACAGGCCTGATAACTGAGGCCCGGGTATACAGTCATTAATAAAAAATCTCTTATTCTTAGTCTTATTCTTATTAATAAAAAATCAGTCTTATTCTTATTCAATGTAAGTAATAAAGTAATATAGTAAAAGACATGTATACACCACACATTACTAACTCAGTACACTAGGGGACTTTTTAAACATTTTTAACATATTCCTGGGCCTCAGCCTGATAAGGTAACCACAAACAAATAATGTAGACTCTATTGATTTAAATATAAAGTGTATTACAAATGCTACTCAGCACACCGTTAAGTCATGGGCTCACAAGTATGTAATTTTTCTTTCCAAGAAATTCCAGTCAACAGTTTTAGATTTAGAGTTACTCCCGTCGAGAGCTACTTAGATTTTGAAAGTATAGCTCTCTATCGCTAGAATCAACAACTTAAGAATCCTGACTTCAAAGAAAATTCCAGGGAATTCAGCTGACTCATGTTGCACATTATATACCTGAAAATGTATCCTACATTGCCATCTTTCATTCAGCTCAACTACAGAACGTCTCACTGTCCTATGTATCGATCAGGACTTCATTTTATTGGTCGTGTCAAAAGTTTTGGCCAGGTATATTCAATATGGCGGCTTGACGTTTCCCAAGTTGCGCATGCGTCGATAATATTTCCGTTTAACCGCCATATTGGAAATGGGTATCAAACAATGAATTCAAAAAACAATGAGAACTCCTGATCGCCATAAAAGCACATTCGCGATCCTACATGCACGGGGAAAGTAGACACATATGAGCCCATATGCAGGCTTCAGTTTGAGACAAACAGTAAGCCGCTGAATGGCGCTGATCAAATTTAGATGTCACAATTCTTCAGCTGGAGATCCTCACGATGGAGAGCTATACTTTCAAAATCTAACATGGTAGCCTAGCTCTCGACGTGAGTAAATTTAGAGCTGATTTCTTGAACCTTGACTAGTCCAAGAGTAGTTATCAGAATAAGATGAAAAGAGATTTCTAATGTTAATTGTGATTTATAGCTTGCACTCCAGTGATAGTCTAGAATTTACCTAGCCTAGATTCATGGTACAGTAATAATATTTTTCCTGGAAAATTCAAATCAAATGAAATTTTTTGAAAAATAAAATAAAACAAAATTCATGTATTTCAAGCCTTCAGTTCAATAATTCATAGTCTTACCTTTGTTAATGTACTCATAGGTAGCTCCCATTGCTCGGAAATCAATAAAGACAATACAGATTCATACAATCAAATAGTTTAACCATTTTAAAAATTTTCAAAACGTGATGAATTTCCGGATCGAGATTTGTTTCCACTGACAACAACTGTGGTATGGTGTGTCATTTACAGATCACGTGGGCATGTTGTGTGATTTAAATTTATTTTTACAGCAATATAAGAAGTATAAATATTTGTAAATTTCTATCATTCAACTTATAATATATAGAACAGTTTTTTTCCTAAAAATGTTAATCACATTACTTCAAGTAATTCTTCAAAATAGAGATGTAATCTTCAACTAAAAGGGGTCATGTTTGCATAAAAGAACAGCTCAATTTTTATAAAGGTGGCGCTTCAAACATGACAAACCAGATATTCTTTTGTCACATTTTTTCATTCGCTCTGCCCTCTATAAATACATATAATCTTTAATTTTATGTGTGCATTGTTCACCATGTGAAAATTCAACTTAAATAAATGGAAGATATATTTTTATGGTAAAATATGTTAGTTGAAAGGTTGTGACTGTTTCTGATATACAGCCTTTCTTCTAGGATTTTTTTTAACTTATTATACTAGCCTACATCATGGACGTATATCGATATACGTCCATGCCTACATGTACTATGAAATCTGTCAAAGGCGCAACCGCGTCACCAACTTGCAAAAGTTAACTGTTTTGCTACAACCCCGGGGCTACAACCAAGCGCATTTTCGATACATTATATGAAAGATAATCGAAAATAATTAAGGACCGAGGGGGTGAACCCGGAAGGGGGGCGTAGCCAGGATTTACACAGGGGTGGTTTTACCGGGGGAAGCTTTTGCCAAGGGGGAAGTTTTTTGACAGTTTTTGGCCAGAAAATCATGCGATAACTTGCTCAGAATGGTGAAAAACTGCATGCTTTTTATAAAAATTAGTCTGGCCGGGGGGGGGGGGGCGGCCGCTAAAGTAGTTTAATTCTGATGAAAACTAAAAATATCGAAATCGGCAATCTCCGTCCGCCATCTTAAATGCGAAGGTTACGCCTACTGACCAGTGCCCACGTTCCGTCCATAGTGGGCAAGAGTCAAATGTAATTCCCACACCCATGATCTAAAACTAAGTGATACGTACTGTCTGCTATCTATTTTATAATTGTTCCAATCAATTTATAGGCTTACGCTTTTTCGAAACAGATTTAATTTCATGTTTCAAAGCTTTCAAGAAGCACTTTTTAAGAATTGAAATATATGAACAGGATGGGCAACTAGATAACATCAACGCCAACGCGTACACTGGTGATCCACTCGATTACGCTGGTTACCAAAACGAACCGTTTTGGTAACAAAATGTCGGAACGTCGAAGGCACGATTTTTCTTTTTTCCTTATTTCACGCGTTGTAGGCGGAATCCCCACGACGTTTTTTCCCACAACGTGCATCAGTATCATATGTTTTAGAAAATGTACATGTTTGCGAAAAAATAGCTCAGAGGACAACATAATCGTCGATTTACTTCCTCACTTAAGTTACATAAACGGTTTTTCAAAAAACAGTTAAGATCTGCACTTTTAACCCAAACCGTTTATGTAACTTAAGTGAGGAAGTAAATCGACGATTCTGTTGTCTTCTGAACTATTTGTTCGCAAATATGTACAATTTCTTAAACATATAATACTATTACACGTTTGTGTTAAAAAATGCCGTGGGAATTCTGCCTACAACGTGTAAAATAAGGAAACGAGAAAATCGTACCTTCCGGATGTTCCGACATTTTGTTACCAAAACGGTTCGTTTTGGTAACCAGCGTAATCGAGTGGATCACCTGTGGCGTAGCAAATCCAATCAAACAGTCATTTGAAAAACGGCAACCTATTCGCCCAAGTGTTATAAGACAGCGCAGTCCTTACCCTGCTAAAGCACGCCTTACCATCGCGTAAGCAGGCGTCACCGTACAGCGTCAAAAAATAGCGGAGTACAGTTTCCTGTACGGTAACGCAAATTAACTGCTTTGAAGCAAAAACTATGACAAGGGTTTAAAAAAATTAATTTGATGAAAACTAATACGATTTCATGTGAAATAAAAACAGCATTCTCTTAGAAATGGTTTTAACTTTCTGATTATGATAATGGGATTATCACATCAGCCAAGCAAAAAATAATCTTTATCGTAAATTTATGAAGACTCCTAGTGAAGAAAATGAAAGGAACTATAAAATATATAAAGCAAGGTTCAGAGCTATTTTGAGAGCTGTTGAAAAAAAACACTATCGGAATCAATTTGAAACTGCATCTGGAAATATTAAGCAAACCTGGAATATTATCTCTGACATATTAAATAGAAAAAAACTTCACACAGTGGTCCAAAACGAATTTCTGGTCGATGGTATTGTAGTAAGTGATAAAAAGTTGATTGCCAATAAATTCAACTCATTCTTTTCTTCAATTGGATTGAAATTAAGCTCTAAAATTTCAGAGTCAAACAGAACACCAAATGAATATATTCGTAATATGGGAGATTTTGAAAATAGATTTCACTTAACACCAGTTGATGAAACTGAATTGTCATTATTGATACAAACTTTGAAAGATAAGGCAGCGTCTCTTGATAATGTTAAACCGATTATTGTAAAACATGCTAAAAATGAACTTATACAGCCTTTACTTTTGATATTTAATAAATCCTTTCAACAGGGAGTCTTCCCAGATAAACTCAAAATAGCTAAGGTAACACCAATTTTCAAAAAAGAACAAAAAGACAATTTCTCAAATTATAGACCAATTTCAGTCCTGCCAGTTTTTTCTAAACTTCTAGAAAAACTTATTAACTTTAGACTTTGTAATCTTATCACCGAAAATGAAATATTATATATTCATCAGTATGGCTTTCAGAAAAATGTCTCTACCTTTATGGCAATCCTAACTTTTGTTGAAAACATACGACATGCGCTGGAGAACAATGAATATTCGCTTGGTATATTTTTAGACTTGTCTAAGGCTTTTGACACCATTAATCATAAAATCCTCCTCGATAAATTAAATTTTTATGGAATTCAAGGGTCTGAACTATCTCTTTTTAAATCATATCTAAAGGATCGAAAGCAAATTGTATCTTATAACAATATTGACTCTGATTTACAAAGTATATCATGCGGTGTGCCCCAGGGCTCAGTCCTTGGGCCGACATTATTCATATTATATGTAAATGACATGTTTAAGGTGTCCAATCTTCTGAAAAGCGTAATATTTGCCGACGACAATAATTTGTTGGCCTCGGATAAAGATTTGAAATCTCTAATAGAAAAGGTTAATAATGAACTTGATCTTATGGATGACTGGTTCAAAGCGAATAAATTGTCAATAAACTATTCTAAAACAAAATTTATCTTGTTCAATAAACAGAAACGACAAATCTTTAGAGATGTTAAAATTGATATGTCTGGCAAACAAATTGAAAGAGTAAGATCTATCAACTTTTTAGGTGTCATTATTGATGAACATATTACCTGGAAAGAACATATTAAACATATAGAAGCAAAAATATCCAGAACAATTGGTCTCTTATATAAGATTCGCCACCTTTTGAATAAAACAAGTCTTTTGGCAATCTATAATTCCCTGATATACTCACATATAAATTACTGTAATTTAATCTGGGGTGGCCATAGCAATGCTCATACAAACGAGCTGCATTCCCTACTTCTATTCCAAAAGAGATTTCTTCGATTACTAGACAACCAGCCAAGAATGGCACATTCAGCACCTCTCTTTAAGAAGTACAACATTCTACCTGTAAACCAGGTGTATGAATTTAATGTTTCAAATTTTGTCTATTGTTGTATTTACCAGGAACCTGTTTATTTCAAACCATATAATGATTATTTTAATCAAAATGAATATTTTCACAATTATCCTACTAGAAGAAGTCATGATTTACATGCTAGGGCTCACAAAACAAAAATAGGGTTATATTCAATCAAAGTACAGGGTCCAAGAATATGGAATTCTATCTCAGATCATGTCAGATTTTTGCCTTCTTTACTTCAATTTAAAATGACTAGAAAGAAAAACTTAATTGCTGAAATATAATTCTATACTGTCACCTCATCTACCTTTCCATCCATACATTTTTTCCTAAACCGAAATAGAGTTAACACACAATGGCAGCCACAACCCACCACCACTGGCCGTAAGTTAGATGCATACATATGCTATCAATATGTATAGTTATTATTGAATTTTTATTTTTGTCACTAAAACAACTTCATACACTTGTTAAAGTGTCAGTTGATGTAAAAGTAATGTATCATAGTTTGACAATAAAGTATGTAACTAACTAACTAACTAACTAACGTTTTACGAGCACTGTTCGGATTTTTTCTGAGTGAATCGGCCCACATAATCGACCAGAGTTAAAAAAGGTTGTTTTTTCACATTTTGTTTGGTTATTATTTTCCCTACCGTCTGAGAGTATGGATTATTTTTATGAGAATATGTATTTGTTACTTACACATTTTAGAACGGGCCAAGATTCAGCAAACAACCATTCATTATGTATATTTAAAAAAGATCAAATTTGTACGGTGACGCACCAGCTGTACGGTGACGCTATGCTTTGATGAACTAAATGAGACTAAGATTGTATGAAACGGAAACTCTGGAGTATGATCATTTGTTCATATATAATGCATGGGCGCTACAGTTCAACGATATCTTCCACAGCTTAATGGAAGGTTACTGGAAATGTATGATACGGTAAAGATCATGAAACCAAAAACTCTCTTGTTGCTATGTTATTGATGTTTTAAAACAAGGGATGTCACAAGTAAATCTCATCTTGCACGTGTGACTTTTTAGGATGAAAGATGCAATATCTTGCATGGGGTAAAGATGGCTGTGTAGGCTATCTTTGTTAGTCATATGAGAAAAGCCTGGTTTAGTTCAAATGATACCAAAGCATTACGTCAACTTTCAAATAGTTAATTCCATGAAAACTAAAAATATCGAAATTAATACTTCCTGTCCGCCATCTTAAATGCGAAGGTGACGGCTGTAACCTTCGCTTGATACATACCAGTTATAATGTACATGTAGATCTGACGCTTCTTTACCTCTTGTTCGAACAGTAAGCTTAGAGCACTTCATTAAATCTAAGGAAGCGTCACCGTACAGCTGATGCGTCACCGTACAGTTCTGATCTTTTTTAAATAAATACACTGAATGATTATTTGCCGAATAGTCATCTGTTCTAAAATGTGTAGATAACAAATACATATTCTCATAAAAATAATCCATACTTCAGACGACAGGGAAAATAATAACCAAACGAAAAGTGAAAAAAACACAATTTTTCTCTCGAGTCGATTATGTGGGCCGATCCAGTCAGAAAAAATCCGAGCAGTGCTCGAAAAACTTTTATCATAATTAGAAAGTTAAAACCATTCCTAAGAGAATGCTGTTTTTATTACACCCGAAATCGTATTTATTTTCATCTAATTAATCTTTTTAAAACCCTCATTATAGTTTTTGCTTCAACTCAGTTAATTTTCGTCACCGTACAGAAAACTGTAAGTTACTGTATTTTTTGACGCTGTACGGCGATGGTTAGGCGTGTAAAGATCATTCACATATCAACTAGGGTGAACAAAATCGCTCCACTACTTTTGGAGTTGGTGTCATAAGACAGTGTGCCATATGGTTATGAGCATTCACATATAAAATGTAAACAAAATCGCTCCAAAAACGTAATTATAACACACAAACTTTTTCAAAATGCCCGCCTTCTAGCCAAAATCAGTCCACGTTAAAGCAATAATTGTAAAATAGGGGTGTGATGGCCGCCATTTTGCAAAAGGGCCATCATGTTTATTAGATATTTAGATTTCCAACTTAATCAATATCCTATCTAAACATATTAATATTACAGTTTTATATGTTGTACCCAAAATACTTTAAAATGTACACTAAAATGGCGGCCAAAATCGGCTTTCAAGCAGAATTACACCCATGGGGCATGTATAAAAATAAACGATATTGGTTCAACGATATTTGAGTTATTACCCAGACGGACAGACGGACGGACGATCGGAGGGCGGAGGCGTCCCATATATCCCTCCGAACTTTGTTCGATGGGATAATATAAAAATGGGACCCTTTGTATTTAGGAGCAACAGATAAACCAAGTGACATTAGCAAAAGATGGGGAATTTAATTATCTTTAAGATACGATAAATGTGACTTCAATGTTGTAGACTATTGTGACATTCTTGAATGGGATGTCACATTTCTCAAAAGAATCTGAAAATGAAGGAATTCATGAAAAGTGGATGTCCATCATTATGTCTCCCTATACTAGTATATATATGTCTAATAGAGCTCTCAATCTCAGAAAAGTCATTAGAATTAACGGGATTGTCCGATAGCGATTGTTTGAAATAACAAAAGCGCGACATAAATTCAAATTTGCTAAAGCGTTTTAAAGATATTGTATTTTCGGCCAATACCCACGAAATCATTTAAAAACCTGGATGGCAAAAGTAAATAAAGTGTTTTCTCAGGGCGAGTCCGTTTGAAAAGATAATACACGCATTATATAAATCACAAAAGATCCACAAACCCATAGAGTAGAATCAACAATTAAAAAGTCAATTGATTTATTAAAGGGGCACAAACTAGACTTTATAAAAAAATAAAGATGCATAGGTTAAGTTGACAAAGTGCGGGTTAACTCGGATCTGAGTTGACTAGAAGCCTAAAATAAACACTAGGCCTTTGATCAAATTACATGCACAAACAGCTTGACACAAAATTCATGTCCTTGTATTCAATAAATGACTGATGCATATTTTTCTTTTATTGCTATTTTCTGGTGTGTTAAGTTCTAATTCAAGAAAAATTCGTTTAACGGTTACAGGCTTCGCTACTAGAGTCACTGACAATTTATGTACATACCTTTTTATCTGCCAAGCACGCAATCTTACCGTGAACAACTTCAATACCGTTGAACCAAAGAATAAAATATTTTCTACGGCAACACAGACATAAGTTCGATTAAATGAAAAAAGACATTTAACATGATTTTACCATTCACTGGAATATGTATTTTAGTACATTTATGTGTGGGTGATTCTATGGCAACCATAAATCGGGATATCAAGATGAAAACGCTCCAAAGGACACCACCACATTGGGCCCAAGTTCCAAGCTCATTGGATGAATTCCCAAGAGATGACAATGCAATTTCTATAAATCCGTGGAGTTACTTACATAGACTAGGGATGTACAGATGTTTAATTGAAGCAACAGGCAAACGACTTCATGGAACAAAATTAGATGGAAAATGGAACCTTCTTTGGGGTTTACCAATTCAACATGGTTGGCAATTCCAAACAGGGCGCTTGCGAGATTTCACAAATCAAACATATTGTGGTTTCAACGGAGCACAATCTGAGATGTTTTGTATTTCCCCAAACAGTTGGTGGGCTGATATGAATTATTATTTATCAGCGTTTCCATTTCTAGCTGCTGTAAAAGCTGGCGTTTTTAGTAAGCAAATTAATGGATTTAAAGTGGAACTGAAACCTCCAGAATATAACACGGAAACGTTTTGCTACGGAATAAAAGATTGCACTCAAAGAGATGGAACATTAATGAAAAAATGGTATAACTTCTTCATGTACATTACAGAGTGTCCGAAAACAAAATGTTCACCAAACCGAGCAGCAGTGAAGCTTTGGAAGGCACACGTGGGATCAATTGAAGCAGGCATGAGGTTGTTCAACGATGAGTTGAGATATCTATCAACAAAAGAACGTAATTTTGGAAAAGGTTGGGTAAAGAGTGTCACAATGTTGGCTGCTGTTAGATTCAAGACAAATATGAGACAAACAGAAAAATTCCAGGTATGTGAAGAATATTGTAATACCAGAATACTGTTAATAATTGATAGTGCTTCAACTTTAAATGCAAACATCCAGACTATTTGTCAGGTGATCAACTTGAGGTGATTATAAGATGATCAAAATAATTAAGGTAACTGAGTAAAAGCTCCACACCATATGCTTAGTATTTTAAAGAACATTTTGTGAATTGCTATCATAAGCTTAATATTTTGAGAATATGCGTATATCAAAACTGGAGAGTGTATTGATTTAATTTTATCTTCAAAAACACAATCTCTCAAAACTGAGCACTTATATCTTTACTTCATGGACACCCTGTATTGCAGACACTTGGCCTACCTAAAAGAATCCTATGGGAGACCGATGACGCCCCCTATATCCCAGATATGTCACCAACAGAGAACACCTTACTTGATGTCTTAGATCAGCTACTCTATTGGGACAACTTTCTAGGTAAACTCCACACAGTGGCTTTTGAATCAAAATTCATCATTTAAGATCGGATCTCGCTAAAATCAGATGGAAAGAATTGAAATACCCTTGGATCAAACCCGGGGACCAAGAATGCCAAAATGAGAGCTCAAAATGAGCTGTAAAACATCATGAGTAATCATGGCCTTCTGTCAGTTCCTTTCTAGAAATATATATCTAGTTAAATAAAAAATAGAAAGATGTTATGAGTTCTATCGGCCGCTATAGCCGTTATATTAAGAAAAACTTAAGTTAATGGACGATTTTTATTTCATTGCAATGCAATATTCTTTTCAAATCAGTGTGCATATTATTGCGAATGAGAGATGAGCTCATCACTCAACACTCTCTGGAACATGTAGAACTAGAAAGTCCTCTTTTTGTACTAATAGAGAGCTACCCGGAATAAGTATATTTTCAACAGACACAATGTCTCTGGTTTTCAAGTAAAATAAAAGATTACTACATGAATATATTTAAATATATCAAAACATCAAACTGCTGTAACATAAACATGCAAAGAAATACAATTTTATTTAATATTCCTTAGGTGGTTATATTGTATCTGGATGGAACAGTGTAATGTGTAATGAGGCAGCAAGAAAAATGGGGCGTGCCACTTTGATGGATTTACTCACTCAGAGCCATCTTAGAACAGCCAAGGACATCTTCTTAATATTATGGACTACAATAACAACTGATTGTCAAAAAATACCTAATAGTTATGTTAATTAAAATGTTATATTTTATAACACAAGTAACAGAGATGTACTATTGTACTATATTCAGATATTAGATTTAAACAATGAGAAGGTTCTGTAGAATCTTGTAGTCATTCAAAAAATTTCCTTAAAATAAATTGGATACTCTAGCAACTGAACATTGAAATAACAAATCTGTTTATGGATACTATTGCAAATATTTATGAAGTATATTTATGAGATAAAAAAGCAGAGGACATTTAAGATTGGAAATGTGGGGTCATGGATTCGATCCCCATGAGTGTAGATGGACTTTTTCACATCAGGCCTAATCAGGGGCATATCCAGCTTTCAGTTAGGGGGGGGGCGGCTGCGATAGACAAAAAAATTTGGTTTAGTCATGGGGGCGGGTGCGATTGTGGCATAATTTTCTTGCTGCCAAAAAATAAGATTTATTTTGAATTTCAAAAAAATTAAATTGATGCAACTTCCTTCACAATTGAGCTAGGGTGCACCTCCCTGGCTACGCCTATGCTAATAATAGCGCATTTCATTAACCAATATTTGGGGTAATTCTAAAACAAAATAAAAAAAATCATAATTCTGGTAATAGGAAAATATTGAGGGGGATCATCAATAAGTTATACAAATGCATCTATCATGTAGAACAAAGCATATCCACCATTATTGTCTGTTCTGTACCATCATTTCAAACATAACCATAACATATTCTAGAAAACATTCAAAATTTATTTCTAATAGAAAATATTGCCGAAAAGTTTAACAGTAGAACATATACTTATTATATACTCATCAAGTTCATAACAAAACAATCTATATTTAATATTTAAAAATGTCTTACTCAGTTGTAAAACGGCAATTCCATCATTCAAAAGGTTCTGATCTGCTCGTTCAGAGTTCAGGAGTTGAACATGGTAAAACAAATACTTTGAAACAGTCAAACAATTACTTTCCAAAATATAATACAATTGAGTGAACCTGTTTGAAGTGAATGAACTATGTTGACAATAAAAATTAAATTCTTAACTGAGATAAACATTGCTCACTGGATAGTTACTGTATGAAAATGTATGTATGTATCAAATGTTGAACAATGCATTAAGATAAAAAAGAAACCCTTATTTATTTCTTGTGTGATATCTGAAACAGGTACCAAACCAAGTAGAGACCAGCTTATGCCTGGGTCACATTTGATCCAATTCATCAGCCAACATACAGCTGATTCAGCATTCTGATACTCATAGCATCTCTCTCTGTTGCATTGCAGATGTTATCCAGAAGGAGAGAGATGGAGAGGGCGTGGCTTACCCGGTGCTGATTCAGTATTCTGTTCAAAACTAACATTATCTCTTTATATCTTTATAGTTGCATAAACACATTAGATATTCAGCAGTAACCACTTAATGAAAACTAATATTACCCCCTTTTATGATACTGATAAAAAGTTGTACATTGATCTGAGTATTTTTAATCTACAGATATATGGTTTATAAGGTAAACCAGAACAACGGCAACGCCAAAGCGTAGCGAATCCCATCGAACAGAAATGGCTGGCATTTTTACAAACGAAGCGCAAATATCATAAAACAACACACCAGAAAGGCCACCATTTTCAAAATGGTTGCTCACTAGCCAAGTTGTCATCAGAAGAAATAATATGCTTTTAAGTAGCCACCTCTAAAATTTTTGAAAAATCGCACACATGCTTGTAAAATAACACACATAAAAATGGTGGCCATTTTTCAAAATGGCCGACTACTCCCTAAAGTTTTATTAGACAATGTGCCATGCTTAAAGTATTCACATATCAATTATGAACAAAATCGCTCCACTACTTTTCGAGTTATAGTAAAATACGTTAAAATGGCGGCCATTTTTCAAAATTGTTTTCAAAATGGCCGCCTTCTACCAAAAGTGTCATAGGACAGTGTGCCATGCTTATAGTATTCACATACCAAATATAAAAAAAATCGCTCCACTACTTTTCGAGTTATAGTAAAATACGTTAAAATGGCGGCCATTTTGAAAAATGGCCACCTTCTACCAAAAGTGTCTTTAGACAGTGTGCAATGCTTATAGTATCCACATACCAAATATGAACAAAATCGCTCCACTACTTTTTGAGTTACAGCAAAAATCGTAAAATGACGAGTAAAGGCCGCCATTTTTCAAGATGGCTGCCATGTGCTTCTTTAATATCTACATTTGTAGCATTATTAACGTCCTTTATAATTTTTTTACATTTAAAACATATTGCTATTACAGTTTACATATTGCACCTAAATTACTGTAAAATCGTCACTAAAATGGCCGCCATTTTGAAATGAGCAGCCATTTTGAAAATCGGCTTTCGAGCAGAACTTCTAACCCCATAGGGTATATGTGTACAAAATATGAACAAAATCTGGCCAACCGTATTTGAGTTATTGCCCGGACGGACGGACGGACGGACGGACGGACGGACGGACGGACGTACGTACGTACGTACGTACGTACGTACGTACGTACGTACGTACGTACAGACGTACGTACGGACGGATGGACGGACGGAGGCTTTCCCTATATCCCTCCGAACTTCGTTCGATGGGATAAATATAATAATCAGTGGAATATATAACATTGAAGCATCAATATAAGCAAAATGCAGGCTGGTGTATAAAATAAAATAATTGCAACCAACAAACTTTTGCACATCAAGCTTGAACATTTTCATTATATAAAAGAATTGAATATACATATTCTGTATACAGAAGCAAAATATAATGACAATTATTTGAATTGTTAGTAACTGAGCTAGTAATAGCCTTTTACATATAAAGGTGCAACAAAGAGTCAACAGTTCAGAGTAACTTTTCCAAAATATGTCACAACCTTAAAATAGTGTTTGCTCGCAACATTACATGTCACGACTGTTTATTTCCTAAAGGTCAAACAGTTCTGGCTTTATTTCATGATAATCAATTGCTTTTATGGTAACTGTAAATGTCTTTAATTTGGTGTTATTTAATTTGGCGGATTGAGCAAAGTATCTGGTAAAAATGTTGAAAAAATAATAAGTGACGTTAGATCAGACTTTATTTCAGATAATTTCCAAGGAACATTGGTATGTTTTTAACATATTTCATGCGACACATTTCATATTCTTTGTTCTTTGTTGCCCCTTTAATTTTAAAAGGCCTGTGGCCAGATAAACTATGGTCCACCAATTATGGAATGAATCTAAGCTGAGTAATATAAATCCATACCCTACAAAGATGATATCAAAACATCAAAATCCAAGAGTTTGAGTAATATGAAATAATATCTTACATTTGAGTATGGTAAATATTATATAACATACACATTACATTCAATATTGGATTTAAAACATACAGTGCCTTTAAAAAACATAGTAAATACAAATACAGTCTTGATATTTCTGGCCAATAACTGGCTCATCAACAGATCCATAATCAGTGAAATATTGCTGAAGAATTAAGTGTGTCATGGAGTTTACTGCCATTAGATTACTAAACATAATCATTATGGTTCCTTGGATAGTTGTACATAGTACATTGTTCAACACAAAAACTGTTATCAAATTGGTGCAAAACAGTGTTCACGGTCAAATATTGGAAATATTTTATCTCAAACATAGTTGATTTCTAAGTCTGACTTTCATAAGCCTCTCCACGGTGGTCTTCTGTAAATGTGTAGTATGTCTTAGTTGTAGTCATCTCGTTGCTGGAAATAAATAGAACATCTCGAATCACGATCAATGATTTAGAAATCTTCATTATTGAATTCATAGCAATCTTTTCAAATCAAGATTTCAGTATTAAATAATTGATTTCAAAATATAATTTCAAAAAAAATTCTGATAATCATAACCTCATCTTTTGCTCACATATTTAATCCTGTCCAGATTCAAAAGAAATTAAATAATAGGCCTGGTGCTTGTAATAGCTATGGAAGGACTTCGCTAAAGGTTCAACATTGAATACTACATATATCCCACGTTTTAATTTTGGGGAAAATTGTTAAACTCTGCCAAATTAAGTAGCCACTAAATTCCCAAGTGACTTTAGTCCCATGTAAATTAGTACCATTATTACATTGTAATATTGCAAGTCCGCCAAATGTTCAAAACAGTAAATTCATCAAAATAAGTAGCGCCATATTAGTAGAAGTACAGTATCTCAAGTTCAAGTGTTTACCTCTCATATATGGGGTTGACATGTGCATTGACAGCATCCCCATGGTCAATATCTGAGCGCAGTGTACTGGAATTCATCACCGTCATCCTTGCAGTCCCATCATCCCCTGGTCCTGGAAGTACAACATATTCTATTGGTCGAGGACTTTAATAAATATCAACATTGTCTTTTTATCAATAGATTTTATTGCCATTGTCTATAAGGCAAACAAAATAATTTGTTATCATATTCAAAGTACTGCAACTGAATTCCTTGCTATCAAATCTGAAACCATATCATGTTTAGACATATCTTCCATTACTGTTTCTATCCAAGATTATTGATTGTTTTTACATGTAATATACCATTTGGTGTTACAAAATAATTTCAAGTCACAATTTATATATTGAATATAACATTTAATAGATATATAAAAAAAAAAATTTATATTTGATATGTGACCATATAATACTTTCATTAACATTTTTGATATTCAATCTACATTTTTGTATACATGTATCTTTATTATGAATTATACTGCAGGTGCTCTGTTAGTTTGTGTTCATTTCACTGAATCAATAATATGGATTATGAAACGCTTTAAATGAGAAGTGCATCCAATGAAATAACCCCATCAAGTCATACAATCATAATTTTCTTTAAGAATCAAAGTTTTCATCATTAAATATTAAAAAATTCTTTCTTAGAAAATGTGATTTCTTCATGGAGGTCACGTACACTCTCAATTGAGATGTTATAAAATCACATATGATGACATAAAAAGGGAATGTACCCCATTAATCTATTAATTGTTCAAGTTGAACAGAGTTTTTATGTCTGTCATTATCTGCTATGTTATTATTCTGATCCAAATTAGCTGTCTTGTGTGAGATTTACCGACAACATGGTAAGGGCACAAAGGATCAAATTAGATAATTTTCTGAAGTGTTTTCAAAGAAGTGTAAGTTATTTATATGTCTCTGTGTAAACTGATGAGAGAGAAAAATTAGCCATTCAAGAATAATCTAACAGAATTCAGAAAAAGTCAACTCATCTGAAATAGAAGTATAGCTACTCTTGGTAGCTGATAAAGAAAATGTAATATTTCATAGAGTCATGGTTATAATTGTATCGATTAAGGTGCAACATTAGTTGGTGCAGCAATCTTGAAAAGAATAGCAGTTGAGCACACACAATCACACAGAATTGGTGAATTATTCAGTAGATATGCCACACAAAGGTGACTAGGTATTAGGTACAAGTTGTGCTAATTGTCATTGGTGGTTCCCTCATGTCTTTTGACAGTAATTACCAAATGTTTCAGTGACTTCAAATGTTTCATAAGCATCATCAGTATCATCCTCAATGTAACGTGTACTAATTGCATGAGCAACATTCATTGTGCCAGGACCCTCCGCTTTATTGGAACCTAAATTGGAAAGTCTTTGTAATGATGCAAGTACATTCTGGTAAATATCTGGTTAATGTCTAAGTCTTATGTCTAATCCTCATTCTGGCTCGTTCAGCTGATTTGTCTCCCTCTGCCCCCCCCCTCACCCCTTCTCTCCTCCTCCTTCCTTCCCCTCTCTTTATTACCTAAATTTTTATTGGACTGCTAATCCTTTTTTAATCCAGCGTAACAATTGAGTGCCCGGTTTTTTTTAATGACTATTTTTTTTGGAAGTAAATGCTTACATACATAGATGTGTTTAAACATGTACTACTTGGAGGAAGCCTACATACTGTGCCACTAGGGAGGGTGGGCCACATGTTTGCATCAGTGTTACTTGAGGTAAATTACACAATAAATAACACCAACTTATTGTACTAAAGGTTGTACATGTACGTTCTAGCACAGAGCTCCAAGAAAATGTCCTACAGGGTAATTGACCCATGTAAATAGATGGAACATATCATATATTGGCCAAAATACATGTGTATTCACTGGTGATTTGTACTAGTTTGGTACAGTGTATGGTTATTACCACTGATGTAATGCATGTACTCATCACATCCATATGATGCTGACTTATTTAATCAAAGAGTGCTAGTGGCACTTGACACAATCATTCTTGCTTTGCCCTCAGGACCTTTGCCTATATGTCCCATTATATAGAAGTGAAGCAGATGCAGATATAGGATATTCTGCATATGTGTTAAGTCAAGCATGGTGAATTGCAAAGCATATGTAGTGATAACTTTAAGCAGATACCATACAAGACTACTTGTCTAAAAAATTGAAGCAATATGTGAATACAATTTTGAACAAAAAGCAAAGAAGTGGAAGCATTTAAATCAAATATCATGTTCATTAATATAAACGACTCTAACAAATAAAGCCATATCAGAGGTCAAAAAATATTTGTCTAGTATAACTTACTTCCACCATGTCCGGAGACTACACCTGGGGCTGATTCAATGACCATATCTTTACGTGTGGCCTCTCCAGACAGCACCCCTTCATGTGTGGTGAGTGTCATGTTAACTTCTCCAAGATCAACTATGGGCTCCTCTGGTACATACATGGCAAGACTCTAAATTTACATAATTATGAATCAATGCAAGGATTATGGGTAGGAACCTCATTTGTGGTCATACTGGTCAGAATGATTTATGTCTCCAATGTCAGTTTTGAGAAATTAGAAAAATAAAATTTTGAACTAATATTTTCAATATGAACAATATGCTTGGAAATGTCATACCATGACAGAATGTCACCACCTAGTTGCTCTGGTATTTTGTGTTCAATCTTAAAGGAACATTCCTTGGCAGACTATTTCTCTCCTGATATGGTAGCTACAATCATATGTATACTTTACATATTTAGCAAAACACGAGAAATTTTTTCTTATGGTCAATATTGATCATTTAAAAATGTAGTACTCATTCCCAGTAAGCTGCCATCTTTTCAGATTTCTTTCAGGAAGTGATGTCATCGACTCTCACCTGTTATAACCTTGTCTATTACAGTATAGGAAAGAAGTACAAAATCACTTCTAAACAAGAAGCCCTTATCTTCTGTGTAAAAATATTTTCAGGAGTTGTCAACTTAGAACTAAAGAAGAGATCATCAAAAGGATTTTAATCATAGACCAAATTGAAAAAAATATTCAGCTGGTTTAGTAATTCTAATAGCTCCTTGCCTAATGTTATATGCAAAGTTGAGAGTCGATGACATCACTTCCTGAGTGAAATTTTAAAAGATGGCAGCCTACTGGAATTGAGCACTACATTTTTAAGTGATCAATATTGACCATTTCAAAACATTTTTCTGTTTTTTGATAAACTTGCAAAGTATGTATATGGTTATAGCTACCATATTAGGAGAGAGATGGTCTGGCAAGGAATACCCCTTTAAGTCAGATTTGAACTTTTGAGAACTTGTAGATGATTTTGAAAAAAGCAAGTTGAAAATAAGACCTTTTTTCACCTGGAGAAGGTCATTGAAGGTCAAATCTAAAGTCAGATTTGAACTTCTGAGAAATTTTAGACGATTTTGAAAAAGAAATTTGGTCAAGTTGAAAAAAGAAAATTTAGAACGTTTTTTGACAGTGAGAAGGTCATGGAAGGTCAAATCTTAAAGGAAGAGGTGCATTTATTGGCAAATACCCCTATGGTCAAAATGAATAATTCTTATATGTAACATGAAGAATAGCCTATGTCATATAATTCTTTGGAAAATATCAAAGTGCTCGGGCACACATAGGCCATTTAGATCAGTAAGGTTGTATTGACTTACATGGGGCTGTGCATCATTGACTTAAGATGAGGATATCAGCAAATGCCAACAGAGGCCATTGGTTTCCATTGATTATCACAAAAATACCAAAAATACACTATGACCTGAATCAATTGCAAACTTAATAATTTCACAATATGACACAAATGGTTTATCTCATCAAATGTGCAAATATGAAGTTTGCAATCGATTCAAGTCAAACTTAAAATTAAAAGATTGTACATTTTTTCATCATCTTTTTCCCTACAAAATGGCTATAGAAAAATGCTCCAAAAACAACTTTTACACTTATCAAAAATCATACAACTTTGTAAAACCAAAGAATATACTATTTTATTATATCATTGAAATGTTTCTCGTTTTCTCATTGGATAAGAACAGATCACATGATTAAAAAAATTAAAAGTCCTGGATGTTATGTTTTTGTTATGACGTCACAACAATATTGTAGAAAATACTTGGATACGCAAGGCAACAAAACTTCATTGTTATGATGTCACAGCTTATATTTGTAGTATGAGCATGGGTACTCATAGCAATTGTGCATCCGTTGCCATGTTCTTGATGTTTATAAACCAGTGATGTCACAAGTCATCTTGCACGTGTGACTTTTGAGGATGAAAGATGGCAATATCTTGCATCTAAGAGTGGCTGTAGTTAGAGTGGTTATTCTGATGAGCTCGTGTATTGTATCTATGCATTAAATGGTTACAAGAAATACACTTAATTTGTAGAACATTCAAATGATATAATAAATCAAATATTCCATTCTATTGAGGTGAATATATGTTCATCTTTCCCTCAGGTATATTTCCCTTGCCCTTCGGGCTGTGGGAAATATACTGAGGGAAAGATGAACATGTATTCACCTCAATAGAATGGAATATTTGGTATATATTTCCAGAGATCACTATAGTTGAAAAAACTTGTTAGCCATTGTGGCTAAATCTTCCAAAAATTTTTTAGCCAACCAAAATATGAATTAGCCATTTTGAAAAAACGTAAAAAAGGGAATTCGCAATAGAGGTGTCACGGTCCAAGAAAATTTCGGACGGTACGGAACGGTTCAAATGGTCTCGACACGGTACTTTCGGGACGGGACGGGACAGAACACTGAAAATGATGCAATGTCTGATGATGACAGTTTCACTTTCAGTTTCACTTTTCAAAATCATATTCAGAAATAAAAAAACGTCCATTAAAATAGAATGTAAAGCATCTGCCGAGAATGTGATTGGCATTTCACATAGTCTGCATGGTGTAATATCACCAATTCGTTTGCCTTGTGATATTGGAGTCCCAAAAATAAATACTTTCAAACTGCCGACTTTTTCGACTCAGATGCCGGCTTGATTTTTCAATTTCTTTCCTACATCCGGCATACTGATAATGCACTCGATTTGCGAACGACGATCAAGAAATTTACGAACAAGCATTACCATCTACCTGAAATCGCGGGTCCGTTAATAACACTTTTCAATGCAAAGAAGTGTAATCTAGGTACGAGGTAAGTGAAAATATTTAATTTTTCAGAACGAAATCGGAGGTGTTCCTCGCTATTTATACACGTTTTTATGCATTTTAGGGAAGGAATCTATGTACCGATATTAACCCTTTCTGTCCCATGTCCCGAACCGAAGCATCTGGACCGAAATGCGGTCCAATATCAGGAAACCGTGACACCTCTAATTCGCCATAACTGCGAAATACCTTTACATATTTTTCGCCACCTCTTTCGAAAATTCGCGATTGGCGAACGTCTACCGTGATCTCTGATATTTCATTATGTAGTAACATATTCGGATAAGATGTAGGGATGTGTAGAATGCAAATGGATTTTGAAAGACACAAAAATACTTCCTGGTTTGGAATCTATGCCTCTACACTTCATGATTGAATTATGACCCTAATAAGTGGACTATACATCAATACAGTGCTGAATATAGGTCAACAAGATACTAGTGTGCATATAAATGTAATAATTAAAGCAGAATACTCATTTTGAAAAATCAAATGAATTATTTTTTTCTCATGGGGAGATCCCAATGGAGAGTGCATGTGGTCCTTTAAAGTCAGATTTGAACTTCTGATAACTTGTAGATGATTTTGAAAAGAACTGAAGTCAATCTTAAAACTGTATTTGTTGAGTTATTGGGAGTTGTAAGAATTCGTTATAGATGCCAACCACCATCACAAAAGAATGGAGACCATAACAATATGTCACCACATTTTGGTGGTGACATAATGGACAATACAGTCTGAAAGACACATTATTCAATACTCTAATTTAACTACAAACCTGTGTTTCAAATTCCTTTTGGTAACTGGGAGGTGCAATCGCATATTCTGGTTCATATGTTGGGACAACCATGACTGTACGCTCCGAATGATGGTACCTCTTAAGCGCCCTCTGGTATCTGAAAAACACAACATTGACATAATGAAATCATCTGATCTTGCTGTATTTTTCCATACTACGAGGGTTGTCCCAGAAGTAATGCACTATATGCTCTAATTTTATCAATAATTGATATTTTTCCATGAAAGTTTCAGTAAATGTTCCTTAGAGACATTTTGATTAATCTACAAATGTTCATGTTATAACGTTATAATAAAATTAAGTTGGTGAGTTTGGGTAGGGTGGGGCAGGTTATACAGTCACGTCAAGGAATAAAAAATTAAAATATGAAATAATTAATCAACAAATACCATTTTGTGTAGCTATAAGAAGTATGCTCAAAAATACATTTTAAGATACTAAATTACTATGAGCACATCCTAGATTTAAATACAGAAATGTGAATGATACTCTCTTAGACCGGTTTCTATACATACCTAGCCCAACTGATGCAGAGCACAATAATTCCAATTATACAGAACAGAATGATCAGGCAGGCCAGGGCAATTAAGGCAGCCCATGGTCCCCAGGAGTAGTTTTCATAAGTCTTCATTACAATCATGCCAGTGTTAGGCTCATCATAGGGGCCACGGATTCCATCAATAAATACACCCTTTTTCGCCATACTTTGTTCGATCAGCTTCAGTTTGGACTCGATAATGCTAAAATAGCAACAAAGTATTAATTAGTTTAAATTAATTTAATTGAATTTTCGAATTTCTCAAAGTGAACTCTAGTGTGACTTATTCTTGATGGGATGTGATGGGTCAATGAGAGTGATATAAAATGTCTGTAAAGAGGCAAAACATAAGCGAAGTATACTTTAATTTGCACATGTATTTCATATTTTCCAAGTGTAAAAGGTGGATTGTACATGTGCATATATTACATACTAGACAATTACCAACTACTAAGTAAAGCAAATGAACCAGGTGGTGCAATTTACTCCATTACTTTGAGTACAGAGTGCACCGAGAACAACATAAGCATAGCCAGGGGGTGCGATTGGTGCACCCCCCATTACCAATAAAAATGAAAACATGACAAAGCAGAAGAAAACTAAGATCTTTAAAATGCTTTTTATTTGAAGCTTCTAGCTCATTTTTGAAGGAAGTTGCAACAGTTTTGGTAAAATTCAAAATAAATCTTATTTTTTGGCTTATTTATGGCACAATAAGACCCCCCCCCCTAACTGAAGACTGAAATTTTTTGGCAATCTCACATTCATAGAAAGTTCTGATCTGATTAATATATATATTGAAAATAAAAACTTACTACATAAAATAATTACAAAAATGTGCGTATTGACTACACTGTGAAATAAATGAAATGCAATATTTTGTTGCCATGCATATTAAAAAACAATCTGGAATATTCTTCATGTGGATTTCAGTTATTGACCCTTCATAGTTAGCCTCAGCTGTTAGAGTTATCCATGTTTTATATTTCCTCTCCAAAATGTTGCTAACTGCATACACACTTACGTTTGTACGACATTGCTGTCCCTACCAACCAAACTGTAATCTGTCACATTCGTTAGAACAAACCACACATCAGTTCTGTAAAACAAGCCATTTCATTGTTTATTTATTCATTGAAGTATTGTGAAATAAATGAAATGCAATATTTTGTTGCCATGCATATAAAGGTGGTTTCTGGCTGTTTAAAACCGACTTAGCACAGGGTTTGTGTAAAAAACTTGGTGACTGGGTAACCAGGTGACTGGGTACCTTACCTTCCTACCAGGGTTAGGAATTTGATTTTTTCATTTTTACCTCAAAACGCCCAACTGACATCCCAATCAACGTACCAGTGACACAACCAATCAAGCAAACTGTGTAAACTGTGTAAAACTACCTAGGACTTCCGAAATTCAGTCTCTTACAGGTTCTTGGTAAAATGATAACGTGAAAATATTAAAGTGTAGTCTACAAATGTGCAACTTTGAAAGTTGCTAACCCTGCAAGGAATGTTAAGTACCTGGTTACCCAGCCATTCGGCTACCCGGTCACTCAGTTTTTTACACAAACCCCTTAGCACAGGCTGATGTAACTTGCATATTTACTTTTAATTGGAATACATGTAAAAGTAAACATATACGAGGGGTGATCAATAAGTAATGGACGCTTTTTTACACAGATGCCTATTATAAACCAATCCCTTCGATTTTCTTACCAGTGATACATCATTCAATAATCTATCAACTCTAAAGATTTGAAGACAAAATATATAATACATGTTGATATATCCTTATTTCCGTGAAGGAGGTACAGGTACCCCGGGACCGACATTTACGTCACATATTCTGAAGCTATTTTAGCTTGTTTAACATGCAATGCACTTGAATGCAGGCTGAACAAAACAAACCATTATGGTCATGAATTACCCCATTTTGTTATGCCATAGTTGATTTTGAATATTTTATCATCACTATATGGTATTCATGCCACATTCATTCCACAGGGCCCTCTAAATAGGTTCCATCAAGTGCTACATGTATACAATTCCTCATCCTCTTAACTCAAGATTGTGAGACAAGGCTGAATCCATTCTCTGACATGGTAGTAAGATGCAGTTGCATGGGTTGTTTTATTTCATCAATGTCAATAAACCTGCGTCCTTTCTCTATAGAAATAAGTAGTACAGAAATGAACAAGTCACATGTGAGCACATATGGACAAGATGTAGCATTGGCCAAGGGCTCAGTTTTGAGGTCCAGTGATATTGTTTTCTGAACATTTTGAGATCTGTGGGCAGGTGCATTGTCCTATGGAGTAGGGTGTTCCCTTCTCTCACCACCCCTTTCTTCCACAATGCCTTCTCAAATTGACCTGCAAACCCCTTCCATACACCACTCTAACATCACAATACTTTCTGTTTATGTGTTACCAGTAAGCAAAAAATTTCAAACAACACAACACTTCTTGCATATAAAAAGTTCCAATCTAACTGAAATTTTCCAAACTGGCTAAAACCTGAATATGTGACGTAAATGTCGGTCCCGGGGTACCTGTACCTCCTTCACGGAAATAAGGATATATCAACATGTATTTTATATTTTGTCTTCAAATCTTCAGAGTTGATAGATAATTGAATGATGTATCACTGGTAAGAAAATCGAAGGGATTGGTGTATAATAGGCATCTGTGTAAAAAAGCGTCCATTACTTATTGATTACCCCTCGTATATGTTTAAAATAGTTTATTTAAGTAAACATATATATATTTCTAATAAAGTTTAATTTCATATAAAAGAACATTAAACAGACTCGGCCAATACGAGCAACAAGAAGTGACATAACAGTAATTACACCAAATGTACAACAGGCCCATAGCCAAAAATTCTTTCAAAATCATGCAGTTTTCACCATTTTGAACACTTTTTAAAGTGATTTTGGCCATTTTTGGACCAAAATTGTCAAAAGTGAATTTTTTAAAAAGTGAACCCCCCTTGGCAAAAGCTGGCTATGGGCCTGTACAGAGCAATCACTTAGGAACATACTTCTCTGTATCTACAGTTGTTCTTCCATTATCTTGGGTACGTTTAGCCTGGATCTTTTCAATTATTGGAATCATCCCTGTCTCCTCTTGGAGGGACCTATAATTATATGCAGACAAAACATAATAAACATGTTCTTTAGTATATAATACAAGTATATAATGAACAATAATATAACATGCTACTTTTGGGGCTTTGCACTGAATATCAGATAAGTAGAAATTACACAAAGAGGAACACAAGTCTGAAATAAAAATAATATCCCCAAGTCAAAATATCAATTGCTCCATACTGTATTTTTATCTCAATTTCTCATATACATGTATGTATAATTGCAAACATGTACAGTACTCATGAACTGAATCAAGAGCAATAGAGTTACTAAAATATGTACAGTATAGTAAAGTCAAACCAAATTAGAAAAATAGACAGCAAAATCTTTTTTGGGTTATACAATGTTAACATACATTTAACAAGTAAGGATCATTTGTTTTATATGTCTCTGATTGGAGTCACTTAATTTATAAATCTTGAAGGATGGACAAGTAGAATAATACAGATTCAGTGGCTGAATAGCATATGGAGATCTCATGTTTATTGTTGCACACTGGCATCATTGGCAAACAAACCATTCAACCTGGCCAACCTTAATCCAAGCTTGAGCTATTACTTTATGATGTAATTGATGGAGCTCGGTCTGCCAGGTTCATTGCGTTATCATAGAGAGTAAGTGCATGTGATTGTGATCTGAATATAAAGTCAATATCTCACCTCAGGATAACATCTCTATGTTCATATGCCTCATCTGAAGATTCATCAACCATCAACACAAATCTATGTTCATCACTGATCAGGTTGATCTGAAAAAGACAAAATTATTTAAAATCCTTATTCAGTCTCTATACCTAGGTCTCATTTGCTCCGATTCATCAACTGGCGCTTGGCCTACTGAGTATTTTGTTCAAAATTGAATGTCAAATCTCAAATTTGAGGTCAGATGTGAACTCCTGAGACAGGATTTAAAAAAAAGTTTGGTACATTTGAAGCAAGTTGATCAGTTTTAAACAAAACACTACTATCGGCTGAGCGCCAGATGATGAATCGGAGCAAATGTGACCTAGGCATAACCACCATCAGGAGAATTTGATGTAAATCTTCTACACTTCATAATACTAAAGCATTGCTAATGTAAGCAAGTCATAAGGAGTGAAACGTTACAAAGGCTTTGTAAGGAATTTTGGTAAGGTGAGATATCATGCAACAATCACTAAAAAACTAATAATGTTATCTGAGCTTATTAATGTTATTCTTATCTTAAAACAATAATAATTACAAACATACAGTATACACCATTTCTCTTATTAGTACAATCACTACAAATCTGAGCTTTACAAGTCTTAATATTAAATCATTAATATTACAAATGCATATATGATGCATCGGTTCTAAATATCTTTCGTCATGGCTTAGGAATTGTGCCAGGCAGAATCATATCTAGTTTGAGAACCTTCAAAAAACACTGTCTCATTTTTGAATATTTTGAATCTTAAAATATAGTATTTTAATAATTTTTGATGATACATCATGAATCGTGTCCTATAGGACTACTAAAAGTCACATCTGAGGATGGGAACATTATTGAGGGAAAGAAATACTCAATACTATTCAAAATGGAAATGATTGTCTTATCAACTTCATGTGTTCTCTTCTAAACTTTATTTATACAGGTACGGGGTGACACTTTAAAATGACTAACTAACTAATTTTTTCTCAATAATCGGTGCATCTTCATGATTTTTTTGTGTAGAGTGTATCAGATGCATAAAAGATTGTTGTACTTGTATAGCATCAATAACTTTGAGATCTAGAGATATCACAGTTTCCCTCCAGGTATGCTCTCATACCAATCTTTCATAGGAACACTATCTACACATACATAATCATGAAGATTCTTTAATCATTGATAAAGTTATTCCAAAATTAGTGCATGGCACTTTTGTGTCACCCTGTACTTTAAAAAAGTAAAGTTATTAAAGATTCAAAGTGCGGAAATGTGTAAGTTCCAAATAAAAATATGAATATCTATAATATTAAATCTAAATGTAAATAAATTTTTGAAATCTTGAGATTTCCTGGAATTAAGCTAGAACTTAGAAATGTTAAGCCTTTACTTACAATAACTTCCCCTTCAGTTTTGTGCTTGTCTGTGCCATTTCCTGGGTTGTCATATGCTACAATATGGAACCTTTGAGTATTATTATCTGAACTGGCAAACTCAGCTACGTTGCGAATCATTCCATTAGTAGGATCAATATGGAAGAAAGAATTACTTTGCCCGGATTCTGTCTTCTTCTGGTATTGCACTCGACCAAAGTTCCCTTCATCTCTGTCTACAGCCTAAAATAAACAAGATGCAAACTTGTATCAATGTTTGTTAAGATTTTTCTCAACTGGGTACAGAAGTGAAAGAATTATAATTCTTGATGAAAAAGAAGTATAAAGGAGCCCATTGGTATAAGCATTTCATTATTTGTTGATAATTTCTTCACATGGCCTGCAAAAACCAATCCAACATGCTCTGTTGAGGTTAATTCATACATCAACCAGACATTAAATTAGCTTTGACAATCTTTACATGTACCCATATATACGAGGGGTGATCATAAAGTTCTCATAATTTCTCTCTAATGTTTTTATTTTTCAATTTATTCATGATCAACCCTCGTATATGTTACTCTTAATCAAGACAAATCCACTGTTCATCAAGTGTTTTCACAAGACTGAATATTTATCAATTATATTAATCAGTACTGGATGTTATAGAGATTGTTGCAGAGTTGCATGTGTATTCAACAAGTGTAAGTTTTAATCTGCAATTCAGACGTCAATATGTTTTATCGATGCACACTCTTTCTTGTTTTTGTAATTATATATCACTATTGCTGACTTTGTTTGAAAGAAAATCTTTGAATCTTCCTCTTTGCATTGCACTTAGATATTTAGTTCAAAGTATTGTAAAATTAATATACTAAAGCTGATGCTTGATACCTATATCAAGGACTGATCTGGGAACCAACAAGGGGGGGGGGGGCAAATTTTAGGTTTGATAAAAAATTCCACAATTTTTGGGCCCCTAAAATTTGGCCTAAAATTATAAAATAAGGACTTAAAAGGTCAAATAATAGCCAAAAGGCCCACTATTTGGAGTCTTAAGGTATTTTTTGGCCCAATTTTTTTTCTAGGCCCACTCAAAAATCTGCCAGTGTATATTAGTTTTGTTTAATTAGTGTTTTGATACAAGACATCTGGATTAAATGGAAAGGTCTATGGATTTTTTCACCTTACAATAAAGCACATATATGCAATCCCAATGTACCATCCATGTTTGTAAATATTTGAAGGTCAATTCTGAAAGAGGGGCGATAACAGGGGATAACAATGGTCATCATGGTGGCTCTTATGCAAAGCTTTAAGTGCCCAATGATTGACTAAATTAATTTCATGCCAGTACTTATACAACATAACCAACAACAACCACTTAAAAGAATATATGTTAAAATGTAACATTCCAGTCAAATTAAATGTACAGGGTGTCAAAAAACAACGGCATCCCCCTCTACTTAAGTACTTAATGTCACATGGTGTGTCATATCTCATTTTAAAGACAATTCAATTCTGGAGTTACCTGAGAAATTTAAGCTTTATATCATATAATTGTACAGATTTACAGCTGATGTTTAGAAGTTGGTGTGACCACCAGTTGCTGCTTGAACAGCAGCTTATCAGGATCGATATTATTTCAATAAAAATTTAGATAAGGGTGAAGCATTGCATAATCCTCTTAGCACTTTCCTCACATTCTTCATAATTACATCCTTCCTGTATCTTTTTTCACAAGGCTCTTTGTCCATTAATTCCTATACCCTGTTTTTCAGAACTGAACCCATATGTTCAGTGCAGTTGAAATCTGGGCTTATTCTTTCATATTCCACTTTCTGAAGATTTGACCTTTAACCAGTAACAGAGCAGCAAACAAAGTGCCGAAGTAGCAAACTTTGAAACAATGCAGCTTTTTTAATATGAAGTTTTATTGAATGAAATTCAATGATAACTCCAAAATTAAAAAAAAATTATCTTTCAAATGAGGTATGACATGATATGTAATATTATGGACTTTTTGATGTGGAGGGGTGCTGTTGTTTTTAGAGACCCTGTATGCACCTAAAAAAACGGCAAATCTAATCATCCAATGAATTTCATAATTGAAACCTAATTTCACAAATGGAAAATCACCATGGGAGGGAGGTGTCCCTTTTTATTACCTTGACTACTATCAATAATATCAAAAATACTGTGTTACCTTGAATGGCGATTTGCACCAACCCTGTCTTTTCATTGAATAATTGTTTGTATTTATGAAATAAACCTATTGATAAAATTTTTTTTATGGCATCTGATTACAGTCTTACTATGATCATAATATCTTACCACTAATTGGAATATAAGATATGAATCTTATGTTCTAATTAGAATATATGTTATATGAATCTTACTCTGAAATTATGATACCATTATCGTCATAGCAATAAATAATTTGGGGTATCAAGTTATTCCAGTGTAATTCAGACAATGAAAGGATCTGTACCCATAGGTCGTCCGATCTTGATGAATGCCATAGGTGATAAAATTATAAGAACATGATCTCTTAGTTGTTTATATAGAAAATCTTCATTATATATTAGGCCATTCAAAGTCAAAGATATTTTTAATGTCCACTCCCACATAAGATTCTAGCAAAATTTCAGAAAACGAACAATTTCAAGTGTCAACTTAGACATGTGCAATAATTGAAATAAATCCAAATGATAATTGAAACTTACAAATTGTAATTGAAGATAATGTTTTACTTAAGAGTTCCTTAATTGAAAACTACACGTATTTCAGCTTTCACATGTAAGGTGCTTCCATACATTTACATAAAAAACTCATTACCCATAAATAAACATTGTACATGTATGAGATTTATTCAGAGAGATAGATTTGGATTCCAATGTGTCTCTTGGTATGATCACGACGCATTACATAGGAAATCTGTCATTTTCTAATATTCTAAACAAGATAGTCTGCGCTGTAAAATGTAAACATAAATCATTCCCGCATACATACGTTCATCATGTAATTTAAAATTTTCAATTCTAAATGTGAAACATCTGGGTTGATCAGTTTTTGAAGTGTAGCATTTAAAAAGTTAAGTGATAAAGTGTGTGCCTTTTTTGTTTCACTCTGTAGGTTTTTATACCTGGTACATGTAGAAATATAATAAATTAAGGATTTGTTTTTCATCCCAAGGGTTGGTAACTGAACAAGACATAAAACACATAATAATTAACTCTAAATGGCCTAATCATATTCTGCATATATACCAATGGCATGCACAGGCACCAGTTGGAGCATGCATAACCCGTAGGGGCAAGAGGAAAGGAAAACATGTATTTCCTTGAAAAGGAAAAAAGGAATCACAAAACGTGAAGTTGAAACATTTATTGCAGCAATGAAAGCCCAAGATATCATCTGGATTCTGGTAAGCTTGATCATTTATATTTTTTTATCAAATAATACATCATGCATAGATATTGCAATTCATCCGATGGATACAAAATATATATGGGGATAACAACAAAAGATAATTTTGGTATGCACCACTAAAATTGTATCTTATTCATATGACGTGATATCCAATTTTATTATATCACTGTCATATTCCTCACTCTCTCATTGGTCCATGTCCTACACGTGACCAAAAAATAACTAGCGATATTCAACGGAAGTCACGTGACTTCCGGTGAATATCAAATGATATTCAACGGTCACGACTTATACATCCCCGGGGTTGACTTAGTACAGTCTAATTTTAATTTTATATATCCCATAATAACCAAAGTGGCAGACGGTAAACAAAGGTTTCCAAATATTTCTGCAGAAGAAATTGATAGAATCCATGGTAATATTCATTCAGATAACACAATAAAGGCAACAAAAAGATCAGTGAAGATCTTTCAAAATTGGATATCTAGCAAAGACGATGTGATTGATTTGGAAAACGTATCAAAATCGTAGTAGTTGTTAGAAGAAATATAAATGTATTTCAATGTTAACATATGACTAATTATCTAATTATAGAAGATGTTATGACAGTGATATAATAAAACAAATATTTAATTCCATTTTCGGTGAATACCTGTGACACTTTCACAAGATGATATTCCACTAGCCCTTCGGGCTTCGTGGAATATCACTTGTGAAAGATGTACAGGTATTCACCTCAATAGAATTAAATATTTGTATAGTATTTGAAAGATACTACTTAAAAATATTTAGAAAAAAAATTGTGAATTTTTTTTTGAAAATTAATTCCACACATGGATAAAAATTGTATCCCTCAAAAATTATATAAGGATATCCTCTATATATATGTCAAATAGTTTGTAAAATACATGTAGTTGTTTTCAAATATCAAATACTCTTTCATAAATGTCCATATATGAGTATATATTCTTTTACACAAAAATCTCGGATAAAAAATAATAAAATGGTAATCCTAGACGAATTTTATTTGGAATTCAATAAAGTGTTTTCTTTCAAATGATATTTTAGTTTTTACAAGATATTGGTCATCGTTGATAAGACGTTTACACCATGTTTTTTCTTAGTTTGTCACATACTTATCCTTTATAATATCAAATCGGAACCAATTAGTGTAAAGTCAAAGTAGCTAATACATGTACAAACATTACTTAATGCTTATTCATCATTTGTGAAACCGATGCATTCTTTAGCACAAAGTATAGAAGCGGGAAAGGAATAGCTATATTGACTGAACTGCTTTTTTCATTTTACATGTATACCTTCATATCTCTAAGACATTTAAGAAAAACAGATGTAAACTCAATCAAATTTCATAAGACGGCTTGACAATGGTGGTGTAAACTCAACATACATGTACTTTTTCTTATATGTTTTAGCCAAGACGTCATGGAATGTCGCGTGTAGTGTAAATAGGGCTCTTATGTAGTCAAGAGGGGTTTGGGGAAAAACACTAGTTTATAACATAAGAGATTTCAAACTGTGAGGCCTTACACAATATACCAGTGTGACAGATAAGGCCTCAAGGTGTTGTTTAGTGGCAATAGATGTCTCCATGCTTTATCATAGGACCAATGATTTGACAGTCGTTCAGCATTAGGACATAAACATTTTGTGATATCAAGCTTTTGAAAAATGTTTTTTTACTTTACTATATACATGATTTTATTTGATTTTACCCAATGGCATTTGTAACATATTTTTGTATCTTCAATTTATTGAGGCTGCCTTTACCTAGACTGCCCAAAAACTAA